GTGATCACAGGATATTAAACTGTTTACTATATTTCTCCAGGAATTGTAAAAGTTAAAAAATAAAACTCATGCCATGTACCCCGTTGGTTCAGCTTTCTTCGCATCTTTTTATTGTGTAATTCTGAGACGAGATGAAGAGAAATAATAACGTAATAATGAACAAATATATGTCCAATATTGAATATAATTTTGGTTGTTTTGAAATATACTTTTGGGTATTTCATTACGTAAATTGATGCCAAACCGGTGCGTGTCTTGTCCAATGAAGATACACGATAAACTTACTAATTGTTTATATATTCAATACATTATTTACTAGGTGAAAGCAGTCATTTATGTTGTGTCGAAAAAGCATCAAATTCAGTTTTACACATCGAGATTTCCCATACCATAAACGAAAATTAGGGGAGATATATATTAATCAAAATACCAGTGTCGTCTTTCTCCGACATTATAAAAGACATAAAACCAGCCGTGACGTCAACTAGAATGGTGTTATTTTCTTTGTATTTCATTACATTTGATGATAAGGCTAGTAGTGCTCCATTAATAATAGTGCAACATTAGTCAAATTACACTTACACATTCAGGAGAATGTTGGAATCTTAGGACTAAGTTATAGGTTAGATAGGGCCATCCATTTCTCTATTACCTCTCTATTACCCATGAAGTACAATTTCATCATTTCTTATGTTTTTTGGGGTTTTTTTTATAACTAAACGTATACAGTTTCAATATCGATATTTGTGTTGGAATAGTTTGTTTCCTTGTGAAAAAAACACCACGAAAATATATTGTCCTCATCCACAGCGAATTCTCACCAAGTGACCTGAGTTACAATAAACTAATGCTAAGCATAGCGGAGTTATGCCCCCTTTTCTTCGTACGTGTGTAACCTCTCTGTCGCCTTTTGACGTCATAGAGAAAAATCAGTTTTCGTCATGCTTTTTTTGGCATATTTGATACATAGTTATGTCGTTCAGATATTAGGCAGTATTTTGTTCGCGCACAGTTTCCGTAAAACTTCTAAATAAAAAATATCGTCGCACAGTACTTTTGTCAGTGTACGATAAAAAGCAGAGAAATTTACTGTTTTTTAAACGCAGAATAAATTCTCGGACAACACTTAGAAGTGTCTTTTTTAAAACCTATAACTATAACTTCACCTCCGGGGATGCTTGCCGTAAAAGGCGACTATGCTTGTCGTAAGAGACGACTATAACGGGTGGTCAGGCTCGCTGAATTGGTTGATGCATCGTATTCGATTCTCATGATATCAATCACTGGGTTGTCTGGTCCAGGCTCTATTATTTACAGTCCGCCGTCCGAGTATTGCTGGAATATCTCTGTTAGGTGTCACGTGGTACTTTAGGTCTGGAACGAGTCCAAATTTTACTACCCGGGTACCCACCCCACTATTACCCGACCGTACCCGGGTACCCGCTGTTGGTTTCAAGAGATGGGTACTAATGCCCGATTGGGAATAGTTTGACCGTAGCCCTGGCAAAATGTATTTAGATACTTATATAAACCGATCTGGTCATGCATACACTGAAGTTGACTGAAGTTTTATCTTTATTCAAACATATAAAACACAGAAGGAATGCGTGCATATGTCACGTATAGAGTAACCGTGGAAGTTCTAGATACGTTTTGCCATTAAACAATATATCACGTGACTAACCACGGGTCCGGGTAGTCCTGTGTGTATCCGGGTCCTTCTCAGGAACCACCCGACCCGAGTACCCGAATTACCCGTCCCAGCCCTACGTGGTAGTCACGTGCACGAGCTGGTTCCGGTCCCGTATATGTTCATGGAACATAGGTCCGTGTGCCATCTTGCGAGCTTAAACATCGGGGAATAAAACGCACCGATGGCTATCATGCACGATATACTCTTGTAAAAATTGATCAGATTGGATAATGGATTCTAATTTATCTTCACCAACAAGAACGTTGACAGTGCCCGGCAAATAAATAAACATATGCGGACCTGTCGCCTCAAGCAAATCAGGGTTTGACACTCAGGGTCTTATCTACACACTAGCCCACTGGTCCAGTAAGAAATAAAAACTACTAGCCCAGATATTAAGTAACAAGTCCAACAGGAAAGCAGAAATTTAAGAGAGCAAACACTTGTCAATATAGTTAAAGTCATTTTATTCATGACTTTACTGACTTTCTTTGTTTCATCAGAGACCATATAATCTATTATATGGTCTCTGGTTTCATGCACTTCTATCCATGGAAATTTGACCTTCCACGACTGTTGGAGTGTCCTTCCCCTCTTTCTTGCACTTTGTGTTGGTTCACAGGGCTTTTCAATTTGCCGCAGTGGCTTTAAAAAAATTCACGAAGCGGTTCCGGCCGTGACGGCCATTACAGAAATACCGGACCGTCTAAATACACGATATCGTGCAAATAGTGGACCAATGCTGTGCAATATACACGACTGGAAAACTCCCTTCTCCGCCGTGAGACGCGAACGGTGGTTGGTCTATTAATTTCCTACACAACAAACCTGGTCCCCGGTCTCAGATGCGCTACGCTACATTGTATATTACTCCCCAAAATGTTAACTCTACACCATAGTACGGGTTTCATTTCTAAAAAGATATATCCAAGATAATAAAAATTCTTTACTTGTTGATAAAATTGTAATTTCTTCTCTAAACATCTGTGAAGATATAAAGGTTTGCTACGGTAGATAAACCAGGTATCACAGTTAGTTAAAAGTTTTGCAGTCGTACAGACATGTTTGAGTAAACATACTTTACCTAATGAGAATACCGGTATGTGAAGCGTAGAAAGTAGCATTAATTTGATTGGTCACATTAATCACTTCCTGTTTGCTACGATGGAATTTATTGGTTATTAACAACTGGTCTCTCACTTTCTTATGTAGAGTTGTTATAGCATAAATAGCCAGTTTACAGATATTTTAAACATCGTGTTACGGTCTCGGTAAGGGAGGTAACTAAGATTGGTAGTTGGCAGAGACAAGTTGATGTACGGCTTTTGTTGACTGAATAAAAGATCGAGTGAGTTTTAACCTGTTAAAGCAATTGGTACACCATATTATTTCAATATCCAGCTGGTCAGATATATAATATAAAATTACTGGCCCAGATCAAGTTTCACTAGCATTTGTCTAGTTGGTCGACGTATTTGTCGAACCCTGCAAATCGATGACTATGCCAATAAAAGCATATGCAATAACAGTTCACTATCTCGCGGTCCACTTACAGATTCATTCCGCGAAAGAGAGATAATAAGTTATACCAGTGTGGAATGGCCTGTTGTACTTATTCCTCAGACCGCCTCCGTGGTCTTGTGGTAGAGCGTCCGCCCGGAGAGCGGAAGGTCCAGGGTTCGATCCCGGGCCGCGTCATACAAAAAGACGTTAAAAGATTGTACTTGTTGTTACCCTGTCTGGCGCTCGGCATTAAGGGGCTAAAACAAGGACTGGTCGGCTCGGAGTCAGTATACTGTGTCTGAGTGGGGTATTCATGTTAAACTGCGGCATGGTATCTCAGTGAGCTAGCACTATAAATCGGCATCAGTCCGGACTAGTACAAGCAGCCACACACACACATACACGTGCATGCACGTCGCTATATAAGTGAAATAATCTTGGACGCGACGTTAAACCCAATTTCACCTCACCTCACTTATTCCTCAAGAACAAAATGAAAAGCAAAACAACAGTGCTGCCTACATTGAGGTCACGACCCTGAAGCCATTGTTGTCTGGCCTGTGACGCTCAAGGACGGCTGGTGTGTCGTGGTTACACTCAAGTGAACGCATGTCCTCAAGTTACACAATCTCCAAAAGGGTAATACATTTGAACAGTAAAACATGTAACGTCTAACAGTATCTATACTACCACAATGTTCACATACATTACTTTCTTTAATGTTAATTCTATTTAAATACTGATTACAAGGAATGATTGAGTGTAGAATTTTGAATTGCAGTTGCTTATACTTGTTTCCAATTCTCATGTCCTTTAAGATTATCCATTTAATAACATCTTCATTAGCCAAATATAAACCCTGGTATGCCAGTCCACGTGGCAATGAATAGGGCCATGTAAAATCGTGGACAATTAACATGAATAAATGATGTCAAAAAAAAGAAAGAAAAAAAAAAGTTACATAATCTCTCCATGATTTTCCAGAGACGGCAACAATGCCGTATAGTTGTACCAACTGGGATAATGACTGGAATACAGGTGTGTGTTTACATAAAGAAAGGATACTATTTGCGTTGGGGTCCGTCACACAGAAACAATTCAACACATTGTACATTATGACAGTTAAAGACATTGTACATTATGACAGTTAAAGACATTGTATATTATGACAGTTAAAGACATGATACATTATGACATTATTGTCGTAAAAGGCGACTAACGGGATCGGATGGTCAGGCTCGCTGACTTGGTTGATGCATGTCATCGATCCCAATTGCGTGGATCGATGCTCATGATGTCAATCACTGGATTGTCTGACCCAGACTCGATTATTTACAGACCGCCGTCATATAGCTGAATAATGCTGAGTGCGGCGTTAAACAACAAACAAACAAACAAACAAACAACCACTTCAGCGATCCTGGCCACCCGTCAATCGCCTCTTACGACAAGCATGGGTTGCTGAAGATCAGTTCTAACCCGGAATCCTCACGGGTCCTGAAGTGGTTGATGGATGTCATCGTATCCCATTTGCGTGGATCGATGCGCATGATGTCAATCACTGGGTTATCTGGTCCAGACTCGATCTCGGTTTCCCTGATGTGTTCGCTGTGCACAGGACCACGTGCAGTATAGACGAAACCAAAACCCTCGTAAATCAGCCTTTTGACATGGCGCATTAAGTACTTCATCACCAGAACGTGGAATGGCGAAAAGAACAAAACCTTATTCCTATTCCTATTTACACATTTTACAACCTTCCAAATGATATCTGGGGCGGCTGGCTAGCCTAGTGATTAACGCGATGGCTCCTCACGCCGAGAACCCAGGTTCGATCCACCAACATTTTACAATGTCCAGGGTATGGTGTCCCTCGTAATAAGGCTGTATGTAAGAGCGGATTTAAACTCAGTTCACACGATTTCTGAGTCATCATTCACATAATTGTGCCTCTCGCAAAATCCGTTTAATGAATATGTATACACTCTTAAAAAAGCAATACGCGGATAAAACTTAAAATTTCCAAAATTGTAAAATATATTAGTTTCTACTAATAGTTGTATGATAATAATGAACAAGTTAGTTTTTTGTTTGTTGTTTAACGCCGCACTCTCCAGTATTCCAGCTATATGACAGCAGTCTGTAAATAATTAAGTCTGGACCAGACAATCCAGTAATTCACATCATGAGCATCAATCGACGCAATAGGGATACGATGACATGCATCAACCAAGTCAGCGAGCCTGACCACCCGATCCCGTTGGTCGCCTCTTACGACAAGCATGAGTTGCTGAAGACCAATTCTAACCCGGATCTTCACGGGTCTCCTCCTGAATGACAAAACGTCGACCCACACGCGTTGCAAACGGCACAACAAAGGGTGTCAGTGTGTTATCCCGACAGTACAGTCCAGTGACTCTTCCTTGCCCAATATGGAGTGGGCTTAGGTCAGTCATAGTGATTCCACCCTACACCATAACCACCACCGCCAAATCTGGCGTGAGGTCTCAGGTTAACATTGGCTTGGCGTTCATCTGACGGCGCCAGACACGACCCTGCCTTTCAAGGAAGTGCAAAATAAATCGGGACTCGTATGAAAACATGACATGTGGCCAGCGTCGATTACCCCAGTTTCGACGTCGTTTACACCACTGACGTCTGTTGGCAATATGACTATTTTTAAGGGACGCCGAGCATGGGGATACCCTGCATGTACACGATTTCTAGTCGTCTGACCCGTACTCCAGTATACCCTGATGAAAGTTCGCAGCAAATTGATTCGCCGATTGAGCTCGATTTCGTAGAGCCTGGTTTTGGATCAGTCGTTTCTGTACTCTTGTCGTTGACCTGGGACGCTCTGAACGGAGTCGACCGTCAACATTGGTTTGTTGGTACCTGTTCTATAGTCTGCTAATCACAAACGGTGGAACACAGAACGTATTGGCCACTGCCTTCTGCCAGTTGCCGACCGCCTCTATGGTTTAATGGTAGAGCGTCCGCCCGGAGAGCGGAAGGTCCTGGGTTCCATCCCCGGCCGCGTCATACCAAAAGACGTTAAAAGATGGCACCTGTTGTTACCCTGTCTTGCGCTCGATTATGGGGCTAAAACAAGGACTGGTCGGCACGGAGTCAGTATACTGTGTCTGAGTGGGGTATTCATGCGGCTTGGTATCTCAGTGGGCTTGTACAAACAGCCACACACGCATACATGCACGTCATTATACAAGTGTAATAATCTTGGACGCGATGTTAAACCCTATATCATCTCACCTCTGCCAGTTGTCAGCATGCCAATAGCCCGTAGAAGCTTCATTAATACACAAACAATGAATGAAAGCAAGTAAGTCAATCACAACTGTATGGTAAGTAGAATCAATAAGATTGACAGAAATAATGGTCCACAGAGATCAATCGACCTTCCTTGAAAGTATCAAAATCAGGAATGAACGTGCGTTCTTGCGTTGGATGTTTGTCGTCAAGACTTGGTCTTAACATTTATATTTCATGATCCAGTCCATTTTTATGAGTGTAGGTTTCCCCTTCAAGTCGATGGCGTCACTGAAGACTTGCTATTAACGTTTTGTTTGTTTGTTTAACGCCGCACTCAGCAATATTCCAGCTATATGACGGCGGTCTGTAAATAATCGAGTCTGGACCACAAAATCCAGTGATTGATATCATGAGCATCGACCCACGCAACTAGGATCGATGACATGCATCAACCAAGTCAGCGAGCCTAACCACCCGATCCCGTTAGTCGTCTCTTAGACAAGCATATTCGCCTTTTACAGCAAGCATGGGCTGCTGGAGACCTATTCTACCCCGGATCTTCACTGGTCTTCACGGTATTAAATGGTCACGTGTCATGATCTTAACTGGGTTCCCCATTTTGAAAGTCACTGGTTAGGAAAGCCCATTAACCTGATTATGATCTGGCCGACCATCAGGGAAGACTAACTCTCATCTGTGGCCTGGCCGACCATCAGGGAAGACTAACTCTCATCTGTGGCCTGGCCGACCATCAGGGAAGACTAACCCTCATCTGTGGCTAGGCCGACCGTCAGGGAAGACTAACCCTCATCTGTGGCCTGGCCGACCATCAGGGAAGACTAACCCTCATCTGTGGCCTGGCCGACCGTCAGGGAAGACTAACTCTCATCTGTGGCCTGGCCGACCGTCAGGGAAGACTAACTCTCATCTGTGGCCTGGCCGACCGTCAGGGAAGACTAACTCTCATCTGTGGCCTGGCCGACCGTCAGGGAAGACTAACTCTCATCTGTGGCCTGGCCGACCGTCAGGGAAGACTAACTCTCATCTGTGGCTAGGCCGACCGTCAGGGAAGACTAACTCTCATCTGTGGCCTGGCCGACCATCAGGGAAGACTAACTCTCATCTGTGGCCTGGCCGACCATCAGGGAAGACTAACTCTCATCTGTGGCCTGGCCGACCATCAGGGAAGACTAACTCTCATCTGTGGCCTGGCCGACCGTCAGGGAAGACTAACTCTCATCTGTGGCCTGGCCGACCGTCAGGGAAGACTAACTCTCATCTGTGGCCTGGCCGACCATCAGGGAAGACTAACTCTCATCTGTGGCCTGGCCGACCATCAGGGAAGACTAACTCTCATCTGTGGCCTGGCCGACCATCAGGGAAGACTAACCCTCATCTGTGGCCTGGCCGACCATCAGGGAAGACTAACTCTCATCTGTGGCCTGGCCGACCGTCAGGGAAGACTAACTCTCATCTGTGGCCTGGCCGACCGTCAGGGAAGACTAACTCTCATCTGTGGCCTGGCCGACCATCAGGGAAGACTAACTCTCATCTGTGGCCTGGCCGACCATCAGGGAAGACTAACTCTCATCTGTGGCCTGGCCGACCGTCAGGGAAGACTAACTCTCATCTGTGGCCTGGCCGACCATCAGGGAAGACTAACTATATATAGATATGTCTGATCCATGCGGGACCGGAGAACACTAACTTGTATCTGCAATGGAAGGGCCGATCATCAGAGAAGATCCGGTTAAAGGGGCACTGATCTAAAGCAATTCGCCGGGACTGGTGGTTGCCTCTGTTATTGTTTTTTCCTCGTGAGTGCCCGGATGATACGCAACGCAACTGAGCGTGACAAGAGACTGGGCTACCGTCTGCAAGGACAGCTGAAAAAACTTGGAGGCAATAATTGTTTTACTCATTTTTAAACACTGATTGTTAACTGTGATCTATAAAGATTTCGACAAAGGGCGCATGTTAATTAATTTATTTAGCCTAAACAAACAGACAAAAAGAAGCTCATCGGATGTCGTCATTTGGAAATAATTATATAGAGGATTCATCACTCGTGTTTTTTAATATGGGAAATATCTACCGAGTCTTAGTTAATCGGTATTTGCCTCGCCTTTGGCGAGGCAAATACCGATTAACGGGACGAGGTTGATATTTCCCATATTAAAAAACACGAGTGATGAATTCTATTTATCATTTTCACATTTTTGCTTCCAAATTAAGGAATAATTGCATTAAACATTAACATCAGCAACTTGTCGAAATCTTACGTATAGATCGTGCGTAGTGATACATGTTTTCCATAGCCATGTAAACCAAAATAAACAATTCGCTGAGAAAAAAAGTTCCTCGGATTATTTGAAACAAAATACTTGAACAGACTTTTGCAGAATAATTGAAACTTTAATAACGGTAACAACAACGATTCTGTGTTATCTGATTATATCTCTGGTGTAACTTCACTTATAATATATAGTTTCAAATCAAACCGCTCGCTCTTCCGGTTATCTAATTTGCATACTTATGTCATTGGGGTATGACATACATGTTTTTATGTCATAAGCTTATGTCATGGATAAATGCTTAAGTTAAATGATAAATGATTGTTATAGTTTAATAATAAAAAGGTATCCATGCAGTAAAAGCAATTTAGGATTTCGGATTGCATCGATAATATGATTACTACTCCCTTGTTGTCATCCACGTTTTCTCGTATAACCCTACACTTGTGTGTATTTGTCGTCATTCGCTTGATGCTCAGTTAATGAATTTATTACAGGTATAATTAGTGGTAGCACCGCTCAGAATACCTGACAAAGGTTCACATTTGGCATTTATTGTGTCTGGAGTATTCATTTGATCTAAATCCAGGTTTCAAGTGAGGTGAAATGTGTGTTATGTAATATGCACGTGGCAGCCCAGCAAGAGATGAATGATCAGTTGATTAACTTTTTTTTGTAAATCAACGGCTCGTTCCTAGTCATCAAAGGATTAACAGAAAATACATTGATTGATTAATCACTGTTATCTTTCACAGTGGATATGTGTGAGTGTTTACATGTCTAGGTTTACTAAAACAAAGGGAATACACTCATATCATGGCGTGAAGTGCCGATGTAAAAACAACATACTTTGTTCAAAGGGTTAACCGATAATATATTGATTGATTGCTCATTGTTATCTAACTCAATGGATTGTTTTAGGAACCGTGGACGTTATGAAAATAGTCGTCACATGGGCTTTCTCAGCCGACCTTTGAGACATGACACCTATGTGAAACACCTGAAACAATCTAAGTGATCAGTTGAGAAACGAACACCGTCCTACTAAATAACGCCCGGGGGCGTCCGGAAACGTCCGGAAACGTCCGGAAACGTCCGGGCGAATGATACTAAAAAATAAAGTGTATTCTATATAATTGTGTTCTTGTATTAATTATACAAAATAACATATAGCTGGAAAAAAAATTACATACACCCCTATTCTTTTTAAATGGTGAATCTGCGAAGCAAATACGATTTGATTTTATTCGAACTGACGAGGTATTCGTAACGAAGGCTTTGAAGGATACAATGTAAATTTGCTTATGAAACAAAAATAATGTTCTTTTATAGAGTCATATTCTGTATACTATTCCATAACTAATACTGAAACACAGACGTTTTCAATAGTTCATGCGTGGCCCCAGAATGGTTCACTGAGTGTAAAACGTCCGGTACTATAGCGTCCGGGCAACGTCGGGGAGCATTTGGTGGGAGCGTCCGGGAGGTTTCATCATACATCCGGAAACGTCCGGGAGGTTTCATCAGACGTTTGGGAGTTTAAAAATACAGTGCAGTCAATAAAACATGTCTTTCTCAGTTTGGTAAGATCGTGAGAATATCAACTGGCGTACGTGTTTGCCTTGTGCAGCGGCCAGAAAATGGAAGTACCAGTAACCGGAAGTTTCTGGCCGCTGCACATGGCAAACACGTACGCCAGTTGATATTCTCACGATCTTACCAAACTGAGAAAGACATGTTTTATTGACAGCACTGTATTTTTAAACTCCCGGACGTTTCCGGACGTCTGATGAAACCTCTCGAACGTTTCCGGACGCCCCCGGACGTCCTCAGACGTTAATAGTAGGACCCACGAACACGGGTTATAATATCCCGAAACGATATATTTTTTTTTTAATATTCGATTGTTACAGAGACACGTGGCATCGAATAAGTTTCTTGTACAGCTGCAGACGCGTTGAATATTGTTCCTTCGTGTGGATATTCACGGATACATTCCTCGAAGAAGGAAGCTGCCTAAAATTATACACATAAATTTGGTAGGTTGTAATTATGATATTTCATTTTGTTTTCCTTCATTTGCTGTAGCATTGGACAGATTCATTCCTGTTCTTCTACGTCTTGTTTGGGAAATTCTTCGATGCGCGATAGACGTTGTTTTCACAAGTCTTTTCCTTTGTAAGCGTGTATATATTACAGTCAATTTGTAAAATGTGATTTTCTCAGGCAATTTATAAAATGTGTAAATATTTTAGTCATTTTGACTGAAAAATTTGTCCATTTCTTTAACAGATTGACTAAAACTGATTAAGACGATCAAAAGGGCCTATAAATATCACAATAGATTATTATGTATGATTAGAAGCCAAACAATATAGAAATGTACTTTTCATCGTAACATTTTCAGTCTCTTGTTGATGATATTAAACATAAAAATGTTTGGAATTCGTGATCATAATAATACAGATGGACATATTTTCCAGTCAATTTATAAAATAACTGAATATTGAGTCTTTTAATAAATTTCCTAAGTGAAAAGTTTGCACAATTTTACTGTAAAAAATATAAACACGATAAAATAAGCAATGCTCAGGAGAAATATTTATTTTGTGTTGCAACTCAAAATAGCGTAAACGAAAATCGCACAATTACCAAGCAAGTGACTTATCAAAAGTTCGTCACCATTACCGATGCTACCCACAAAGATACCTACATTTCCTTATTATTTCCAAAACTGTATTTCATTATGTTGATAGATGTGACCATACGCCCATATACTATCAATAAAAGTGACAAATGCGCTTACGAATTGCGCAGCACAGGTCGCGAACTAGTCTAGGTTTCTGCTATATCATCCGGGTACTCACGGGAAAAAACAATAACCAAGGCAACAACCAGTCCCGGGGAATATTGCTTTAGATCAGTGCTTTAGATTAAGGTTTGTCGTAAGAGGCGACAAACGGGATCGGTTGGTCACTTTCGCTGACTTCGCATGTGATCGTATCCCACATTGGTAGATCTATGCCGGACTGGATTATTTATAGACCGCCGCCACATAGCTGACCTGCGGTATCAAGCAACAAATAAATTTGTATGAGAGCTCTCAAAAACTGAAGTCGGATGGTGTGCTGATCGTGTGTCTTCCTACCCTATTCGTTGCTCGTGGTTTGCCAGATCTGTTAATTTACAGGCCGTCTTGGTATAGCTTATAAATAGTGTTAACTGAGCGTTAAACAATGTTCATCATCCAAAACTGGCTGCCACAGGAGATATCGCTTGGATGAGATCAAGCGATATCTACACTGTAGATATCGCTGCAATGAAATTACATCACAATGCTTTGCAGACCATTGTGACGTCACTGGTTACCATGACGTCACAATCAAATGACATCACTAATGGCTCTGCTACTGAAGCTGTTTGCAGTACTTTTTACACCGAAGACGCTGCTAATTACTGTCTACAAATTTAAAAAGTTGAAAGAATGATGTTGGATGATAAATAAAACCTCACCCTCGTGTCTTTTGATATCAAATATATCAACACTCGTTGATAAAAGTGGCAAAAATCCTCGGCAAGCCTTGGAATTTTTCCACTTTTATCAACTTGTGTTGATATATTTGATATCAAAAGACACTCTGGTGAGATTCTCTATTTACATACCCCTTTAATCACAAAAAGAAATGATCTCAGTGTCACATCGTTAATTGTAACAACGACGACCATTTAATTGATATCCGGAACACGGCGCCCCTTTTTAAAATTAAGTAGATTAGATATCTATCAGTGGTTTGAACGTTTGTCTGAAGTGATACATGTGAAGTAACCTAATTAAAAATTCTTACTTTAACAACTAAGCTTATATCATATATCAACATCTAGATATCTACCCTCATACAGTCAAAATGTGTGTCTGCTTCGCTCGAGGTACCACCTATACATCTAAATCTAAACCTATTCTGAAAATGGAGGCACGGGTGGCCCAGTCGTCTAGGGCAGAGTTACGTCCCTTGGGCAAGTCAGAAACCTATGATTGTGGGTTCGAATCCCGGTTCGCCCCGATTATGTTTCTAGGTTTGTCAGCACCATACCCTTGCTCGTGGGTTTCACCGAAGTGGTAAACGTCTGAGACCTGCATCACTTCGGGCTTTCCTCCCACATTAAGCTGACACGCCGTGATATAACTGGAATACTGTTAAACGCAGCGTAAAACCCAACCTACTCACTCACTATACTGAAAATGGCCACCATTTCGTCACGCCGAAAGCCCGGGTTTGATTGTGTGTGAAGACATGACAATTACTGGATCATTTCTAAAAGCGGCGTAAAAACATACTCACACATGCCACAAGACTACAAAGCATGGTACCTCAGTTGAAGTAATAGATAGATAGAGTTAGATGAAAAATAAGTTCTTTTAACCCATTGACATCCAATATCCCCTAGCTGTCGCTTAAATTAGTGGGATGCCAAATGTATTCTGACCCGTGAAGATTCCGGGGTAAAATAGGTCTTCAGCAACCCATGCTTGTCGTAAAAGGCGACTAACGGGATCGGGTGGTCAGGGTCGCTGACTTGGTTGATGCATGTCATCGATCCCAATTGCGTGGATCGATGCTCGTGATATTAATCACTGGATTGTCTGGTCCAGACTCGATTATTTACAGGCCGCCGTCATATAGCTGGAATATTGCTGAGTGCGGCGTTAAACAACCAACCAACCAACCAAATATATTGAATTCTCCCGTGAAAATCACACGTGTAGATCTACTGATTTAGAACTGGGCTGACTGTCGGTCGTTTCGACGACCCTCGCCCTGAACTTGATGTAGGTTTATTTGTGATTCCCACCGTCCAAGATTATCTCTGTACAAAAAGGAAAAATCTTTATATTTTGGCTTGCGCAGCCAAAGAGCACGAGTTAATTTGCACAACAACACATCTCAAATAATCAAGGCAGTCAGTAGCTTATGTGAGGTGCTCAATGTCGCATGGCTAAACTGGAACATGTCGTACCATTTTCCTCATGTGACTCCAATTTATCATATGTAGGACAAAGATGAAAAGTGTATCTGCGTCGGAACTGTATTTGTCAATATCTTTGACAATCATATTTACATCTCCCCGACTCGAAACCGTACATTGTGGTAGCTTTGTCGAAACGTAATGCACATTTTTAATCAGTTGTCACGTAAAGGGCACCTTGCTGTAAAATCTCGCGAGATAACGTAAAATTATGGGCTGTGCGTGAATTTCGTTTTCAGTGGACGCCATATTGGAAGTGTCTGGTATTTCCCGCCTAAAGGCAGAACTTTTTCAATTTACACCGTAAATTGATAAATTGGCGTTGTGACATTTGATCATATGATCAGAAATATATCAATGTAACTACTACTGAATGTAGCTCGTCTTCCATCACGCGCCTTCATTGCGATGGTGCCCTTTTTGACGTTGGATTGTTGACCCTTCCTGCATCGACGCAATCATGAACAGATAGGATCATTGCTGCTAACTAATTCAACTAACTACAACTTACATAAAACCTTAGACTGCGGACATCTCTAAGAGTGAGTTTGTCATTTATGTCGTGCATGTGTGTAGCGCGATTGGAGCTTGAGATCTATTTTACCAATGATGCACCGATCAAAACATTGTCGAGGGTCGTCTGTCAGAAACGCCTACTCGGTTATTCCGCACCTGAAATTATTTTGCATCCCTGTCGAGTGACATTAGGTTATGCCCTTGTAACACTGAACGTCTTAAGTTTTTATTTGAAGGTTACAGCGGTTTTTTTTTGTCCTTTAAAGTGCTACTTCCTTCTTGCATAATGATTGACAGTTTTCCTGACCATCAAAAGTATATTACATCACCTGTGAAGGTTCATTCTGGATGACCCCGATTAACCACGTTGATAAACATGATAATGTTTCGGGATATTTCGTGATCCTATATCAAATAATTATTTAATTTATTTAAATATGTGCATTGCCTGATCTTTCAGAAAAATAAATGGAACACATGGTCATTGGTGCAAAATCCGATTTGTCTTTTATTTTGCACCAGTTAAATATTTAATCTAATTACGCGATTAAACCTTTTTTTGTACATTTTGTTTGATTTAGTGTTAAACCATGGACACCACATTCAGTGACCATGATGACACTTGCTATATTGTGGTGTTCAGAGGTTTTACTGCATGAACTTTTGATAACCACAAAAGCCATGTACAGCAATGTTATGTTCTTGCAACTAATATCGTATTTTCTGCATTAGGTCCATATTCTTTTGGCAGGTTCCTAGCTGTATATGATTAGCTTAACCATATTTATTTAGATTTCTTTTATCAGCACCATATCCAATACTCTGCTGCTGTTAAAAAACCCAAATGTACACAGGAAATTACAGACTGTCTTATAAATGTTAGGTCTTTATAGAGGGCGTCTTATAATGATTACTTACAACTTTGGAAGTTGGTCAGGGGGTTCTTATTACAGCGAATATGGTATTTGGAGTTTCTTCTCTATGCAATCATTACAGTCATGTTTCAGTGTCACTCTTATTAATCTCAGAAAAATATGTTCGAATAAGTCAGACTATAAAACACTGAGCAGCTGACACTAGTTGGACTTAGTCTGTATGTACTCTTGCGTGCTAAAAATCTAGCATGGCTTCTTGTCTTTGCCTAATACAGTTATCATCGATTAGTTTTTGCTTAAGTTACTCATCTGAAATAAGCTGTGGGCTGGTTTCATGTTGTCTACCCAAGTTTAGATGAAAGTTCCTATCTAAGCCTAAAATTCCATGTGACAGATGGCCTTGGGTCATCAACTTATCACTGACCATTTTATGATGTGGATATTCTTTGTTTATTGCACTAGACGTGGACATATCTAAAAATCTTAGTCAGCACTCAGAATTCAGGGCAGATAGATTAGGTTGAGATAATCTCTCATACTTGTCTTGTACTAAATTGATAATAAAAGTCAAAGCGTCCTTGTGATATCCCTTTTAAGAAAGTATTAGGGGTTTCTTGATTCAAATACTATAGCAGAAAACATCAATGACCACATCTTTAATTTCTAACGATGACCTAGTCATTCACCAAACCATTCATGTCAAGGTCACTGGTGGTAAATGGGTTGATTAAGCACTTGTTTAAGCAAATTTATACTCCACAAAGTTATTCAAATGTCAGTTTAGTAGGGTTGGGACATGAATTTTATTGCAATATATTGCAATACTGATACAGAGAGCTGTATTGCGATACATATTGCAATATGTTTGGGGGACCAAATGTTATATATTTGTACTGTTCAAATGGTACTGCTTCACTCAAAAATCCAGACATCAGAATCTGAGATGGGTTTTGACAGTAAGGATAAATGAGGCTACCTATAACATCATCAACATGGAATGTTAATGTATACAGAACGAAGTGTGTGCTGTTTAGAAAGGAACCCAGTTGATCCAAATATTTCAGAAATTAATATTCGTATTCGTTACCCTATATTCGTGATACGATTCGAATTCGCCTCATAGTGTATTCATTGCAGCCCTAATATATATTATATTATATGTTTATATATTAATTCTTCTTTGACTGTATTGGAAAATATTGATACAAAAGGGTTGTTTTGCGAAATGTGTATTGCCAACAGACATTTTGCAATATACTGGTGTACCGGTTATATACAGTTCGGATATATAAATCTATAAATCAACAATAACATACATCTTTTTACTTCCCCTTCTAAATTCATCTGTGACTCTCATACATATTCAGTAAATATTTCCTAGTATATATTTCACTGAAAAATGTTCCGGTACTTAAAATCACAACCCATAGCACAGGTCAAGCAGTTACCCTGGCTAGTGATGCACAGCTTGTTTTGTTATTGGCAGCATTTGTTTGTAGCCAGCAGGTTCATTATAAACACCACAAATCTAATATGGACAGTTCACTGCTCAGTTCAGACTAGTTTAAATAACATTAGTAGATTTTTATGTGAAAATATGAAGGATGAAACATTTCCTCATGACTTGAGCTTGAATTATTTCACAAAAAGGTGTTCAGGAAACCAGGAAACATTAAGTTCAGTTTTGCTATCAGTACTGTTTTGTTGTCATTTTAATAATTATGTTTTTTTGGAAAATACAACATTGATAAGCCATAATTCACTTCATGCATGCATTTCTGTAAAAGTAGGGGCGGGTAGCCTAGTGGTTAAAGCGTTTGCTCGTCACGCCGAAGACCCGGGTTCGATTCCCGACATGGGTACAATGTGTGAAGCCCATTTCTGGTGTCCCCTGCCATGATATTGCTGGAATATTGCTAAAAGCGGCGTAAAACCAAACTCACTCACTCACTGTAAAAGTATATGATGCATAACTGTGTTATTTCCATTGGTCAGTAGATTTTACTGTTACTATCTTTTGGGCTGCCATTGAATTGCTGAATACAGCTAATGCTGGCACACATCCTTTGACGAATGGCTAATGTTGCAGATTGGATAATTTTAGATACATATATTTTCAGCTGACTGATAACAGAAATAAACGTTCATTGTTTTAAGTGTCTCATTGTTAAATAGATGTATTTGCAAATACAGGAGGGGGTTGGACACATATTGAAAGAATTCATTGTTTACTGCTGAAGGTTCGAAGTTTGTTGTATTTTAGTCTGATGGGATGATTAAAATCGCAATGTAGGCTCAAGGTGCCTGAAGGAGACACTTAGAAATGAAATTACTTTTGAAACAATACCTGTGACAATGTTTATTATATGAAATCAGAAATAAACATGACAAACTCATGGAATTGTTTTATGAAGATGTGATCACTTAAAACACAGTACGATCCAGAAATATTTTTGTGTATTCAGAAATGGAAAAGGGTATTACCAATCTCAGTGAAGAGAAGGGGACAAACAATTATTACTGCATTATCAAGCCTTGGTGAAATGACATTTATGGTGTTATTGATGAATCAATATTATTCTCTTAGTTGGCACTCCTTCATTCAAAACAGCTACACATGTTTAGGAGTATCCCGTGGCACTTTCCAGAGAGTTTTCAGTGTAAATACCTTGTTTTACTTTGAACTTTTTGTTTCACTCTTTGTGTTTTGGGGTTGAATGATTTTTTCAAATTTGTATTTTCTTTTTCAGATCAACCATGTTCTGGAAGTTCAATATATTGACTTCCTCTCACATTGACTCGCTGCTTGACAAGGAGGTATGTGACTAAAGTAAACTGCTCTTCTGTGACTGGGAAATCAAAATGAAGCCTTTGTTATCAGCAGTGACTGGCTCAGATTGCTGAAATATTGCTGAGTGCGGACATAAGCAACAAATAATCAGTTGAATTTGTTTATTTACTTATCCCCCCCTTATTTGAAAAACAGGAGGATATAGTGATCAGTGTTTGGTCCGTTTTCCATTTTCGGGGCAAAACTTCAAAGCTGTTGAATATTTCTTGAGACTTACTATACAGATCCGTCTAGTGGTGAACTTGTACCTTTGATGATTTTGTTGTGTGTTTTTTTTAATGTTTTCATGACGACAAGTTGGATTTATGCTGAATAAAGAGGGTAATGCTCGTTTTCCGAGCAGAACTCTAAAACTGTTGTATATTTCTGGATAAAACTTGCAATGCAGATCAGTCTAGTGGTAAACTGGTGCCTTTTGATGATTTGGGATTTTTTTTATAATTATTTTTATGTTTTCATGGACAAGTTGGACTTTACTGAAAATAAAGGTAGTGCTCGAAATAAAAAACCTTAAATATTTTTCTTATATGAAACTTGCTAATACAGATCAGTCTAGTGGTGAACTGGTGACTTCGGATTTTGAAATATACTGAACAGCATTGTCTCTTTCTTCACTGAACTAAAAGTATCCAATGGCAATGGACCAAAAGTGGGATATAAGTATATGTAGCCATACTCTATTTCCGAATTGCCCTGATTTGATGACTCTTGCTTGAAGCATCACTGTATACAATTACAAGCATGGTGATGGTACGTGTTAATGTATAGCTCTAAATGTCAGGGGATATTTGTTTCTCTTCACATTAAATATGGAAGGTGATTTGTTGACATGATAAATGATATCAGTCAGCATTAAAAATTGGCACAAGTCCTGTCATCCTTGCCAAACTGCCCAATATTTAAGGTATCATAGGGACCAGTAGAAATTTGCTATTATTAAGAGTTTTGCTATATGGCATCATTATAAGTACTAGTGGTCTAAAACTATTAGTTTCTATCTCTGTAAGGGGGGTTGGGTAGCCTAGTGGTTAAAGCATTTGCTCGTCACGCCGAAAACCCGGGTTCGATTCCCGACATGGGTACAATGTGTGAAGCCCATTTCTGGTGTCCCTCGCCAGGATATTGATGGAATATTGCTAAAAGCAGCATAAACCATACTCACTCACTTCTGTATCTGTTTTCAGGATGTTACATTGCGAGAGCTTATGGATGAAGATGATATCCTACAAGAATGCAAAGCTCAGAACAGAAAGCTCATCGAATTGTAAGTTGGCCAAGTCTACAATGCAATCACTTCAGCTGTTCATTTCTATGAAAGGATAACATCCATTTTTTTATGGTTGTAATACTCTTTAGTCAATGCCTCTTCTGTCTGTCGTCCATCTGTAAGTAATCATTTTGTTTCCGGAGCACAACTAAAAAAACATTCAATATTTTTCCAAAAGATTGGATGATATATCAAACAGATCCTGAAGTGGTGCCATTTGCTATTTGCGAATTTATTGCGTTTTTATTTTTCTTGATTTCCATGGAAACAATTTGGACTTAGTTTCAAAAGGGTGTGTGAATTTCGTTTCTGGAGTTAGGTGTCGTTTCAGGAGCAGAACTGAAAAAGACGGTTCAACATTAATGATCAGGGGCTGAAGTGGTGCCTTTTGCTCTTTAGGGATTTAAAAAAAAAAAGAATTGACCTGTTTCAATGGCAGCAAGTTTGACTTTTACTCTGTTCATTTTAGTGTGTGTGTGTCCGGACTATATCTCTACAACTCATAGGTATTCTTTCAAGACACTTTGCACACACCAGGTTGTCAAATGGTGACTTTTGCTACTTAAATTATTTTTTGCATTTCCATGGCAATAAGTCGACTGTTTATAGTGGTGTGTTTGTCCAGACCATATGCCTAAAACTAACTACTCTTTCTTGAAACTTCACACACAAAGGCTAGGTTGTCAACTGATGCCTTTTGCTATTTAGGATTTTTAAAAAAAATTTTTTTTCTGTTTCCACTCTGTTCATATTGGTGTGTCTGTCCGGAGCATATCTCTCCGCCATCATACATCTTCCTGAGGCAAGACAGTTAACTGACTATAAAAGTCCAGTTTCACCCTTGCCGAACTAGGCTGGTATTATGGAGTTATATTTTGGCTGGACTACGGAGTCTATGCATAGTCCAATCAAAATCGCGCACTGAAATCAAAATCCGGTTCGTAAACTGTCGTGCAGATTTCAGTCGATTGCAGGATTTGCAAAGCATGTGCACCGCCAACTCGTTGTCAGCAGATATTTTCCAAATCTTTTCATGTTTTTAATCAAGGTGCTCACATGATTTGATGCATTTCGCGATGTAAGACCCGTTTTATCACAATATAGATCTTGATTATCGATCAGATCGTCCTGACTCGGCGCCACTATTTTGTGTGAAACAAACGCAAGTGATGCATGAGATGCAAGAGGTGGAATCTGATTGGTCCATAGGAAAGGCTTTGAAGGGACATAACTGGTAATAGCCACTGGTGGTGCTACGATCGAGCTGAGTAATTCCAGCCTATTTCGGCAATGGTGGAAACTGGACTGTTTTTTGGTCATCTTGTGATGACTCTTGTTGAGAAGGAAAGAGGAGATGTGTGTTTTATTTTTAAGGACGAATTTCACCCTCTAAATAGTGAAACAGAACTACTTAAAGTCACCATGTTCACTATTCACCAATTTCATCTGAGCAACAGCCACCATACCCCGGAAAACACACTAGTTTTATGGGTGGATATTTACATGTATCCATAATGCTACATATGTGGTAGCTGTTTACAAAATTTACCTCAGAAAGCAGAACTGTTTGTTTGTTTGTTGTTTAACACCACACTCAGCAATATTCCAGCTATATGATAGTTTCTGTGTAAATGATCAAATCTGGACCAGACAATCCAGTGATTGAGATCATGAGCATCGATCCACTCAATTGACTGACCACCCGATTCCGTTAGTTGCCTTTTACTGCAAGCATTGGTTGCTGAAGACCTATCCTACCTCGGATCTTCATGGGTCGAAAGCAGAACTCATAACAACCAGACATTTTAATGGACAGACAGTTGTTAATATCTTTTGACAGCCACACATACAGACACAAACAGAAACACTGTTTGGCAGTTGTCATACTTCAAAAGTTGGGCATTCTAAATTATGACACTGTTGTATGTTAATTCAACAACGATTTAACACAAACCAAAGGAAGCATTGATACCATATCAGTTTGACACTGGGAATTGCATTCAGAACAAGTCGTATTTCTTTATTTGTAGCTGATCCAAATACTGATAAACATCGGTAGATGTTAATTAAGGTTGACAGAAGTGGCAAATGAATTGTAGGTGGGGATGATAATTTAGTAATTAATTTATTGTGGTCTTATGAGGTGGACTTGACTGAAAGCAAGTTTATTAGGCTTGCATTTGGAGCAGTAGTTAAAGTTGTATACTATGGATGGAGTGGAATAATAGATTGGAGGGTAAGGCATGGGCTTATCATCCAAGGACCCATGTTTAGATTCCAGCTGTGAGATGAGCTTAAAACCAGAAAATGTTCTTTCCAAAACCTCCTCTCACCTTATTCATAAAGTCACCTAACCTGTGAAGACCCGGGGTAGAATAGGTCTTCAACAACCCATACTTGCCACAAAAGGCGACTATGCTTGTCGTAAGAGGCGACTTACGGGATCAGGTTCACTGACTTGGCTGATGGATGTCATCGTATTCAAATTGCGTGGATCGATGCTTATGATGTCAGTGACTGGACTGTCTGGTCAAGACTCGGTTATTTACAGACCGCCATCATATAGCAGGGAATATTGCTGAGTGCGGTGTTAAACAACAACAAAACAAACATAGTCACTTCTTGCTGCCAGCAAAGATTCCTTGGTACCTATTAACTTGAAACGCCCATGGAGGAGGCCACAGACTCGTCACCTGTGTTGTCTGTTTCTAGCATCATCCAGCCAGAGAACATGGAGGAGATGGTGCAGCTCATCACAAAAGATCCCCCTGACGATGTGGACGAGAAAATGAGATTCAAGTAAGTAGCCAGTGACTTCTTCGGCCTCAGTTTCAATGAATACTTACAGCTTGTCCAGATACATGTTTACAATCAACCCATTAAAACTGACAAGTCAAAAAAGCATTGATGGTGTTTAATATGATAAATACCAGTTACGCTTAAGGCTTTTTAGAATTCAGTGAACATTTATTCACCAGAATTAATTTGATTGGTTCTAGGTTCCATGTCCGAAACCTTGATGTGCCGTGACAATTGTCTTTTGCTCACTGTTTTGAGCTTATGTTTACCAACAGTTATGTTTTCCCTCAGCCATACTGCATTTGATACCCCAATTTCCACATTTTGTTACATCGATCATAAACAACTTGTATAACTCCTTGGGAAGATGTTTGTAAAGTGACAAGAAATAGGGCAAGATGTTACAAAAACAAGAAGAGAATACATGAATATATAAGAAAAATTGAGTTAAGTAATGTTATTATGTTTGTATATATAGAAACAGGTATTATAAACGATGGCCTTAATAGGCCCGACACATTGTGTTTCAGATACCCGAACACAGCCTGCGAGGTGCTGACATCCGATGTTACCCAAATAAATGACAAGTTGGCCGGGGATGAAGCACTCATAGATAAACTTTATGGTTTTCTTGAGGGGGAGAAACCGCTAAACCCATTGCTCGCTAGCTTTTTCAGTAAAGTGATGGGTTTATTAATTACACGGAAAAGTGAAATGGTGAGAATCATTGGAGAGCAATGTGGCATCGTTTTGGGGGAGGATTCCTTTCTGCATGCCATCTGTTTGTCCTACGTTTCACGTTCTGTTTCTGGTTCTCTTTCTTTGAGTCTTCTCATTTTCCATTAGTTTTCATCAGTTCCAAAAGGACATGGTAGGATAAATTCGGTATGGCAATAACAAGCTTTTTGGTTTCTTAAATTGAAAGCTTTCGATTTTGACATGGTCAAATTTATACATGATATAAGTCCAGTTGAAATTTGTGAAAAGGCAGATTTTTCTAACTTCCAAAGAAAATCTCAATATGGGCAAGACAGTGACCCAATTGAATTTCTTGCCATGTCTGCTTTTATCTACATCTCCTTGAACCAAGGATGGGAAAAACCCTTATCCTACCTTGTCTTTGTTTCTCTTAATTCATCCCTGTTTATCATCAAGAATCAGTTCATTTTATTCATGAGTCACAATTCATTCATCACTTTCCTCAATCTGTAAACTTCATTAAACTCTACCTGCTATATCTTGAAGTCTTTAACTGTCGTTTCATAATGGTTTAGGTTATAAAGACTTCCTCGTTGACTTGTTACTGATTACCTGTAAATGTTTTGTTGTTGACAGATATTTGAATACCTGAAGAGTAAGAAAGACTTTGTGGGCAGTTTGTTAGATCACATCGGCACCTCAGCAATAATGGATTTACTACTGCGATTGATCACTTGTATAGAGCTGCCAGACGTGCGCAGAGCTGTGATAGATGTACGTATCATATGCTGGATGTGGTGGTAATGTATGTCCAGAATATTTGAATGCAGTCGGCTTAAGGTGAACCATCTTACCATACCGTTACTAAGGCTTAAATATATTTATTATTCATCTCCTAGTCACCCTATGCAGGCACAATATTTCTCTTTTAAAAAAGTGGGTACTGTATATTACTGGGTATAGGCCAAGTGTTTGAGAACAAGATCCATGGCATAAAATGAGGATCGGCGAATACCCTGAAGCAATGTTCTTTGAAAGTATTTTGCAGTCTACAGCGAGTATCAATAGAAATCTGCCACTGATTATTCTCACAGTGCATAAATTAAAGAAATGTCATTACAAACCTTTAACAAAACTCATAGTACTGTATATACTTTCAATATTGTTTGTGATAAATATACCTATGGAAAGTAACAAAATGTAACATGATTGATGACATTGCTTAGCCATGTTGTGTTGGGGAGCATTGATTATGTATTCCACATTATGAGATGAAGATCATGTTTGAAGGAAATTTGATTCTAAATCCTGTTTACAAAGCTATCAACCATCTTAAACAGTTACATTTGATAAGGATAGAAAGTAATTCGTTGGCAAGATTAATTTTGTCGGTCTACTTTTCTAGCAAACATATTTTCTCCTGCTTGTCATATAACTCTCTCGTTTTCGTGAAATCAATTGTCGGAAATGAAAAATAAGGTATATCCAAATGAGACAGGTCAGGTCAACTGGCATTGACGAAAGCTTCCACGACAAGCGTTGTTTCACGAGTTAGTATGATATTATATTGTCTTAATGATAAGATTAAACAAGCATGTTTTTCCAGTGTAACTTGGAAGAATCTTTTAATTTGAAGTTTACGCGATATAGGGATTTTCCATTGGACGAGAGGTCGGTCACCTGACCGGAATTAACGTAAGTGTATGAACGAAACAATTTGACGTTCATACGTTTTTCACGAGGCAGTGTTCTTGAAATGACATAAACACTGACAGATTACTTCCACATTCCTGGGGGACCCCTGGGAATTCTCTAGCACAAATAAACGCAGAAGCATTTCACATCATTTAGACCCTTTAATCTTGAACTTAGAGTTTTAGCATACATTGGGATAAGTCAGAGAGTTTGAATGCATATCCGTTCATACATTGGGATAAGTCAGAGAGTTAGAATGCATATCTGTTCAAGTTTGGACCTCACTCTATAAAGGTTCATACTCCAGTGAACTCCCACAAAGTGGAAGTCTATTCTTGAATGGAAATATCGCTGACATATACAATCAGTGTTCTGTGACTGAGGCCTTGCGGGATTCCCACAACATTTCTGTCCATGACGCAATTAAAATACGAGTCAGGCTGGGCGCACTAAACTTTTCACCTTCACTTACTTCAATATAATTTTAATCTGAAAGGTTGTGTATTATAAGTAAACATTGCAGTCAAACATCAGCATGTTTCTAAACCAAATGTGTCCGCCATGTTTGAGATTACTATAGTGATATTTTTTACCAATTGTAGGCAAACTTACAATTAACGCCAGTAGGAAGGCACTGAATATTGTTTCAGACCAATCAGATTTATTGTTTTTAAATAGATACTGTCATAGCCGGCAGTGAAAAGCATGGTGTCTGCTAAACTGAAGAAGTGACAAATGCGCTTGGAAACATTTTTGGTGTCGTCATTGGGTAAAAAACAAAAGAATGACGACATGAACTTTGGATGAATTTTGATGCATTTTGTAATAATTTATTATAACTGTTACAGAGTTAAGATGTTTAAACATTTACTGAAAGGGTGAAATTGAATCACAGATCCATAAATCATTAATGATAATGTGCGTTGCTCAAGTCGCATAGTGTAATCTGTTATTTGAAACTGCATACAGATTAATCAAATACACATTAAAACATTTCTTTTGAATTGAAAGGTTTATTGCAGTTTATACCATATTTTGTTGAATTAGGACCATCAAATTGAAGGACAGTACATAGCATTTAAAAATCATCATCAATTTTGCTTTATTAGGGATGAGGCCCTTCAAAATTTTAGAAGGCCCCTTTAATTGACACCAAGGGCCCCAAAGGACCCTTGGTTGATGGAGGCTAGGAACAATACTGTACAATGTATTTATATTGGCTGTACCCTGTCTATTTTTGGAGCTGTCCTTTCTGCAAGGCATGTCATTTAGTTTGTGATTTTAAGGGTTGTGCTTGGGTTATCTGCTGACATCCGGTGTCGGCAAATACCTGTTAATATGCAGTAGTCAGATCATTGTTCTGAAGTCAGTGCCTCAAACAACAGATGGTATGTAGTATTTTATCATTATATGTATCCAGCAATGTGTACTAGAGTTTTGATTAATCGGTGCTTTGTTACACAAGTGTTACATATTTTATCATTCTTGTTATATTTCCTTAATTCATGCACATGAATATTCATTTGATGTAAGGTCAAGTAATTCTACCAATAGTATTACAAGTGTCTTATTTTCAGTGGTTGAATGACCAACATGTGGTCGAGCGGCTTGTAGCTAGCATAGTCCCATCAACAGATGAAGATGTGAGTACATTGATGATTATTATGAGTACTGATTTTGATTATGTTAATGGATCATAATGTGTGTCGTTTTATTTCTCTTACACGTTCTCATCCTTTTTCCAAGATTCTGCTCAAGTCAATTTTTGTGAAAGGCCAGAATTTATTTCTAATGACAACATAATATTTCTGAATTGTGTCAAAAGATTGTAGAGTGTGAAAAGAAATTATCAATAACCTGTTTTGTTGCAGGTAATCAATCCAATCATATATTTTTGAAGGTTTTGGATAATATTCTGTTACCTTTAACTCCAGATTCTCATGCATTTTTTTGCCATCCACAGTGATTGGGAAAGTTAAGTGTGATGCGAAATTCATGCATAATTTTATAAAATAGTGCATAAAAAATACAGTACGGGTAGTTTATGTTGACTGACATATCACAATTATATTTGATTTCAACACAACGACATAACATTGCAATAAAATATCACTAGACATGATGATTTACCATTTCAATTGTATTTCTTGTACTGCTAGACATTGTTTTATATGCAGAGATTCAGATCACTCTGTATTTGTCTCATAAAATAAGCTGTCAGCTAGGTGATTCAGTTAAAAAATATCCAATAATATTATAAGAATTTTCATGCAATGATTGGAAGAAGTAGTATCTGAAATTATTATTTTGTCAAGGAGTGACAAAGCACTTTCTGATCTCCATTCTGTAGATTCACTGCAATGCAGCCCAGTCACTCTGTGATATTGTACGTCTTGGAAGAGAACAAATTATTCAACTACAGGACTCCTCTGATCCAGATCCCTTGTTGGTTACAATGGAGCTGTAAGTTTGATTTATTTCTACTCATTTCTGAAAAAAAGATTTGTCGAGAAATACAGAGAGATGAAATTAAGTAAGTTGAGGTCTATTTCAGATTTATAAATACTGGTGCAGAATAGGTTGCTGGTGCTTGTTCAAACAGTGTGGATTATTGCACATGCTTTTAGTCACTGGTTTGTCTGATCCAGACTGTTATGGTGATTTAGCTTGAATGCCATAAAACAACTTTCACCACTGGTTTATCTGGCCCAGACTTAATAATATGCAGTCTGCTGAGATTTGACTGGAATATTGACTGCAAACAACATTCGCTCACTCCCTCAGTATCTGGTTATGAATAATGATTAATCTGTGTCATACTCAGGAATATTTCCAGGTCTTTCAGTTTCACTTTCCACTGAATGTGCTGTAAGTTGATTGTTACTGTTTAGCATTAATGTGTCTCTGTGTTTCATTACAGTGAGGAAACTGTGGCGCAGTTGTTAAAGAATCTTCTGGACACTGAAAAGAATGAGTCTGTGTTGGTGAATGGGTTATTTGTCATACACACGCTTCTGGAGGTTCGGAAGCAAGGGTAAGTGAAAACAGTGTTTGTCATTGTATCAAGTATATGTCATGACAATGTCCAAAGTCTTGTTATACCCCTGTTTACGAATTTTGATAACTGGTTTTGTATAGCTCATGGGGTTATAAAGGAAAGGGCAGTTCCTCTGACTTAAAGCAACAGGTATATTTCATTAATTAACAAACTATTTACTATTTGTTGTTGACCAGCAGCGATAACGGGGGTATGTGAGCTTTGCTCACTTCTTTCTTGTTTATTATGATGTGGGGGTCTTCTTTGAGATACTGGGATAGGAGAATGATACAATTTGTCCCTTCTGGGTATTCTGTGGCAGAATAGATCCCAAGTACCCATGCTTGTAAAACTAAAATCAGGATAACCTGGAGTGGATGCCTCTGTGTCATCCAAACGTGAAGGCTTGGGTTGTTGCTGATGCAGTCAACAACTGGTTTGCCTTGTCCAGACTTTATTTATAGGTCACAATGACACAGCTGAAATACTGCTGACTGTGGCAATGCTCACTAAGACACTTGTCTGTACAGGATGTTCATGCCCCCATGGTAGATGTCGTGGTTAGGACAGGACAGGACCCCAGCATCCTATTGCTTGTTGTCAGAGCTCCAGATAAGCTGCGTATCGGTGTGAAATACGCAGCAGAAATGCAGAAATACGCAGTAAAATATAATCCAAGCGTATCAAATACGCAACGAACATTACAGATACGCTACAAAAATAAAACTTGTGCGTATCATCAAAATATTGTAAAGTAACCCTGCGTATTCGATTTGAAAATCAGCAACTTATTTTGAAATTATAAACGGGCATTCCGCCAACCTTGCCAAACTCCACGATGACAGTCACATCATGATCATTTGCCATCACACTTTCTTGTGGAAGTATCATGGTATTTTTGAGTCCTATAAAGCTCTCGAACCCACACGACACCAGTTTGCAGGGACTAGATGAATAGTGTTTTTAAATATTTATCTTAAATACCCACATGTGTAAAAACTAGTGGGTAACAGAAATTTGAATACGCAGATAGAATTACTGATACCCAATGATTTTAAAATGCATGGGTAAAATACCCACAACACCAAAAGCTTATCTGGAGCTCTGGTTGTAAAAGGCAGCACAATTTGATTCATGGGTCAGTATAATATGCGTGCGTGCATATCCGTGTGCGTTCTTATAGAGAAATCCAGGTTTCAGAAGGGTGTTGCACTGTAGTGTATGTATATTATGTCTCAGTTGATTGTTTATTTAAGAATTGACGTTCACTTTGTGGGAGTTCATTGGAGTATGAACTTTCATAGAATGAGAGCCAAACTGTATGAATGTTGGAGCTTGTTATGACGTTCATGCAATATTTGGCCCTCACTCCATGAAGGTTCATACTCCAGTGATCTCGCACAAAGTGAATGTCAATTCTTATTATTTCTAAGTCACTATTTCAACCTCAAAGGATGGAGATCTATACAGATTTTATTTAGTGTGTGATGTGATGTTTACACTGACGGCCATACAACAACCAGCTGTAACACGTAACGTGGAAGTAGTCCATCATTTCAAGAATACAGCCTCGTGAAAAACGTATGAACATCGAAATGTGTCATTCATACACTTACAAACTCCAGTTTCGCTGTCATTTGACTGACCTCTCGTCCAGTATATTGTGTAAACCTCACATTATAAAATTATAGTCTGATGAGTAAAATGTTTCTTAATGTGACTGGTAGGACCGAGGGAGCAGCTGAACACATGGCCGCTTTTGACACCGAACGTCTCACTCAGGGAGTCAACAGTGTGCTAGCAGCAATAAGTCCAAGGTTAAAAGACTTTCACCAACTCTTGCTAGAGCCTCCAAAGGTAACGTATATTGAGATTTGTGTTTTCCTACCATTCAATATTAATGAATTCAAAACAATGCAAGCCTTCAGTATATTCCTAATTGGAAGGCCTGCTGAAGTTTTGCAGAGGTTTATTGTGGCCAGTAAGCATTGAGCCAACATGTGTCAAATTTAGCTGTAAAACTCGCTGCAATTTGTTGTCGAGAGTTGTTTCCCTTTGGCCTGCAGAAACCAATTACTGTATTCGACGTAATAAGCGCCCACGGCGATATTTGTTAATATATTGGCTAGTGAACAATCCCAATTAACACCCCTTTCGATTGATCAATGTACACAAGACTTATTTATTCGTGTATAATACGCACTCGTGTGTTATATGCACCCTTAATTATGGGCAATTCAATTCTGGAAAAATATATCTGTTGTATATAAACATTTCAGGCTAAAAACATTACTATTCTAATAAGAGCCCCCTATTTCTAATTTTGAGAGTGCCCTGGGCGCTTATTACGTCGAATACGGTATCATGGTTTTGAATCCAAGATTTGCTCTGGTTATGTTTTTAGTTTGTCAGGGCCATACCTGTGCTTGAGGATTTCACTGAAGTGATAAACATGTCAGAACTACATCACTTCTGGCTTTCCTCCAACATCAAGCTGACACCCTATGCTATGACTAAAATACTGTGGAAAGCATGTTTAATTCAACTAACTATAATTTCCTTGCAGCAACGTTTCTGTGCAATGCCAACAACGTGTGGGACACTTGAACCCCCACTCGGCAACACACGTCTCCAGATAGCCAAACTGGTCACAGCTCTTGTATCCACAAACACACACTCTGTCAATGTAGAACTAGCCAATCTCGGGACCACGAGAATTCTACTGGTAAGAAGGATTAGTTGTGACATGACAAACTATTTATGAGCATGGTAAGGTTGCGATACCAGGCATGATCTTTACAAACTATTGAATACTTACAATGTAAGCTTTTTTTAAAACATTTTCAAGGCTGTGTAAGTTTTTTGCTCATATAATTGACAGCTCTCTTGCAAATCCTTGAGGTTATTACTTTTCGATAAAGGTTGTTTATTGTTGTTGTTGTAATGTTTACATATGAAATACTAATTTGTTTCAACAAATGTTTTTGGAGAAAATGTTACTTGAGAATTGGAGATATATTTCAAGATAAATTTACCTGTCTCAGGCTACCAAACCCCAGTAAGGCATAAAACTGGACCAATAACATAAGAATAACTTGCTGAAAGTTTGAAACTATTCTACCTAGGGATCCTTTAGCATCAGACTATTTTATATGTTACTTGTCTTTCATCTGTAGGTTGACAGCACTAAACGGTTTTTTTTGCAGGATCTCTATTTTAAGTATGTGTGGAACAATTTCTTACACACGCAAGTGGAGCAGTGTATTAACACAATACTCAATAACGTTCCTGTAGAAGTGGAAAACAAGAAAGAAAATCCTCTCTTAGTTCAAGTGAGTGAAATATGTTCTATCTTATTTGTCAGATATTTACCATGTGGGGATTTGACAAAACCTGTTGCTTTCCGTCGTTGACAATTGGCATGATTGACACTAACAAGTCTGTTAGGGTAAATCTTATCTTTATGTAATCACAATAGTTTATGTAAGTTATTGTTGATGACAACATTTTCATATCGATAACCGTTATTATTTCTTCCAATCAACTATAATTCTGATTATTGATCTTTTGGGCCGTCCCAAAATATGATACAAAAAAGCCCAAAGATATTTAGCATTACTGTCATTTTTATTCTTTTTGTTATTATATGAGCATTGATATTGTGTTAATGTTTTGCAAATGTATATTTGTAATTGAAATGTCAAATGTAAAGGTATAACCAAATACAATTGAGTTAATTGAATGTCTTTGTTTTTACAGCTATTTTCAGATTGTAAAATAATTCAGAGATTACTTGATGAGTGGGAAGAAAATGAGCAACAACAGTGAGTATAAGAAACCATTGAGGGGTCAGTCAGTAAGAGGTAGACCAAAATTCTGATCAGCTGGGTAAAGAAGCCATTGGAAAAATGATTCTCAAACGAAGCAAATTTTATAAATATCCTGGCGTGTTTTGCGAGGGGTATTAAAATAGACACCGTCAGTCTGTCCATGTAAGATGTCGTTTTTGGAGCAGATCTTGAAAACCGTAGAAGTTTTCTTCACCAAACAAGGCGCATAGATAAGTCTAGGTGTGAACTGGTGCCTTTTGATAGTTTAGGATTTTCGACAGTTTCTGTTTGCTAAAACTTTAACTTACGCTGGAAATGGGGGTAGTGCTTGTTTCTGGAGCAGATTTTGAAAAGGTTATAATGTTTCTTCACCTTACTTGACACAGACAGGTCTAGTGGTGAACTGGTGCTTTTTGATAGTTTCAGATTTTTTGACAATTGATATGAGTTCCCATGGCAACAATATATATATATAACTAGTTGACATATTAACAACAACTATTTAACATTGCGAATATCCTTTGAATATCGAGGACTTAGTCCTCTTGTTTCTTTTCTTGTTACATTTTTTCTTTTTCGTTCCTCACTCAGCCCCATGGTGAGATAGTTTAGGCAAGGGTAGATAACTTTTCTGTTCAATCCAGACAACCCTGACATTCATGGAAGTAGTCATGATACCAAAGTTTTATCTGACAATAATAATAAAATACAACTTGGTAAACAATCTTCTAATCTTCTAAGAATGTGTTGACTTTGAGTGACCTGCAAGATGTTTTGAAACTTTTTTTTATCATGGTCTTGTTATGATTAAGAATTTTCTTCTTTGTATATGTGAAATTTATGAAATGTGATGTGCAAGTGTTCTGGCATGATAGTTTTTGAGTTGAGTAGGATTTGATGAACATCCATAAACATGGTATATTTCATGTTTGCAGAGCCCGAGAAGGCGGTAGAAGGCGAGGTTTTATGGGACATTTAACAAAAATGGCTAACACACTAGTATCAAGTTTAGAAAAGGGAGAAAATGCAGAATTTGTCAAAGATTGTTTTAATGGTGAGTTGTATTTTGACTTTTTCCTTGTCTTCTTAAATATCTTTGTGTTATTCAACTTTTCACCTTAAGGACCCTAGCTGATTTGTACATTTCATTTATACATTTACAGTAAGTAATGTCCCACAAATGTGGGTTATTGTGGGTTAGAAATGGCCCCAAGCAATATGTGCTGTTTGTAGTACGTTACTAAATGGCTCAGGTGGTCAGATTCAGTGACTTTGTTGATGGTGTGTCAATGCACCCTGACAGCATGGATTATTGTTGATAATATCAATGAATGGATTGTCTGGTCCAGACTTGATCATTTACAGTCTGCCAGATTAAAACATGTTGTTTGTCGAGCGTGTTGAATATCATGTTTTATTACTCATATTATCATGATTACACAATGGGGGCCGTTTGGTAGCCTAGCGGTTGAAGCTGGAGATAGGGTTTGATTCCCCACTTGGGTACAATGTGTGAAGCCCACTTGCCCCCTGTCATGATATTACTGGAATATTGCTAAAAGCAACAAAAAACCTTATCACTTACATATATAAAGATATAGTCTGATTAGGCAGTCACAATGTCAAATCTTACTTAACTGACCATTTTATTTACAAATGGACTGTGATAATTCTGACTGTATTTGATGATCTTTTCAGAAACACCAGAAGATTGTCGACAAAGGTGGGAAAGATTTGTGTCGGGGACGTTAGCAGAAATAAATAAGAAGAACACAGTAGAATTGGTAAACATGATGTTCTTTATGATGGTATAATCTTGTAGGGTATCCAGGGAATTATCTAAGAATTCAAACTAATGTGAGATGCCGAGAACCAGTGAATAACACACCACCGACACTTGTTCAAGTTGCATTACGCTTGAGTTAGGCAAGCTCATCCTGCCAGTGAACAGTGAAAACTGAGAAAAGCTGATATCTTAATGTTTGATTTATGTTGTTTAGTTCGGCAGTGTTCGATATTAAGCGTGAAGGTCAAAGGGTGCTTGTCTTTCACTAATGTTAGTTTACAATTGACCCTTCATTCAAATGCTACAGCAGCAAACCTCAAACACTCTTCACCATCTACGAAAGAACAAACTCATTTTTATCAGAAAAACACAGGATATGTTGCCCAATGGAGAATGATGTGGAGTGTTGGTCATGCCTTCAATCACTGGATGTCTGGTCCAGACTGGATTTTTTGCCATGATGCTGCTTAAATATTGCTGCCTCGCATTAAACGAAACAAGAGTATCAGCATTTGTCCAATTGATCTTGATCAAATACTGTGTAGTCTGCCTTGAAAGGAAATAAATTTCTCAGCGGGGGAGTAAATCTTTTATACCCTGCCACGATCACTACAGGCTGCACATGCATTTCTGAGAGACGGAATCAATCCTTTATGCCCCACTTCAAGCAAAAAGACCCATGCTTTTTCCGAGCCAGTTGATGTCACATAGTGCAATCTAACCTCAGCTCAATCAAGCAGCTGTTTTCTATCGATTTGGAATTTATTTGAATTATTTTACAATGTCATATTAAAACATGTGGGTAAGATAAATTCGTTGTAGCAGGATCACTCAGGGTACATGGGTTGTTTTTTCTGTCCTCATTAGGTTCTATACCACGACCCGGAAGCGAGCCGTATAAAACCTGTCGCTGGACTCATAAAACCCCATGTACCCTGAGTGATGCGTGTGCGCACATCTTAGACTGTTGCTCAAGGTTGGGAGATGCAAGTTTTCACATACAATTTGTATTTCCAGATACGAGGTCACCCATTAGCTTCCAGCAGTGAAGAAGACGATGGTGATTTCAAAGACATTCCTTTCCCTCAGGACACTGCCATGCAACAGGTAAAGTTTACACTGAACTTCTTACTGTAGTTCACAAGAACATTGCTAAGAGTAATACTCAACAACTGAATCAGTGTTATGTTATTTTTGCTAAATTTAATATTTTGCAATCAATCTGCATTTTGCAAGCTAAATTGCACATTATTGAATTTTTTATGAAAGTTAACAATAATACATATCAAGTTTCCATCATATTCAGATTTTCTGTTTATTAATTATCTTTTCATGAAATGCCAAGTAGTTGAACTTGTTAAAACCGGTAAATGGTGTCAAGTTTTGTTTTAATTTTTGTAGAGGATTTTCAGTTCGTAGATAAATGTCTTCTTTTTTTTCCCCAACAAGCTAATTTGTTTAGTTTGCTGTTGCACCAGCTTCTGCCTGTAGCTATTGTAGAGATTAAACAGACCATTTGTTTATTTAAAGTGTCCTTGTTTCAACTGCATGTTTAATAAATGTATATTTCTATTAACTGTTTACAGTAAGCAATATCGTAGCAATATAGTAGTGTGTTCTGTTGAAACTTCACATGGAACTCCTGAAATGGCAATGTGTAGTTTCAGCAAGACTAGTTGGGAATTGATTGAAGAGGAAACTTATGCATTCTATTGGCATCTCTCGGATGTAATGAAAAATGCATGCATTGAATTGCATGGCTCTGAATATCTATGCATGTATATTACTCTGATGATTAGATGGAGGGAAAATGTGGAGGGGGGAATGGAGTGAGCTGTGTCAGTAATTGTTGGGCACTGCATTGGATTTACTTTTCAATGGAAAATACATCACATTGGCTGATGCAATGCATGGGATACACTGTTCAAATAGAGGTCAAATCCTGGTCATGTATATGTGACACTGATACAGACAAAACTATGGTGAAATAGTATATATTTATACTCGAGTATATAACACATTATCAAATTTTGACACCTTGAAAGCAAGTTAGATGCGTTTCTATGAATCATTTTACTATTCCCAGGAGACTGTGTGGACAGCCGATACAAGCCTTCGGCCACTGTCATTGTTCAGGGAAAGGGGTCATTGGCTCAAAAACTCTTTTGTAAAAAAAACATTAGGTGAACCCAACCCTTAACCATAGTTAAATTAAAACAATAGGGATAATAATCCCTATTTATGAAATCCATGGCTGTATTCCATAAATCAATCATAGCGCTAAGGGGATTGTAACTCCCGTACGTTAACATTGACTTATGACATTCATAGTGGCATGATAGGAGAACAGGGCCCTGAATCTCCCATGGTGAAATTGTGCATGGGAAATTTGCTAATTTTTATCCAACGCAGCATATTTTGCGGGGCATATTAAAATGGACACTTGTCAGTCCGTACGTACAAGATGTTGTTTCTGGAGTAGATCTTGAAAACCGTACAATATTTCTTCACTAAACTGGCACATAGATATAGTGGTGTACTGGCATCTTTTCATAGTTTGAAATATAGTATATATATATAACTAGTTGATGTTTTTACGACAAATATTTACCATTGCAGGGGACATTGATGACTGTCTTCTTGTTGATTTTTATTTGTATTCTTAGTATTATTGTTTTACACCCAAACTCTGATTTCTGTTCTCATGCCTGAATAGTAATTTGATTTTGTTGTTGGTGTTTGTAAATGTGGGTGCTTTGTGTGTGTAGTGGAGTTGCTTTAGTTGGCTGCTGCAGTGTTGTAGTGCAGAGGCTGCCACCAGATGGTCGGTCTTTATTTGCTGTTGACACCTTCATTGCCTGGTTTATTCATCAGGCCTTCTCTGATTACCAGCTGCAACAGATGACAAGCAACTTCATAGACCAGTTTGGCTTTAATGAAGAGGAATTGATAGAACAGGAGGAAAAGATTGAGTAAGTAGACATCCATTTCTAGTGTGCATGCCTTGATTGATGGCGCACTAGGTAAGCTTGTGTCGTCGTTTATAACTTACATGTTGTTGTGCGTTAGTCCTTAAGGCGTTGGATTTGGGCAAGGTTCTTTTTAGGATGTTGATATCTGGGAATCAGTGAGCTTCTTGTGGAAATGGGTTTGCTGGTGTTTTGGTCAGATTTCGACTCCAATATCTTGGTTCTTTAAGAAAGTTGGTTATCATCTGAGTACGCTGACTGTGATCTGATTGTTGAGATGTCTCTCTTCAAATGATGATGATTAGAAAAGATAATGAGAGTTCTGCCCAGCAAGATCCCTTAGGTCAAGTTCTCAGTACAAGCTTGAAGTTCCTAAGTTCAACATTGAACACATTTGGATGTCAGTCATTCGGTCACGTACAGCATTGGAACTATGTTCTCGCCTTCCCTTGTACAGGTCAAATGTCAGCTAAGACCTATCTTTTCAATTGACTAATTTCAAATGACATCCCTTTGTTGCGCTTTGAGCATACATGTGTATTGATTTAAGCGTTTTAATTTTTTTTTTTTAAATTTATGAGATGTCATGAACTCTGTAAAGAGATCAACAGTTTATTAGCAGATGCAAGAGTTAGCCCTTTTTTAGTCTAATTTCATCCGTCTGCTCATATTTTTCTTCCTTCGTTTGTGGAGTACCACTTAGTTTTAAGGAGATTTTGGGTATTTTCCTTCAAGATTGCATATTGTGTTGTATTCTCTTCCACACATGCTGTAAGCTGTTTTTTTATGTCCAAAATCTTTTCAGAAATAAGTGTGAAGGTCTGTCCCCTTCTTTCCAAGGAAGGAAAATCGTTTTCAATCTAAATTAAAAAAAACGATATTGAAGGCAAAGGTTTCAATCAGTCATTTTTGGATTAAATGTTGCCCTCATCATTCATTATCATTTTCTGTTCTTTGTATTCATTCATCACAATCGATCTGTATGGGGATAGAGCAAAGGTTGCTTGTGTGAAGACATTTCAGGATAAATAACACATTTCCTTTTATGCCTTTCAGTTCACCGTTCAACGAGAGAATATCGAGTATAGATTTCAATATTCGGGCAAATGAAGAAACGGTATGATTGACATTCTTGTCTCTAGAGAACGTATAAATCACCTGGAAACTAATTCCTTTGTGAGAACCGTCAGTGTTAAGAATTAACCCTTATTAATATAATGCAACACTATGTAGACATCTGAATAAATTAATTTTTGAAAGAGGATGGGAAAAAATTGCACTGTTGATATTAAAGTTTCCCTTGAATGATACCATTAAGCATGCATAGTAGACATGGTATCAAAGACACTTCCTATGTAGTCTGTACCAAAAGCATTTTAGTCTACTAGCTCTTGGCATCATTTTCAGTAGTAGTGTGTGTGTTGGGGTGGGGTGTGGGATATAGTCAATGCCTCTTCTGTCTGTCGTCCATCACACTACTCATGGCTGAGCAGTAATCACCTGACTTAACCTGTTGCAGCATCCGAGTTCCACCATGTTTGAGCAGGCTGCCCAGGAGAAGATCCAGCAGTTTGATGACGACAGTGAGGAGGACATCTGGGAAGAGAAACCTATTTCTTTCGATAAGACTGCTCAGCAAAACAGATCAAGGTCAGAGTTCTTCCTTGTACAAGAAAGTGGCCATGTTTGGGGGTTGATCATCCCCAATTATCCAGTGTATTTTATCTCCATTATATTATTAATATGCTGCATCAGTTCACCATTTCTTGGTTCGTAAGTGATGTATGAATATGAATAAGTGTCACGGTCCAAACAGTTGCAGAGGTGATAGTTGTGCTGTCACATGTCGGCGTATCATGCACATGGACACAGCTTGGTATTTGCTGCCTGTACAACATGTTGGGATTGTCCCTTGCATGGGTGGTGCCCACTTTTCACAAATGCGTCCCTGCACATCTTCATCGCATGTGGTTCTCAGTATCTTAATTGTGAGAGAATATACAGTAAGCGTGCAAGGTCGGATATATTGCTGACGGTGGTATGCAGTAGCCACTGTTACTCACTGAAGGACATGCTCAACTTCTGTATGCATTTCAGTAGGTTGTCAGGGGAGACAGCCCGCCACGATAGTTCCGAGGAGGATAGCACAGACAGCGAGGAAGAGATCAACTCACCACAGAGGATCACTCAGTGCCAACAAGCAGAGAAAATGGATGTTGATGGTAATTTTATGTTAATATATGTGATCATAAATTAAAGGGCGACTATTCTAGGGCTAATTTATTATCCGGACATTTTAGTGGTCATTATCTGATTGGCTGATTGTGTCATCATACCTTGACATCATGGGATGGTGATCATACTGTCCACCAATGGTTTACCTGCTCCAGGCAAGGTTAACTGCTGATTAGCTGGAATATTGCTGACTGCAGTGTCAAACAGTGGTCACACGCTCACTAATTCCAAAAATATATTGTAACATTCTAATCCTTATGACACAGGTTTCCTGTCACATTTACTTGCTGATTAATTAAAACTCTCCAAGTTTGTATGGTGTTTCTAATGGGATATCGAATAAAGATAAACATTTTATTTGCAAGCAATAACCATTAAATGTTTACTTCACAAGTTTTGTTGAAGTGTAGATCAAAGGTGATGGTTTCATAGTAATGACAGTAAACACTGTTCATTGGGTTGCAAAAATGCTTCATAGAAATAATCATTTAATTAATGCTCACTATGATAAATAGGGGACACGGGTGTACCTGTTGTCTGAGATGCCGCAGTTAGCTCTGCAGAGTTGGGTCCCTTGGGCACATAAGAAACCTATGATCTTTGGTTCAAATCATCCCGATTATGTCTTGTATATCATACCCGTCCTCGTGGGTTTCACCAAGGTGGTAAACATCTGAGACCTGCATCAATTTGGGCTTTTCTCCCATATTAAGACGACACGCTGTGATATAACTGGAATACTGTTCAAAATGGCATTAATCTCAACTCACTTACTCACTCGCGTTGGTATATAAGCTGTTTTAAGATTTGAAGGTAGAGGAGCCGGAAACTGTTGCTGTTCATTATGTCGTAATATTTGAACTTAACCACGACTGCTTGTCTCTGTGTGCAGCTGGCTGGGCTAACTTTGATGATGTGCCGATGGAGTCTGGTGATGCTATGGAGACAGGTGCTTCCTGGAGTCAGGACAGATGGGCACAGCCAGCCAAACCAGCAGAAGCCAATGGAGACAATTGGGCAGACTTTTCCAGTGTGCAACGTCAATACAAAGAGTATGGACACCATTTTTATTATTTTGATATGCAAATTGAACACCATTCTCATATCTCGAACAGGCGTCACAAAGTTCTGTTGGTTGAGCCACTTTGATATATCAGGAATAGTGTTTTGTGGGGTTAAACAACATTTTCTCACTGGCTTTCTGATCTGTGTAATTCTGCCAGTATAATAGTTGACCTTGTGAAAGGTGGGACTTGGTAAGGATCCTATTTCATGGGGAGTATGTTTCAATACCTAATAATTTGGACCTTTATTATTTAAAATGTTGCTTGATTTCAGACCTGTAAATCCAAGAAGTTCTTCTCCAGTTGCCATGGATACATCAGAAAACACAAGAGGTAGTGCTTATGGTTAGTGATCAAATTTCAAATTAAGTACAGTGAAAAATGTATTGATTTTTGTTTCTTATGGTCAAATGTAAATTTTCTTTGAAAATACAGTATATAAGCTGGTATTGGCCAACACCGGATATAGGTCAGCACCCCCACTATGACTTTTGAAATGACTACGCAAATGTATCAAGTACAGACGATAGTCATACATTGCATGTCAGTGCGGCCAAGTTACACTGGCAAAGGCTGCTTGTCCAATCTTACCAGTGAAAAATAAGGATTGCTAATCCAAGCTATGACTTTGCCTTGTACATCAAAACATCATACTAACTCGTGAAAACAAAACTTGCCACCGATTATGTTCCTAGGTTGGTTAGCACCATACCCGTGCTTAAGGGTTTCAACGAAGTGGTAAACGTCTGAGACCTGCATCACTTTGGGCTTTCCTCCCACATTAAGCTGACACACTGTGATATAACTGACATAACTGCAAACAAATATCTCATTTGTGAAGCATAGTGTCTTCTAAGGTAGTTTAAAGCTCTCTAATACTGAGACTTTAAGGTTTTTGACTATTGAGACCATGCACTTGGAGAATTCCATTTATCTTAAGATATATCCTTTAACTATCTAGTGGTGCCTCAAGGGGGAAGCGACCTTGAATCTGCCCTGAAATCGCCACACACTGACCTTGACCTTGAGGATGTGGAGAATGAGGAGGAGAAAACAGATACCAAATCTTCAACTCCTATTGCTACTTCTCAATCACCACAATCATCCGATATCTCTCAGGACAATCCGCCCCCTCCGCCTTCAACAAGGTAGGTGAAAGTCCCTCAGCACAAGTTGACAGATTCCTTTTCTTTGTCTTGCTTCTGCTTGTCACCCTTCATGACTCTAAGCAAATGGCTGATTTATTTACACCATGCACTAATCATGATGTCCAGAGTGGATGTGGCAACAGTGGAGCATCGTCCCACTTCAATAAAGTTTTGGGACTGGTTAGGCAGCGAGTGGTTACTGAATTCATTTGTCATGCTGAAGAATTTTTTCCAATAATATGAGTAAAAGACTGTTTTCCCTATAGGGATTAGAATCTGTCCCCAGCAACATAAGGTCATAAAAGGGAACTTTTTCGATCAAGTAGCTTGGTTATTTGTTGGTTTGCATGTCATAGTACACCACTGTCGGGATTGTTGTGCAAAGTATCAATCATTGCATTGTCTGATCCCGATTGATTGAGTTGCTGAGTACAGCATTAAGCAACAATACAAGCTCATTCTTAATGACCTCCTCAGTCATATTTAATAAAATTAAACTACACATTTATACCGCATATATCCAGGTACTAGTATCTGCTCAAATGCGATTTTATTTGTTCCCCGACCAGTGGATCCGTTTGCATTCCAATTATCATTCTCAACTCCCTAGGGTGTATACAACCCAATCTGCCCAGAGGCACTAGGTTTTTACATCCACCTCCCATGTCGGGTACCCATTCCCTGCTCGGTGAACAGAGGCACATTTGAACTAAGTCACTTGCCCAGGGTGACACCACACATGTTTTGGGTGTATGTACGTATTCATGTTTCACCATCTGGTCATCTACAATCGGACAAGTGGGTTCTTTTGAGTGCACAGGGTGCACGTACTGTACACTAGGGGTAGTGACAACACTGTAGAGGCCTGTAAACATTGTTGTCCCAAGGCTGAATAACAACCGTCACTGGCAGGATACGATCTCAGCACCTGGCGCTTGCTAGCATGGCGCTTTTGACCGTTCGCCCACTCCGCCCCAGTCATTGCTGGAATATTGTGAAAAGTAGCAGAAGACTTTATCCCTCATTCACAATGACGTGACCTCTTTTTTCCTTTGATGCTTTTTCTTCTTTAATACCGAAAGCTAAATTTTGTTTGTTTCTTGCAGTCCCCCACGTGAAAATAATATTGAAGAAAGTGTTCGGCCTGAAGAAACTTCCAAACCCACACCCAATAAGGTGATATCTGAAGAATCAAGTCTGGACAAGAGCAAACAAGATGATAGGTAATTATTGTAACTGTCTGTACATTACTGTATTAGTAAGTGTTCTGTATGCTCATGCTGATGTTTAGATGATGTCCTTGTCATACGTAACTCAAGAAGATGATTTTACATTGTGTCGAAATAACAGGAATCATTAGTTTCATACATCATCTAGTTCACATTGAAAATGTTGTAGCATCAAATTAAGATTTATTCAAGTTCTTCGATTTTCGTTGTTTCATTCTGTATTGTCATTTGCAGAGATTGTTATTTTGATAATAGAATATGATCAGATTAATTATGTGGAATTCTTTGAATGCTTTCATATCCTTTTGACAGTAAAAGGTGATAGTTTCTAAAACAATTTTTAAGCTGTAACTGGAGGAAAACAAAAACGTTATTTCAGTGTATTCCAGCTGATTCTTCGAAATAACTATTCTCATGCAAATCCTTTAGGTCTATTTGCACAAAGTTGTGGGAATGTCCTAGTTTGCAGTTTGAACTTATATGTGATATAGTAATCTGTGCAAATGGACCTAGGTTTAAAAAAAGAAATAAATCATGCATCGACTATCATAAGTCCTTGTTGAACAATTGGAGTTACTCTTGTAATGCTGAGATATCTCTGAGGCCTGTATCATATTTTTCTGCAAGTGCAAAATGAAATATCCATTTGGAGTTTCCTCTGCACCACCAATTCCTGTACTTTTCACAATATGAAAGGACCGTTTCTTTTTCTACCTGCCTGTCAAGGAGAAAAAATGAAATATCTGAAGAAGAAGACAACCTGAATGCAAACTATAAGTGAGTCCAGCTCTCATGGTCGTCGTCGGTGACACTGCTCATTCACCAGTGCTTCTCTTATTTAGTGTACCTACAGTGTGGTAATCTTATACCAAGCATCTAATTTTGCACTTTGCATACTGTGGCTGCTCATGAAGCGCTGAAGACATTGACCAACTTAACAAGAGGACATTTAGCATGAACTGCACATTTCTAATACCTTTCTTGAACTATTTAGTGCCAGGCTTTCATATGTTGTTACGGTGTTGGTATCATCTTGGATGTGAGCATCCTAGATTTTCCATGGTATTATATTTCCATTTGACTGTGTAAATACCCTGGACAATGATCCACTGTCTCTAACGTTGTGTTATTGGAAGGGGGCTCAACACAAGGCTATGTGGATTGTCCAGTGTATTTATCATGATAGATTGGAGATATATACTGGATCATCAAGGTTGTGATGTGGATGCTCTACGGTGAACATGTTGAATGTGATTACAGAGCTGGTCTTGAGGTCATTGCCTTACTAGAGTCATAGCTTTGTGGTTGCTCATTAGATGTAGGTCAAGGACCCATCTTTCTGTAAATATTTCCAGCTGTGACTGAAAGAAGAGTAGTGTCATTATTTATTTACCTCATATTTAGATCCGTTTATGAAATTCACTCAGGTCTTGACACTTTGAGAAATCTTTTGGAATTTCTATGATATTTGTGTTTAACTGAACATGATGAAAGAGTATTTTGAAGGTAGAATGAAGGTAAAAGGTTTGTCATAACCCAAATGTTTAATGTAAAGAATTTTGAAATTTCAATTACAGCAAACTTAAAGGACATCCTTAGTTTTGAACATGGACAGTGTTAGAAACTAATAGTTTTAGTCCACTAGTCTTTGTGATAACATAGAGCAAAACCCATAAAAATGGCAAATTTCTACTAGTCCTTATGATACTTTAACTATTGGGCAGTTTGGAAGGACTAGTGCCAATTTCTAATGCTGATTGGACTGTGACTATTATGCTTAGTTTCACAGACAATAATCGATTGACTCGATGCCAGCTCGGATAATCCAGAGACCTGTTTTCTGACGAGCATATCATTAAGCTTCACGTGTTCAACCGAGTGCTGTCATGCCTTTATGACGGCGCTTCGTGTCATTCATGGTTGTATGTTTCATCATTCATGGTTCTTTTGTGACTAATACTGATATGTTATCATTTCACAGGGTACAGAAAGATAATACTAACTTTATTAACTTGTGCGTACAGTACTTGATCCCTGACAAGTTAAGTGTTCCCTGTGAAAGACAGATCAGATTTTAGTCAGTTCTGTCTTCAAAAATGTGTTTGGTTGTTTTAGATTTTTCTCGGAAAGTCTTTGAGGTCGGTGGTCAAAATATGAATGTTATTAGATCCTCAGTTTAAAAGAAATAGACAGATTTTTCTAATATACCAGACAAGTACCCTTGGAAGGCAAATTTGTGAGGGAGGCTGAAGAAGAATGATTATTTTGTTCAAAATTAGGATTTTCTTCCTGTAATCACAGGTATTTTAACATTTTATGTTTACATTGTGTTCAAGCCAATACTGTAAAACTAAACATTAAGGCCTCTTCCTCTTTGTTATCCCCCGGCTTGAAAAAATGGGGGATATGGCAATCCCCATGTCGTCTGTTTTCGGTTTCCAGAGGAGAACTCCTAAACTGTTAACTATTTCTTGTTAAGACATTCTATATAGATCAGACTAGTGGGTAACTGGAACCTTTTCATGATTTGGGATTTCTCTTATTATTATTTTTTCCCATGGCAAGAAGTTATACTTTAACTGAAAATGAGGGTAGTGCTTATTTCTCGAGCAGACTCCCAAACCGTTGAATATTTCCAGATGAAACTTACTATACACACCAGTCGAGTGGTGAACTGGTGCCTTTTGTTGAGTTGGGATGTTTGTTTTTTCTGTTTCTTTCGTTTTGTTTTGGTGATTTTTCATGATGAAAACAAGTTGTTTTGTGTTACCAGGTTAGAACTCAGAAACCGTTAGATATTTCTTGTTGAAACTTGCTATACAGATCAGTCTAGTGGGGAACTGGTGCCTTTTGATGATTCGGGATTTCTCTTTTATCTCTTCTTCTTTTTTGTTTGCCATGACAACAAGTTGGACTTTACTGAAAATGAGGATAGGGCTAGTTTCTGGAGCAGAACTCCAAAACTGTTGAATAAGTAGCCATGCTCAATTTCCGAATTGCACCAGACTGGGACCATATGTCATCACCTGTTGATTCTTCTTGGTCTTGTTATCAGTGAAATACAAGTCAGCAATTAAGCCGTACTATTAGTAATATCAGATATAGCATGACTTGGGGAAAATTCTAATACCTGTGCTGGAATATTTGGTGACATTTGCAGCAGACTTTAGTCTGTGAGCAGGGCAAGATTAAATCATGAAAGGATTGGTTGGGCGAGAAATTATTACGTTTTTATTTCTTTATATTTATTTGTCATTTTATTAATTGTGACAGGGATATTCTTAATGAAATGTTTACAAGGTATCAATGCAGTACACTGTTTGGAGTACTAGTGGCTACGTGTAATATTTGTCATCAAGCTTTGACCAAACATTTATGGTTGCCTTGTAATTTATCAAAAATGTTTTAGGTTCATCAACATTTCTGTCTCTGAAAAATGTATAATGTTAATAATAGATCTTGCTTATAATGGCAAATATGATACATGTTTCATTGTCAGGGTCAGGCAGGGAAAATGACTGATTTATTTGTTTTGTTTTGTTTTGTCATAAGTGTGATAATCAGGCTCAGAGGTAAAAATTAACTTTGAACTTGAAGTCTGGCAACTATTGTTTTTGTCCAGAGTTTAAGGTTACTTGTCAAGGATTAGCATGACATACTTGATTTACTAGTGTATTCTATCTCCATTTTATCAGGGCAAATCCTGGATCTACTTACCACCATAGTTTGTTTGGGATGTCACTTTCTCACCATCTCTATTCATTTCTTACGTGACCTGTGAAGATCCGGGTTAGAATAGGTCTTCAGCAACCCATGCTTGTCATAAAAGGTGACTGTGCTTGCCGTAAAAGGTGACTGCTTGCCGTAAAAGGTGACTGTGCTTGTCGTAAAAGGTGACTATGCTTGTTGTAAACGGGATCGGTTGGTCAGGTTCGCTGACTTGGTTGATGCATGTCATTAATCCCAATTGCGTGGATCGATGCTAATGATATCAATCACTGTATTGTCTGGTCCAGACTTAATTATTTACAGACCGCCATCATATAGCTGGAACATTGCTGAGTGCGGCATTTAACAACAAACCAACCAACCAACCTTTCTTAACTAAAACAAAAGATTCTCTGGCTCATCAGCTTCTCAACAACCTACCAAAATAACTTTTCTAAGGGAGAATTTGGCTTCGATCTACGTTCAAGTCAGCACCTTGGTAGAGTAAATGAACCCTGAAGTTGGTAATAAAAGAACTTGAGTTTGAAAAAATTGTTTGCACGAGTATTATGACAGAAAATCCTTCTGAGCAGTATGTTGCCAGATGTAGTTGAGAAGGTATGCAACAAGTTGAATAGTGATATCATTACCTCATATTTCAATCCTTAAAGAACGTAACATTTGATTAGAGGGCTATTTTTAGTATTGTCATTTGAGCATACTGGTATTTATCTTAAGAATGGAGATTTTTCAAACACTCTGGATAATCGAGTATGACATACTACAAATGCTTATGCCCAAGATTGGTTGTGCCAGTTGCTGTGCACAAATTGCACACCTTGGAAATCAGTCATAAGGAACATATGTACTATACATGAATAGACAATTTATAAAAGTTTGGGATAAAACTGGACAGCATTGAGAAGCAATATTTCGTTGTAGCGTGTTGAGATTTTTTGTCTTGGACAACTGAAATGTGAAACATCATTTACAAACAGGTCTGACAAGTCGAGCACGGATCTTCCAACTGTTGTAGTACTGTAGAGATTGAGCCAAGCCTATGAATATTTTTATAGTACTTGAGAAGTTAGTTAAGAATCCAATGGAAAATATGTTATCAACATAAGTATTCAAATTGCAGCTTACAGCTATACATTTGGCAGTGGATCAGTGTGTAGTTAAATTCTGAATTGGCATAATGATATTGTAATCATGGCTTTTGTTTTGATACACAACCCTGTGTCTCATTTGGAGAGTGCCTATTTTTGCATTTTCCAATATGGAAATGTCTGCAATTAAGTGGAGTGAAATCTGCCCTAGTCATAGCATAACATGGTGGAATACTATGATTGTTTCAATAATGTTGATGTATTCATGTGGATAATAAGGAATATTGAAAACTAATGCAAAAACTTCTAAAGCATGTTCTGTGTTTTAGTGAAGTGAAAGTAAATCAATGTATGTGTTTTTGCATGGGCTGTTGTACAGTGTTTAGTTGAAGAATGAGCAATGTAGAAACTAGTTGAAAGTGAGCTGTGCATCTGTGGTGGTTTTGAGCTAGATGTCAGAGCTTACTGTGCATTTAATATGAATATAATGAGATATCTGCACTGGTGTGGCATGACTTGGAAGCAGTATATTTTCTGATTGTTGTGTCCCAAGAAGTATTAAGTGCAGGGATGCACCTTGCCACTAGCCTGAGTCCTTTTGTCAAATGTTAAAGGTACCTGAGGGCTAGTATAATTTCTGGTTGTTCAGGGTGTGCCTATATATGTTATCACTATTAGTGTTAGTAGATGTTTTGGGTTAAGTTGCATCCCTGTTAGTGGCAGTGCTAAGTGTTTGAACCTGGTTGGACCTTGTAACCAGTCCTCAGTCATATTGCTATTATGAATCTTTAGGAATCATGACTGACTGTTTTACAAACCAATTGAGACTGTGACTCAAGTACCCTATATTAGCTCTCTAGGTGCAGTTGGGGGCACGGGTGGCCCAGTCGTCTAAGGCGCTGCGATTCCCACTTCAGAGTTGTGTCCCTTGGGCACGCTAGAAACCTATGATTGTGGGTTCGAATCCCAGTTTGCCCCGATTATGTTTCTATGTCAGCACCATACCCTTGCTCGTGGGTTTCCTGAAGTGGAAAACGTCTGAGACCTGCATCACTTTGGGCTTTCCTCCCACATTAAGCTGACACGCCACGACATAACTGGAATACTGTTAAAAGCGGTGTTAAATCCAACTCACTCACTCTAAGTGTAGTTACAACGTGTGACTTAAGTGCTTGCGTGTTTTGGTACCCTGATAATTTGGCTTGTTGCTCATGCTATCAATCACTGGTTTGTCTGATCCACACTGGCTGTTTGCTTGCTGCCATGACGTAGCTTCAGTGTTGCTGACTCTGGCTGAAAACAGTATTTACCTACTTTTGTATGACAGTAAGTGTTTTGCCTTTGAGGGATGGGCAGTAAGTTCATTACGCCTAAGTGTGCAACAACAAAAACAGGTGACCTGACACCTTGTCTTGTCTTGTCCAGATTAAGTTTTGATTGAATATATTTATCTAGTTTACCAACAATTCTTTTGTCAAAGATATGTTATTAATGGTATTTCCATTTTTTTTGCATTTCTTTTAAAGCGTTCATCCCTGTTTGTATAAAACCTTGGTGTGAAGATGTTTTATTTGTTTTTGAAATGTTCTTGTCAATATTGTTCATGGTCTGTGATTGAGTTTGAAGGCATGATTAGTATTTGTACATTTTTGCATGTGTTGATAGATCCATTATTAGAATCATTGGTCCTGAGTCTTGAACAGTAAGAAGAGAGAAATATGTTGTTCTCTGAATTACACAGACAGTACCGATTTGTTATAGAATGTCATGTGACTCCATAGTACATGTTAAACTGTGTTTATGTGTATATTCAGCTTACGTACCAACCCAACATCCACGGGTAGGCTTTGTTGTAAGATGTTTTGAAGTAGAAGTTCTGTGCAACATTTAACCTTCTTGAAATTGTTTACTTGCAGCTTCCTGGCAACCTCTGGTTTGATCAAGTCCCCCACTCCATCCTCCCCATCTCCCCCTAGTGCCACACAACCCCCAGCCACAGACGAGGTGCAGGGTAACGGGCCCACACAAGAGCCAAGCACAGATAATGTAGACACAAAAGTTGAGGAGGCAAGGTATGATTGTTGAAGTTAAGAAATCTGACACACTAAATAAGATACAGCCTAATATGATGTTACATTATTCCCTACCTGGGTTGTTCCATTACCTATCTAAGATGACAGGTGGCAACTTGGCTGTGCATCCATCCATCCATCTGGAAATGATGTTTTGAGCTAACAACTTGCTGGGAGGTTACCTTAGTGACTATAGTACCAAGCTTGAGACTTACTCTGTGTAATAAGCGTAATCTGTTTTAGTCAATCTGAATTGTGTAAAAGATCAAAAAGGAAAAAAGATCAGAAAGAATGAAGGAAACAAAATATAGAATTATGATCGCAAGAGATTTGGTTATAACGTGTCATCGTACATCAACGGCATGGGACATTGCTCAAAATATCAATCACTGGATTGTCTGATCCAAATTCTTATTTACTAGACATTTTCATATGACTTGAATATTTAAGGACAAGGATAAGTTTTATTCCACATTGAAAGGACACAGGCCCATAGTACAATTCTATTTCAGGGAGTGGTTGCAGATATGTTTAACAGGTCATATTCTAATTAACATAGCATGATAAGTGAACATTGATAGTTTTTAGGGGCATTATTATCAGTTGTTGACATGGTCAATGAATTTTTTTGTTACAAATTTATGAATACGGCATTGAAACAAACGAAATAATTGTGACTAAACTAAATTGAATTGTTTTGATGTGTGTAGCCCTGATAAATATGACATGATCAGAGTGAGCCTTAAATAACATCTTTTCTCTTTTTTTTGCAGAGCAATGGCCAAAGAAGCCCTAGAGAACTATAACAAAGGTGTGCCCGATTCATCTTCCAGTGTACCCAACGGCCCAGTTTGAGTCTGTGGCCCAAGTTAGATAAATAAGGAAACGAACACATGCTATGAGGCAGCTGCTTCTGTATATAATGCCTTATCAAAAACAGGGATGCCTGTGATAGCAGCCAGGCTTTTAACAGTTTTAATCTTGTCCATAATGGCAAGCCAGTGTGTGTCCCGATTCCCACCCAAATGACCATGCGACGACTCTTGTAGACCCCTCATTGACAAATGGCCAGCTCAAAGGACTCTGATTTTAACCTCCAGATAAAACTTTGTTGGCGTCGTCGGTATGATTACAGATGGGCATACAGCACTTGCGATTCCTGTGATGTTTTAGTTGTGCTAGCGAGAGATGCAGATATTTGTTGGTCTTCAGTTGACATCCAAGACTAGCATCTGCCACAATGTATGTGAGTGAGAGAGTGAATGAATGTGTAACAAGAATGCGTGGATGGAGGGAGGACTGCCACGACGCTGTCATGGTGCTTTTTAGATATGATAAACAGACCTCCCTGCTGCAGATGCAGGAACTCAGCATCGGCAGGGGCGAGACCACAGCAAAATCACAGTCCAAGAGTTACCCTTCTATACCAACCTTGGTTGATGCACTCAGCACTGGCAGACCTAGTGGTGTTTACCTACCACACTAAGTCAGCATCGTTATAAACAAAATGTTCTGAATGGATTTTTTACAAAAATGCTTGTCACTGGTAAATTTATATTCACTATGTTCTGCCAATTTATGCACATTTAGAGCACTCCCAATATGCATATCAATGATATTAATTCTTGCAAATCATCTTGATTGAATGATTGGCTTTTTGTAATTGGTTCCCCAGTCTGTACAACTTCTGTGTATGGAACAACACATTCTACTGCTTATGCAAGTGGTTTCGGATTCTTTTCCCATGTATTTAGAAATGGTATGCATACTTGATTTCCCTAACTTTAGGTGGGGATCTACTACGGTTTCAATTAAATCAAAATGTAGCTGATATTTGTTATCTGTACGGAACCTTTTGTCAAATCATATCAGAAAGTTTATCTTTACGAAGGTTTTGTGATTCTGATTTCCACAGCCATATTGTGTATTTGTATGCTTCTTGACAAACAAACTTACACACATGGAAAGGTCAAATTTGTTATGTGTGTCACCTATTTATTGCCATATGTTCTGTTGACAGTGAATTTATGTGCTCCGAAGATGCATTAATCGATAGTGGTAGCAAAGGGTAATCCATCGTTTATAAGGACATGTATATTTTAATATTCTATTTAATTCACTTCATGAATCATAATTGCCATAATGCCTTTAGAATTTTAGAAACGGCACTCAATCTCTAACGTAATTTTTTTGTGAGGGCAGTTGAATTGTGATAATATTTTACATTGTATCAGATAGACATTTTATTTTCGTGATTTTTGTCAACACCAAGACTCAAGTCACATGCCTGTGTTAGGGGAGACAACTCTATTATTTTTTCACTGTAATTGAAAATAAATAATATGTACATTATGGAGACATTCATGGTCTGTACTTTTGTGTTGTATTCAATAATGCTCAGTAATTGTCAGTCAGCTCAAGATGGTAATTTTCATAAAGGTGTGAAATTTCTTTCTTGATGAAGAAATATTTGTTATGCTTAAATCATGATCTCGTATTTCCATTTTGTATTCTCCGGCACATGTTTTAATTTTCACTTGGTAGACAGTCTTCCCTTTGCACACAAACTAGCAATATTTTAAGAAACTTATGTTCCTAATTTATTTATTGTGTTTAAACAGTATATAAGGCACATGTTCACAAGATACCAAATGATGTATATGTAATAAGTTTGTATTTGCAATGTTGGAAATGTAACCAGTCCATCATAATCTCATTTATTTTCCCTCAAGTTTTCCTGTAAGTTACATTTGTAATTCCAATCATTGTCTGTGAAAACTGGAACTAATGTATTTGTTGAACAGCATTTACCAAATTATAACAAATGATCAAGTGGCAAATTTTGAAATTATTGCCATGACCTGTTATCGTGACTAGACCTGTTTTTCCTTCTCCTTTTTTTCACAAAACTACTTATGGATCTTAGATATATGGATTACTCCTGTTCATTTTTTCCTATTTATGAATCTGGAATATTGCTGTAAGTTTTGTTCTGAATATTCATGTCCACAGACTTTGGCACATACTTCGAAAAATGTTTCTGTGCCTTTGAATCTTCTTAGATAATTTGATTTTGAAGTATTTTATACCAATGCCCTCACTCTGCTCATAGATAATCATTTATCATGCAAGTGCTGATCTGTATAATGTTGTAAATATTACTAAGTTTTAGAAGGAGAGTTTATGTAAAATACATTACTTACATTATCCTAACAAATTTGCAAGTTTCCAGTGGAACACTAACTAGGTAATTGTTTTGTGATACTTGTACATACTGTTATATACAAATCAGTGCATTTTGTACAAGCAAGAAATCTTGCCCTTATAAGGCATGTAATAGTCAATCCTGAATGGTGAGACTGTGTGTAGCTACCGTAATTGATGGGAATTGTTTACATGGAGATGTCTGTCTTTCCATTCTTTCTTTACTGTAGCTCCTACACAAGAATCCTTGCCAGTTTTACGTATGTATTGTGATAAAACTTTCAGTTGAATTCTGTTCATGCTAAAAGCCTGTTTCATGAAGCTGTCTCAGCTAGACTTAAGAGTGACTTGAGACATTAGCTGTGATTGCTCTTTGAAATGGGATCTTGGTTATATGTGCGCATCACCATCTTGCAGACTTGATGCACTCTTTGAAGGCTTTTCTGTAGAAGTGCCATCTGGAACCACAACTAGCAACCGAAATACCCCAAGGTGCTTTCTAACAGCATTGTCATCCATTACTGTAAGCATTGCAGTTTAATCACTACATGTGTATCACTTTGCTTTCCAATGACCTACCAATTGGCTATTTGTTCTTACTACACTATTGTATGTGAAAAGGAGGAAGTGTAACGTGAGCGTAAAAGGTTCACAACGATGTAATTAATTCATCTTGATGTGTTTTGAAGAGAATGTAATGTTTAATGACCACCCCGAGCTCACGTTGAAACATTGTTGTCCTAACACACTGTAGAAGAGCATCATGCACATGGTATGGGATAATGTTTAATATTGTTTGGAAATAATATCAAAAATAGAAATGGCTAATATTAAAATGTGAAAATGAATCTTTGCTGATGTTATTGTAATTTCCGTTTAGCCTTCAAGGAACATGGCAATAACTGTACTTGAACTGATTCTTTTCTTGCTTTTGTGAACCTCTTCAGGTCCAGCTTGCCATTGATGTTGTGCTAGTAGGGATCAAGTCATACATCCCATATAGTTTACTACCTCACAGAATTCACTGTGCAGTTGTCTTAACTATGCTGTCAATCACCCAAGAATGCTGACAAGAACATATCTCTTATGTTCCCTGATTGCACTGCCAAGTAGGAACAATTTCGACACCATCTAGAAACATCTTATTGAACACTTCACTCTGGAACAGTTTCACAGGCAACTGTTAAATGTAATACATAGGGTTTATGAAGGATGCAAATGCTTGTGAAATATATTCCAATACCAATTACTTTCCATAAATACATGTCAAGAAGGGAAGGTCTTTCTTTTGTTCCGTTCATGGCGTAAACTGCAAGTGGAATACAGTGGTTGAATATTCTAGGCGTTATTGAGGTCCTATCCAGGCTTGTAGCTCTGGCATAGAAATAGTTACTCATAGTCAGAGTTGTACTGTATGTACTATGGTTGTACTTAGCCTAAAGATGTGCTGAATGGGTGAATTATTGTCATCATTCAATGTGTTCCGGCACATAGCCAGTGAACAAATCTAGGACTGACAAAAATGTCTTTACCATCTCACAATTCAGTTTGATGAGCATTTTTATGCATTGATAGGATAGAGATAAGTAGTCTTTGGATCCTTTTTTTTTGACTAGTCATGGGCTAGTGGCCTACTTTGTTCCTGGCATTATTATTCTATATCCCCAATAAACATGTTCACTGAAGTAGGTCTAGATTATTCTGTAGATTACTGGAAGTGGAATGTACCTTAAATATCATCACTAAATCTATGAATGTTTCTCAGTGTTCAAAACGCAGATATCTTGTAAAACAACCGATACGGAAATACTCATTAAATCATTTCACTGGGGGAAGCAATTTAATGTATTAACAGCATCAGACATTTTTGTGACTTTGAATACAATGCTCAAATTGTTCCGATAAGAAGCATCATTGAAGTTTGATCTCCAGTGAAATCTTTGTAAGTTCACATGTGTATACCGGTAATTGCATCCTCATGGCTGTCTCAGGCCGTTTGCTAACCTAACTCATTCCTCGGTAACATGTGCTGATAAGGACTTCACAGAATCAGCAACTTGTATGCATTAAACGATTACACAGACAGTTTTTAGTTTGTTCAGTTAACTTGTGAATGTCATTGTGGATGTTGTTATATCATAACTTGATACAAATCAAACTGCCTGCTAAGTTTACTTGGCTATGATCTTGATGTGACAATTTACAGGGGGGATATGTAGAGAAATCACGTTCTGATCTGTTTTGGGTGTTGTCATTTGTGAAATTCAAAATATGAATGGAAAGAATATATCACAGATACTGCCACATTGTTAAGATCCTGTGAAGTATTTGCGTTTCATAATGATTCTGATTTGCAATGGAAGCATACCATTTCTCAGAAGTAGCTAATTTATGTGGCTTCATTTGCCTTTAAGGATCACACTCCATGGGCGATAACAAGATTTGAAATTGAAGTGTGCTGGATGAAGTAGATCTGCTCATGGACCCCCGGAATAAGGCAGAAAGAATCTTGACTTCAGTATCAATCCATATCATTTACCATTGAGATGGACTAGTCATGTATTTTGATTCTGTATTAAGTGATGAACCTGATTGCCTAGATCTTCTCCCTATGAAATCTGTCCGTCAAAATAGCCACAATGGATCCAGTACCTGCTGTAGATTATGGGGGCCTGTCCCTCCTTATTGATGTGTTGTTTTGTCTGCTGTTGTTCAGTGTTTGTTGTTTTGTCATTCATGACGTCCCCATCACTCCTGTATGTATTTGTGCAGAGTCCATACACACACTAGTTTTGTTGACCTCAAAGAATATCTAAAAATGAAATATTGTCAATTCTGAAACTGATCTGTCCTTATAACATGTCTGATTTTGGATACAACATTAATCGGTTACCTGATCCAGTTTGTGTAGGTTTGTCCTTAGATGCTTCTGTTTCCCTGAGCTGCTATTCCAAGTGTGATGTGCATTTATGAGCTGCTGTATGACCATTGAGGGATTTTTGTGTAAGGTTACAAGTAGTTTCTATTATATGTTTTACTTATCGAGTTTCTAATCAAATTACAAGAATGTGGGTCTTCATTCAAGAATATATTCTTTTGAAGTGTTGTTCATAGAGTACCATAGTTGAGTAGTATAAAATTAGGCCAAAGTATTAGTCCAACATGGTAATAATTTTGTGGTGAGCGATTTTAGTTTTGACCTTGAAATAGGGACCAAACCTTCCTGTAATGCTACAATACAAACTTCAGCATTTCAGACTAAATATTCAAGTTGATTAAATAAAAATCTAAGCTTATAGCTTTACTGGAAGTGAAGCGTAACATGCAATTTTATTTGTGTTGATCAATAGATGCAAAGTTGAAAATTTATGGTTCATTTTACATCTTTGTCCACCAAGTCCCCTTCCATCCTAAAGCCCAGTGCTCCCCCATCCACAGATCAACATTCTGTCATAGTATTTTTAGAAGCTTGTTTCCCATCCAGTGGGAAACTTAAACCTTTTAGATAATGTGATTTTTAGATGTAAATATTCCAGATGTACAAATGTATAATTGATTTGATTGGAGACATATCTGTGTTTATGGAAATGTATTAGGCCTATAACGTACATTGATATGTGCCAAAACATAGTTGCTTTACATTTTCGTTTTGACTCACAAGCTATATATCTATTTTATGATGAAGACTGAAGCTGTCTCCATGGTGACACATTCAGACCTAGGATATGCAGTTAATGAACTTTCTACCTTGCCCAGGTGAATCGCATCCCGAGCCCTGCTGTTGTTAATGTATGCAGATTAATGATATTGTATAGATACATATATATTAAAATACTGTACAGAGGTGTACAGTGGTTCACAGTAAGTTCATTGTAAGTCATAATAACTAATTTTCTATGTGAAGAGATGTGTATTTTAGGGTGAAGGTAGAGGCATACTCTCACAGTGCTGCATGAAAAACACTTCGTAGTTTGTGGACAATGACTTTGTGTACAGAATCATTTGTGTATTCCCTAACAGTGCAGGGTGTGAGATACAGAGACAAAGGCTGTTGATTGACAGTATTTATAAATAAATTATAAAAATTGATTCGAATTCTGTTCTTTTGTAAGCCTTTTTTGCCCAAATGCTGCAAAGTCAGGTCAGCTTTCGCATAGTTTGACGAGTTTGAAGGGATAGTGAAATGAAGGCCACTAGCCCTGCTGGCTCGCAGGCATTATATTTACAGTATTTGTGCTTGTATCATTCAGGTTCTGAGTCATCACACATCATATACTTGGTGTACTTGAAAATTAAGACAAAACGTCCTGACAATGACTTCGACCAGATGAACATTGAAACAGCCCTTACCAGTTCTTATTCTCAAAGAATGTAAAATTAATTTTTTAAACTTGATCTTGAACTTACTGAGTCGAGTGTTGTGAATCAAACATAGTCAGTAAGTGAATATGCCCAGGATTGTACACATCTAGTGCCCATCAGAGCTCCAGTGTTTACCAACCACGTGAGTGCAGACAGATGTTTGGAGATACTGACCACCAAGAAAACGGCAGTTTGTTTACCATTTGATTTTATCCCCGCCCAAACAAAGTTAGCTTTAGTCTCAGAACTGAATAGAAACAATGGGTATCATTTCCGGAGCAGAACTCGAAAACTGTTCGAGATATCTTTATAGTGTAGATGTGTCATTTGCTTCTTGTTGGAATTAAAAACATTCAACCAGGGTGGATTTGCCGAAATCAAAACCATTATGTGTTATATATCTATATAACCAGGGCCCACAGAACCTCTGCGCTACATCGTACTATCGTAACTCCTATCCTTGTGTATCGACTTCAGATAGCCACACAACGAAGGACGCTTTTTGGGCCTTTGTATGTTGTTACGAGGTGATTTCCAATTCAAAGGTTAACCCAGAAATCAGTTCCAGAGAACTACATTGTGAAATCAGTAAATGACCACACAAGATCAATGTATAATCAATAAATTATATTTATACACAGTTTTAGGTTAACAGTAAACAAAACACACTGGGTCAAACAAGCAACGGGTCCCAGAATATTCTATATTCAGAATATTCCGATAAGTGCACTAACGGGGAGCGGGTCAAAACGGCCCCTTGTCAGAACGGCCTCAAAAGGTAAACACAAAACAGCCACAGAAAAATGTCAAAACAACCACAACTAAAAAAGTCATAACGGCCACCCATAAAATAAGAAAGACTAACTCAAGTATTGTGGCACATTAGTTGTATTAAATACATTATATAACAGTTCATAACTCAGATCTGACCAAATAAATTGTATATACACAGATCTTCAGCACTAACTACACCTCCCATAAACACATGTAAACCCTTGGTCCTTGGTTTGACGCGCATGTATTAAGAAGCCCCGATAGTATAATCTCCAGGCCGCGAAGATTTCTTCTTGTTGCTGTGTTCTGCTCACATTGGGTATTCATCTAACATGTATATACTCTGTACACATCCTGCTCACATTATTATTATTCTTTGTTGTGGCCGTTTTGACTTGTTGTGGCCCTTATGACTTTTTTGTGGCCGTTTTGACTATGGGTTTGTGGCCATTTTCAAACCCCACTCACGATTATTCAGAATAATCTCGGGGCGGTCGGGCAGCCTAGTGGTTAAAGCGTTCGCTAGTCCCGCCGAGGACCGGTTCGATTCCCGACATGGGTACAATGTGTGAAGCCCATTTCTGGTGTCCCCCGCCCTGATATTGCTTGAATATTGCTAAAAGCGGCGTAAAACAAAACTCAATCACTCACTCTGAATAATCTCCCTGTTGAATGTCTTGAAACGGGTCCCTCTCCGTTCTCTTGATTCCAGAATATTGTTGGAAGCTGGCAGGAATTCGGTGTTTTCAAATAGATATCCAATCCGCACTTGGCAAGTAGATCAGATTTTGTTCGTTATTTAACGCCGCACTCAGCAATAATCCAGCTATATGACGAAGGTCTGTAAATAATCGTGTCTGAACCAGGCAATCCAGTGATTGACATCATGAGCATCGATCCACGCAATTGACAGGCCTGACCACCCGTTAGTCACCGACAAGCATAGTCGCCTGTTACGGCATTCATTTCTAGCCGGGATCTATGTAGATAAGACGAAAGTCAGGTCGATGAAGGACCTGTGTTGCTTTTAGATAGGTACAGTCGTCTCTCTCGAAACCACCATCCCGAAACTTGTACGACCAAGCCTGCCATGTTCAAAGGGCATGTATCCAAACACTGGCTGTCGCTTCCAGCACTGGATATTTTACTGGTACTTCAATCATTTGCTGCCATCGACAATTACTTCACAATTTTACATCAACGCCAGAGAATATAATCAGTCGTAATTCTCTGCAGACTCAGATTCAATGGGAGTCAAAGAAGAAACAGCGGTGAAAATTAAATGAATGGGTCCTTGAAAATTGCTGATGATACCAGGTGTTCGCGAAAAGGGTACGCATGTCCTGCCCTACCAGTAGCACCAGCCACTCACAATCTGCATAAATAACCTAAATGTTAGTTGCCTGATGCCGCACTGCAGTCCTCCGGACATACGGACTGTAAACAATCTCGTCTTGACAAGCTAATCAGCTGTTGGACTAGACAATCCTGTGAGACGATAACGTATTCACAACAATTTCTATACTGCCACTTACAATGTTTATTCTTGTGTTATTCGATGCCTAGACTTGCCACTTATAACAGTCACATAGTTTCACCTTTCAACTGGAAGGGCGCTTATTGCTTCGTCATGGGACCAAAAGACACTGACTGTTGGTATATTGGTGCGCGTGCAACAGGAACGCCATTCGGCTTGTTTCATAAATGCACGACGAACAAAACCTCCTACAGCATGATTCCAGCTAAATAATCGAGTCTGGACCAGATAATCCAGTGACTTACATCATGAGCATCGATCCACGCAATTTGGATGCAATCCTCCTCATCAACGCGCCTGACCACCCGATTCATTTCATCGCCCCTTACAAACATACGTTGCTGGGGACCCATATTCTTACCCGGAATCCCCACGTGGGCTGAATAAGGTGAGGTGAAATTGGGTTTAGCGCGTTCGAGATTAGTGCTATTGTACGTGTTGTCTTCGGAAATACACGTGAATGTTTGTTAGCGAGTGCTGCGTGTCTGTCGGAATGTTTTGTGTGGAAGTCAGAGGCTGATATTTTCTGAAAGATGAAACACGACGAAGAGGCAAACACGTTGCCTGTACACATTGATTGTACGCAGTCTGACCCGTTCGAAATTTTTGGCTGACCCGATCACAACAAAGATCGGTTGGCCCTTACGCAGCTATGATCAACAATCTCAGTAACATCAGATCTTCTACTCCAATACTCACTCAATGTATATTTCTGGAAACTCAAACAAAGAAATTAATTTCTTATCAAATTCAGTGTATAATTATGTTGCACCCCCCCAAAAAAAACCAAAAAAAACAAACAACAAACAAACAAATAAACAAACCACTAAAACAACAACAAAAAACAAAACAAACCTAAACAAAACAAAACAAAACAAACAACGAAATAAAAAGCAACAAAACACGCAAACAAAGATGAAAACCCCCATATAATTCGTTTTTAAAAGTAATACTTAAATTTAAAGTTGAAACTGATTTAATATTGGTTATTTTTGCTTATCTCCGAGTCGATGTCGGAGTCGGTGTGAACGTGTCAGCCAAAGAAGTTGTGAACGAGTTGACTAAGCCTTCCCGTTTACATTACATTCTCTGGTGACAATGAATGGTTCTAACATTTCAAGAATCAGATTGTTCTTCTACCATGTTCTTGTCAGCGCGATAAATAATTGTTCTCGAAGTTCTTGTTAACGCGAGAAATAATGGTTCTCCAATCACGAACGGCATGAACGGTGACGCCAAAAGACGGCCAGGCGGGGGTAAAACAAGGGAAGATAACCTGTCACAACGCCGATAGACGGCACTTGCTGTCAACATGGCCGACGATGGGGATTTCGATGGCGAAGAGTAAGAAAATATTGTTGTATTTTGCTATATTATCTCGTGTTGGTTACGAGTAACCAAGTTTTGGTACATCTAAGGTTGTATTTTATGTAAGGGGGTCGTTTTGTATTAGTCATAATTCTAGAAATACCGGTATGTCCTTCCAAACATGCAAGAATTGTGTTATTGCGTATCAATGATTGTTTATGAATCGAAACACGTGTTTAGAATGAATGAAAGCGTATCATGCTTATGACCAGCTGATAATGACAGTAATACTGAATCAATATCGGGTTCATAACCTTTCCACGTTTATCGATAGTTCTCTGTGATAGAAGGGTTATGTATTTCACATCCTGTGTAAGAGTGATTACGCCATCAACGCATTTCGCAGACGAAGCATCAACATTCAACATGGTCAAAAAATAAGTTTGTTCTGGTTAAACAGATCGGCATATGTACCTCATTTGGACTACTGTCAGACTCTAAGGCCACAACGCAGTTTACCAGGCACAGCCTGAGCTCTACCATCCGCTCAATTACCGTGCTATAGTGTGACCGCAGTCTCGCTATATTGTTACCGGGGTTATAGCGAAAACGGCACCGATTGGCGAAAACGGCACCTCGACTCGAGCGAAAACGGCACCTTATTTATTTTTTACCTTGGTCAAATAAATGATATTAAACTTACATTGTAACTTGCAAAGGCCAATAATTGTGAGATGTTAAAACAAGTTTACATTAGATATTAGCCTCTGCTCCAACTATAATCCAACTTAGCTTAACTTATTGTGAAAACACTATACGCTTTGAAGTTTTAAGTACTTTTACTCAATTTAAGCTGAAACTGTATTTAAGAGGCCAAACATGGTGCTGTCAGATCACAATTATTCACAATGGCCTTTTGATGTGTTGCATGCGAGACGAATGTCAGAAAAAATCAACATGCTGTATCCTGTGATAACTGTGACAAGTGGACCCATTGTGTATGTGGAACCGGACAATTAAAGAGAAATTGCCAGACTGAAGAAGACTTCCCTTTCCGCTGTGTGAAATGCGTTGCTCCCGTCATTGAAGAGGTGATCGGTAACTTTGATGTCAGTTTCCAGTCAGAAGATACTGAAGAAATGAGAGTACCAAACCTATCGGAAATTCACATTACGGCTTCAGATGTACTCTATACATCAAATACCATGTAAATAAAACATATATATTACCACAAAAATCGTTATCGTTATTAAAAATAGAGGTGCCGTTTTCGCCCAACACATAGTAGCTGTTTTCGCCAAATGCGGTGCAGTTTTCGCCAGAGAAATCGGTGACGTTTTTCTGAGGTGCCATTTTAGCCTGCACCCTTGTTACCGTGCCTCACTGTCCAGTGACTCTCGCTTCAGGATCCAACACTCCTTTTCGGTCTTAGGGAAACTTACATGTCTTTACGATCCAACACCCCTTTTCTGTCCTTTTGGTTAGCTTGCTTATGGCAAGTGTTAGCTTGCTTATGGCAAGGGTTAGCCATAAATTCTTACCTTTTCAAGCGTTAATCCAGTTAATCCGATTTGTCGGTCAGGTTTACATAAACAATGGCGGGTGTGGTTTCAAGAAAAGATGAATGGGAGAGCGGACTGTGACGTCACACGAATGCACAATTCATTGTTTACTGAATTACGCATGTGTGTTGATGGGGTGCTAATGACCCGTTAAACAAGCACTGATTACATGTGATAGCGCTCGTGGTCCAGTGGTAGAGCGTCGGCTAATTAACTCATGAATTAGCCAAGACGATGAGCTGGGGAAGTGCGTTTGAGCCCCCATAGCGCTAATTGGATCTGAAACAGTGCGCCCGGTAAAGTGCGCTACTCCCAGACTCTATTTTCGCGTTATTCTGAATTTTGGACACACTCTCATGACCATTATTGTTGGATCACGGCCATATTTTTATCATTACCCATAACTAAATAGTTTCTAATTTATGGTGTGCAGTATAAGCGGTGTACTAGTAAACTGCGGTTATTTCTACCAAGGATATGTATCACAAGACATACATGTGATGCCTCCTGATCTGTCCGGGAGTGACAGTCATCACGGTAACACACCGGGGGCCCGTTTGACCTGGTCGGCCTTTGTCTAGTAAGCCACTGGTATTTCAGTGCATATGATGAACGATTTAACAATGTACACTGTAAAGGAAACTTGGTTAGTCCTAACATTGCTAACAGGTGTTTGAAGTGTTGAATAATCAGCCAAGTACTTGGCTCTTCCTTGGTGGGTTATTCCAGCATAATTTAATACAAATGTAGATATATATGACCAGCCCAGTTATGGTGACAATATTATTTGTTTACCATGTTTACGTGTGGAATATAAAGTGATTTAAAATATCAAATATAACCTTCGAAATGTTCCCCTGATTGTAAAGTAATTTGTTTCTCTAAAAGACCATGGTTGGTATGGATAGTTCATAGTTACATCCCTTTAGCATGTGTTTAGGTGCCTTTGCATAATTTCGTAATATCTGTCCACAGTAATACACATCCAGCGCCCCAACATGGTGACCGTCACACTTTCCACATGGAATGTTGCTGAGAAATTATTTTACTGGAACTTTTTCACTTATGTTTTATGTCTTGATTTTCTATGCTGAAATAATAGCTAACTTTATGTGTGATTGCAGCTTTGATGAAGGTCCTGATGACCTGGATGATGATGAGGTCCTGGACGAACCCGAGAATGCCGAGGTAATTATTGTACACTTGTGTAAATATGGTAGTTCTGCTACACTTTCTGGGGCAATAACCCCATTAATTTATGAAGCTTGGTGGGGTGGGGGTGGGGGAGGTCAGTGGGTTAGCCTAGTGGTTAAAACCTTTGCTCGTCTCACAGAAGACCAAAATTCGATTCACACAGGGGTATGTGTAAAGCCCATTTCTGGTGTCCCCATCATAATATTGCTGGAAAATTACTAAACTAGTTTTCCTGAAAACTGTGGATACTAAGTGTGTCACGATATCCCTACCCTGCATATTGATACGTTTCACAATACTTGATTTGCATCATTTTTGTATAAAATTTCAAAGTTTCATGGCTAACAAGGGGTTACCGATGTCAACTGTCTGTGTTTACTGGGGCTGCAACGAATACACTATGGCGCGATTACGATTTGTGTCATGAATATAGGATAATGATTACGAATATTTACTCACAAATACAATAACAAGTCAGCAGTTGATGTGTTATTTATGATATTCAGTGAAACAAAAACAAATTAAACTATTTAACATGGTTTGTTTATTATTAATATATTATACATTTATATACTGCACTTATCCAGGAACTAGTATCTGCTCAAATGCAACAATGACCAGTGACCACAATCTGTCAAATTTAATATAAAAGAGTGTTGTCTTTGAAGAAATCTATGCATATAATATGTTCTTATGGATATTTTAAGGGTCAGAGTATGTAAATGCACATGACTGCATATTTATAAATATTCGATTCTAGTGACTACAAATAACAAATTCAATTGATGCATGCATACGATTCGATTCACCAAAAACGCATGTGAACCGAACAGCACTAGTGTTTATCTAACATGACAAGAAAATTTAGTCCAGTTCTAATAGTGTAAATCAGATACAGCATTTTGTTTTGTCATAGGTGGTAAGGTAATACTGATTAGTAATGTCGTGTTATCGTAGAACTTCGTTAATACTTCTTTTTGACAATCATTACAGGTTGAAATGTCACATGATTGTGTGGTGTATATTCACTAGGGCTGAGACGAGTCCAAATTTACTACCCGGGTACCCACCGTTCTATTACCCGATCCTACCCGGGTACCCACTGTAGGTCTCAAGAGATGTCTCAAAATGTCCGATTGGGAACATTTTTAGCATAGCCCTGGCAAAACCTATTTAGATACACGTATTAAACAACCTGGTCATTCATACACTGAAGTTGAATTAAGTTATTTCTTTATTCAACCATATGAAAAATCGGAAGGGACGGGTGCACAGTTAGAAAAAAATGCGAACATTAGTGACTTGTAGTGTAACCATAGAGTTCTTGATAATTTTTGTCATTAAACAATATATCACATGACTTACCACGGGTCTGGGTTGTCCTGTGGGTACCCGGGTCCTTCTCAGTACCTACCCGAGTTACCCGTCCCAGCCCTAATATTCACACGTTATAATTCTTGCCTTCTATAGAATCTATAGAAGTGAGATATGTGTACATGATTAGGGTATCATTGGTTGGTAGATTGATCTCAAACATGAGACATAAAGGTAGACCGGCAAAGTGTTGTTTGAATGACCCAGTTCAAACTTGGTAGGCCTGCTAATTAACCTAAGCGAAGTCCACCTTTAACATGTTTGAACCATGAATCAGTACATGAGTAGCCATGTCAGCACCAGGTGTAAATGTGTGATGCATCGCGACGTCAGTGAAGCCTGATGACTCTAGTGGATACTGTTACTACTGAACATTTTGAAGTCTGGTATAGGTTGTACTGTTGTTTTCAGGTTGGGCAAGAGCAGATAGAAGTCTTGCCGAGTGACACCCCTCGTCAGGTTGAACCAATGAAGAGAATCACCTCACGATATTTGACAAAATACGAGAGGGCAAGGATTCTTGGAACAAGAGCTTTACAAATAGCGTAAGTTTAGAATAAGCATGGGATTTTCAGATACTATGCAGTTGGCTAACTAACCAAGGTCAGTGTTTTGCAGTCAAATGGAATGGAAGCACCTCAGGCCTGACTTAGGTCATCAACAATGCCGTTGTGCAGCATCGGTACCATGGGTAGCTCTTGCACTGTTGCATCCTTTATGATGCTGTGCTGTGTCTTGGGTGCAATCCATGACTCGTTCATAGCCACAGTCTCATAAAATCTACATTCTACACCTTAACACAAATAGTACACCTGGGATGCAGATTCCGCATGTGTGTCCCTGTGTTTCAACAAGCATCATTGTGTAGCAGGATGTGGATCTCTTTGGTCATGTGGACATGGCTTCTGACCTCGTATCAGAAGATCCGTAGTTCAAATCCCATCACAGGATTCGGACATTTTTGGCCGCTACATGATTTATTAATTTGTTGGAGGGCACTACAATTCACTATGCAGAGTAGCATCCCTTATCTATGACAGGATCCACTAATTGTTACTTTTGAATAAACAAACCCCACTGATGTTTAATGGACCAATGCAATCCTATTTTTATTCATATGCTGTTAGGAGTTGTCATTAAATACAACATTTTAAGTATTAATTTTTTTGGGGAAGGAGGTGGGTATGTCTTGAAACTTAAGGAATTAAGATTTTGATCCGGCATCAAACTTTTGATCTCGTCCTTAGTGACTGATTGTGTTTCACCATGTGTGCCTCTGATATTATTGTAGGACGTTTCACCATGTGTGCCCCTGGTGTAGTAATCTTTGATTTTCTGTGTGACAGCATGATGTACTTGTCCGTTTGTGTTTCAGCATGTGTGTCCCTGATATCATTGTCTGGGGGTGGTGGGGTGGCCTAGTGGTTAATGCGTTCGCTCGTCACGCTGAAGACCAGGGTTCGATTCACCACATGGGTACAACGTGTAATGCCCATTTCTGGTGTCCCCCTCCATGATATTGCTGGAATGTTGCTAAAAGTGGCATAAAACTATACTGACTCATTGTCTGATTGTGTTCCAGCATGTGTGCCCCTGTGATGGTGGAACTGGAGGGAGAGACCGATCCTCTTATGATCGCCATGAAGGAACTCAAGTGAGTAGCTTCACCAGGCTTGCAGGATAGATGGTGTAAAAGGCGCAGTTGTTTATGGTGCCTCTATTTGCTGTACATGGTTGCTTCCCTTTTTGGTTGCCAGGATCAGCTATTTTGGGATTTATCCTGATTTAATCATTAATGGTCCTTGGATTGTTGGTGCCATACCCTTGTATGTAGGTTAAATGTTGTGATGTGTGTCTCTTAGGGCTTTCCTTCAGCTGACATGCTGTTGTATGACTGAAGTACTGTTCAAAGTGACATAAAGCTGAACTCACTCACTTAAGAATATGCTAGGCACCAAGAAGGATTGAGTCCACATGATGTCAAGCTAATGGACAGCCTCCGTGGTCTAGTGTTAAAGGGTCTGCCCAGACAGCGGAAGGTCCAGGGCTTAATCCTCGGCCACGTCATACCAAAAGACTTGGTTGATGTATTTCATCGAATCCCAATTGCATGGATCGATGCTCAGTATGTCAATCACTAAACTGTCTGATCCTGACTTGATTCTTTACAGACTGCCGTCCTATAGCTGGAATATTGCTAAGAACAGCATTAAACAACAAACAAATGGTATGCCATGGTATGCATGGCCAAAACCTGCATATTTCCTGCAGCAGTAAACAGATTCACTCACTCTCTCACTTTTTGGTATTTCAGGGCCAGAAAAATCCCCTTTATCATCCGCCGATATTTACCAGATGGAAGCTACGAAGATTGGGCTTTGGATGAACTTATCATGACAGAGTGATCATGTGAACTCTGTGTTACTGGTAGCAGCAGGAACAGCGACATTTGCTGAAGAAGGGGACATGATGATGACAGACTCATCTCTGATCTAAGCTGTATCATTTCACAAACATTGTATTCAGTGGATTTTGTTTCCTCAGGACAAAGATCAGAAGTGGATCAGTGTCGTCAAATGTCTTTGATAGATGGATTTGGTACGCATTATGTGTCTTACCATTTTTACCCATTTTCATTAAGTATCATGTAATTCATCATCAATTTTATGTAATAAAACAGAATAACTCCAATAGGTAGTTGTATACTATGTATAATCTCAGCTCTTTGCAAGTCGTACCTGACTGGAAGTCTTACCCTCAGCTGTGTATGAGAAGTATTTTGGTGGAGGACTTAATCTCAGTTGTGTTAGTAGTACTTTGATGAAGTCAATGCTTGTCTAAAGAGGCGACTTACAGGATCGAGCGGTCAGGCTCGCTGACTTGGTTGATGCATGTCATCGTATCCCAATTTCGCAGATCGCAGCTCATGTCAATCACTGGATTGTCCAGTCCAAACCCGAGTATTTACAGACTGCTGGAATACTGCTGAGTGCAGCATTAATTGACAAACAAAACTTTGGTGAAAGACTTAGTCCCAGCTGTGTTGGCAGTACTTCATCTTCCCGAGGCAAGGGACTACTAAAGTCCAGTTTCCACCCTTGCCAAACTAGGCTGGGATTTCCAGGTTTGATGGTAGCACTACCAGTGGGTATAATGAGTTATGTTATGGCCCTTCTATTAACCAATCAGATTCCACCTCTCATATAACTTGCATTTGCTTCCAACAAAATGGCGTTACCCAGTCAAGACAATCTGATCCAAAATAAAGATCTGTGTTGTAATAAACGGGTCTCACCTCACGAAATGCATCAAATCATTTGAGCACCTTGATTAAAAACATGACAGACTTGGAAAATATCTGTCAAATACACAGTAAACATGCTTTGCAAATCCTGCAGTCGACAGAAATTTGTGCAAGGAAATCCATGTTTACAAACCGGATGTCTATTTGTTATGCAATTTTGATTGGACCATGCATGGACTTGTTAGTCCAGCCAAACTGTTACTCCGGAATTCCAGCCTAGTTCGGCAAGGGTGGAAACTGACTTTTACAGTCAGTCCATTGCCTGGAGAAGATGTACCTGAATGAAGTCTTACCCTCATCTGTGTATGAGAAGTACTTTGGTGATAAGGCTTTATTTGATTATTTTTAAACTATCCAGTCTAGCTGGGGCCACCGGCGGCTCAGTCGTCTAAGGTGCTGCGATTCACTGTGCAGAGTTGCGTCCCTTAGGCACGCCAGAAACCTACGATTATGTTTCTAGGTTTGTCAGCACCATACCCGTGCTCATGGGTTTCTCCGAAGTGGTAAATGTCTGAGACCTGCATCACCTCAGGCTTTCCTCCCACATTAAGCTGAAATGCTGTGATATGACTGGAATACTGCTAAAAGCAGCGTTAAACTCACTCACTCACGTCTAGCTTTGATACGGCAGACTGCTGGAAATCCCCAAGAATGATCTTCTCCATCATCTTGAATGAATCAAGGACAACAAGGTCACTGACATATTATACACTTTTTATTTTTTTCTGCTTTTAAAAAAAGCATATGTACATAACGTGGGTTAGCCCCCACAATTCACACAGTTATTACACAACAACATATTCTTGGAGGTTCATTCTCACGGGAAACGTCAGTTATTCCTAGCAATAACATATTACACATAGTAATAAATAGATAGGAAAAATAGAAATATTTCTCATAGATTCACATCAAATCGGCATCCCAATTTCACACTGATATCGCCAGTTACTAACAAAGGAATTTAGGATCCCAAGTGACTTCACGAGGATTAAGGAATTAAAACTTCTCCAAGCAGCCTACGATGCTGTACCTGTATAATGTACAATGACAGGGTGCCTGAACTAAACACATGCACTTGATCACCTGCAATTGTAAGATGACTGGAGTATGCCACAATCATATTAGCAGACTTTTCACTGTTTTTGAATACAATTCTTGATAAGTCATGTACCAAATTTAAAAAACAACAAATGGCATTTAGTATTGCGACATGACTATAGTAAATACTGCATTTGATTACTATTTAGGAGAAAGGATAATTTTTTCATAGCTTTCTACTCACATGGATGTGCTTTGTGGCTGATTCAATTGCCAGGGAAGCAAATGGCGTAGGTCGTGATGTCATAGCATACCATAGTGACGCCTCAGCTGTTTATGTCCAGAAAGAGTGCTACGGAAACTAACCTATAACACTTTGTCTTTACAATGTTGATGAGTGATGTTTTCGGGACTTTGCTTATCACCTGAATACTCGGAATCCATGAAATTGTGGTTCACAAACATTTGAATGTAATCAAGATCAACGTCCCTTACTTGTGTTCATGAAATAACACATAACATTTGTTCAGTAGAAGTTATTGACTGTCAATGTAAGTTCTGGTCGGTCAAATGTTACAACAGTTCCAGCCTGAAGGATTTTGTAAAAGATTTGAGGTTTTAATAAGTAAGTGTACATGCCATACAGAAATCTCACTAGGCCTTGGATAGTGGTTAAGGATATAGACTTGTGACTGACACTGAAGCAGTGCCGGTATTTCAGCTGTACAAAGGTACCGTTAGTTATCAAATCTAGGTCAGAGAAACCAGACACTATAGCTGAGCACCCAGATGTATCCACTCTACTTCTGTGATACACTAGCAATGACAGCTGGTAGACCTACAGTCATGACTGGGTCGCACCTTGGTCTCCAGCGAACAGTTCATGGCACACTGCAAGAGATGCAAGTCTGCATTGTGAATTCATCGCCTCTAGTTCCTGGTTTGTGACAGTTCATGGCACACTGCAAGAGATGCAAGTCTGCATTGTGAATTCATCGCCTCTAGTTCCTGGTTTGTGACGGTTCATGGCACACTGCAAGAGATGCAAGTCTGCATTGTGAATTCATCGCCTCAAACTGCTGGTTTGTGACAGTTCATGGCACACTGCAAGAGATGCAAGTCTGCATTGTGAATTCATCGCCTCTAGTTCCTGGTTTGTGACGGTTCATGGCACACTGCAAGAGATGTAAGTCTGCATTGTGAATTCACCGCCTCAAACTGCTGGTTTGTGACGGTTCATGGCACACTGCAAGAGATGCAAGTCTGCATTGTGAATTCATCGCCTCTAGTTCCTGGTTTGTGACGGTTCATGGCACACTGCAAGAGATGCAAGTCTGTATTGTGAATTCATCGCCTCTAGTTCCTGGTTTGTGATGGTTCATGGCACACGGCAAGAGATGCAAGTCTGCATTGTGAATTCATCGCCTCTAGTTCCTGGTTTGTGACGGTTCATGGCACACTGCAACAGATGCAAGTCTGCATTGTGAATTCATCGCCTCTAGTTCCTGGTTTGTGACGGTTCATGGCACACTGCAACAGATGCAAGTCTGCATTGTGAATTCATCGCCTCTAGTTCCTGGTTTGTGACGGTTCATGGCACACTGCAAGAGATGCAAGTCTGCATTGTGAATTCATCGCCTCTAGTTCCTGGTTTGTGACGGTTCATGGCACACTGCAAGAGATGCAAGCTTGCATTGTGAATTCATCGCCTCTAGTTCCTGGTTTGTGACGGTTCATGGCACACTGCAACAGATGCAAGTCTGCATTGTGAATTCTAACCACTGGGTGGGCTTGCCTAGTTCCCTATAGCCATGAAAACGAACTTATTGCTCACAGGAGCAAGAAGCTAGATACATCAATACGGTAAGCCTGTTTGGCCAATGTGATCCGCTAAGTATAGGAATACCTGTATTCAGTACTCGCAGCAACATGGTGGAATCGGAATAATCAAGACTTGACCAGACGAAGACGCCATTCAAATCAGCAACATCCCATGTTGTTGATGACCCTGATGACATACTCAACAAAGCCTCCATACCTGACCACAATCGTTTAGTCACCTCTTAGGACAAGCATACGCAACTTCCTATTTCAGCTGGGATTGGTGGGTCTGGCATAACAGACAAACTGACTCCCCTCCACTGTGGAATGTGGCCATCCTGGTATTAACGTAGCCACAGAGCTCACAACTGGCTTATTAAAGTTAAGAAACATGATTACAATCAAAATATTTTTCGATAACTCCATCCTTGATCAAGGAATATTGCATTTAAAGGTGTTATTCCCATTCACTGTTTTTACTGACTGCATCAACGCTTTGGATTATCATCACTTTTAAACATCATAACAACTCAATTCAATGCAATTCAAAGACGCTCATGGATGCAAACAAACATTGGATATGACATTTTATGATAACAGCAGGGGTCAGTATTGAATTATTGTGGTACAGGTTGCAATCAGTCAATAAACCAGTGAGTGAGTGAGTGAGTGAGTGAGTGAGTGAGTGAATGGAGATGGAAATCCTTCTGAAAGCAAATACTCCACACAGCCGGGATAACAGGACAGCTGTCAGCAGGGTTACACATGACCCTAGTAATGACCCAATCCTCAGCTTGTAGGATAAGCATGGTTCACTGACTGGGGGCTTATTCTGCCCTTGAATCCACATGGTTGTCAATCATGGTGGTTACTGTGTAGTGGGGACCTATTCTGTCCTTGAATCCACATGCAAGGCAAGATAAGGGAACAGGGGACCTATTCTGCCCTTGAATCCACATGGTTGTCAATCATGGTGGTTACTGTGTAGTGGGGACCTATTCTGTCCTTGAATCCACATGCAAGGCAAGATAAGGGAACAGGGGATCTATTCTGTCCTTGAATCCACATGGTTGTCAATCATGGTGGTTACTGTGTAGTGGGGACCTATTCTGTCCTTGAATCCACATGCAAGGCAAGATAAGGGAACAGGGGACCTATTCTGCCCTTGAATCCACATGGGGTTCTAGCATGTGTACATGGTTGTCAAGTATGGTGGTTACTGTGAACTGGGGACCTATTCTGTCCTTGAATCCACATGCAAGGCAAGATAAGGGAACAGGGGATCTATTCTGCCCTTGAATCCACATGCAAGGCAAGATAGGGGAACAGGGGATCTATTCTGCCCTTGAATCCACATGCAAGGCAAGATAGGGGAACAGGGGACCTATTCTGTCCTTGAATCCACATGCAAGGCAAGATAAGGGAACAGGGGATCTATTCTGTCCTTGAATCCACATGGTTGTCAATCATGGTGCTTACTGTGAACTGGGGACCTATTCTGTCCTTGAATCCACATGCAAGGCAAGATAAGGGAACAGGGGATCTATTCTGCCCTTGAATCCACATGCAAGGCAAGATAGGGGAACAGGGGATCTATTCTGCCCTTGAATCCACATGCAAGGCAAGATAGGGGAACAGGGGACCTATTCTGTCCTTGAATCCACATGCAAGGCAAGATAAGGGAACAGGGGATCTATTCTGTCCTTGAATCCACATGGTTGTCAAGTATGGTGGTTACTGTGTAGTGGGGACCTATTCTGCCCTTGAATCCACATGCAAGGCAAGATAAGGGAACAGGGGATCTATTCTGCCCTTGAATCTACATGGGTGTCTAGCATCGTGTACTGCTGTGTACTGGGGGCCTGTTATGCCCTGCATCCCAAAGGGAGGCCAGAATGAGGTTTGGGAATTTCTCCCAGAATCCCCCCAGGGGCAAAAAGTTAACTTGGAGATGAGACTGCAGGGTTTATTTGCTCTACTGCAAGTTGAAGCCATCGTAATTGATGGCAACACCACTGTGAATTTTCATTTCCGCTAGTCCCCTTACCCTCAGATTCCACTTCAGTGAGTGAGTTGGGTTTACTGCTGCTTTTAACAGTATTTCAGTCATATCACGGCATGTCAGCTTAATGTGAGCGGTAAGCCCAAAGTGATGCAGGTCTCAGAAACCTGGTGCTGACAAAACATTCCACTCCAAGCTGTCCACACAAAGACTCAATGCTTTCATCCTGAGTATCTGTGCAGTGTGAATATAGTGAACCCTGTATCATCACAAAACTAATGGCAGAATACAAAAACATGAATGATTTTACCAAAATATTACATCAAATAACATCTGATTATATCATGAAAAGACTAACTGAAAACTAAACATTTTTCTTATGAACAAATCTATTTTTTACCATTTTAACAACAAATCTTAATGCCACAATCTAAGCTTCATCAATTTACTTAAACATAAATATTTCTGTGATTTGTGAAATTTCAATAAATTTTCAAATCTATATGATGTGATTGGCAAAGCAGGACATGGTGGAGGACTAGAAATGCCTATCTACAAAACAGCAACCGTGTATATGTGGGGTGTACTAGTGACACAAGACTTGAAAGTGGGAGTTTGTAATTCCTCTTTGAACAGTATTTCAGTTATATCACTGTATGTCAGTGTCATGTGGGAGGAAGACATTTACCACTTCGGTGACCACGAGCACAGGACAAACCTAGAAACAAAATCCAGGCAGACCGAGACGTGAACCCATTATGATCTTTATGCCTAAGGGAGGCAACTCTGCACAGTGAATTGTAGTGCCTGAGACGCGGTGAACATGTGAAGAAATAACTTAGGGACTGGTCGCTTATTATAGGGGTGTGGGTGGGTGGGTTTGACGTTCAATTATATTAAAACAGTCTTCTGTGAAAGATGTTGTTTGAAAGAAATCATTACCGGTACACATTTTCATTTGCTTTCTAGATAATGTTTACTACTCATTGCCTCAACACTGAATGAAGATTCTTGCAAAGCACACCCGACTACGTAGCAGATAGAATGTCAATACATTTTAACACAGAATCAGTATTCTATCAGAGACTATTATTTCACATTCTCAAAATATCTAGGACAAAAAGATGTGATAAAACATGAGACTAGTAGTTAGCCACACGTCCCTGATGTGTTTGAATTAGACTAGACTGGAACCAGTCTGTTTCTTATATGAAGTAAAAGATAAAATAAAAAATCTGAGGTATATTTTTTGCGCTTCCTTGGTGTGTTCCGAATGCATGAAAACCTCCCAAAACAATGTTTAAAATTATAATTGTTTGTTTGTTTGTTTACAGCTCTGACACATTACTTATGTGATATGATAACAACATGGAGACTGCCCAAGTCTAGCTCCTGACACGTGTGACTAAACATGTTGTTACCGAGATGCTGAAACAGTTGATAAGAGAACATTCTTGTTGAAACAAATGACTTAAAGTTGACAAGTGAGAATGAGGGAGTTTGGTTTAATGCCACTTGGAACAGTACTCTTTGACATTTACAAATTGGTGAAACCCATGAGCATGGGTATGGTGCTGACTAATCTGACCATATAATCTAGGCAAATGTAAAATTTGAACCCATCAGGATCATAGGTTTCTGGCACGTCTAAGGGACGTAACTCTTCACATCAAATTGTGACACTTACATGACTGGGTCGCCCGTGCCCCATCAATGATGGATAACACCCTTGATCATCCACTGTCCAGTATCTATCATGATAAATACCCAGGGACCCTTTCCACAAAGTGATCTTAGCGCTATGACTATCGTTAGCCAGTGTTAAAGTATGGGAGTTACGATCACCTTAGCGCTAAGATTGCTTTGTGGAACGGGGGCCCAGGACCCATTCACCACCATGGCTTAACTTGAGTCAGTTTTGAATGAAACTATCAAAATTAGCTGTCCGGATAATTTGTTTGTTTGTGTTTAACGCTGCACTCAGCAATATTCCAGCTATATGACTTCAGTGTGTAAATAATCGAGCCTGGACCAGACAATCCAGAGATTGACATCATGAGCATCGATCCACACAATTGGGATACGATGATCTGTATCAACCAAGTCGGTGAGCCTGACCATCCGATCCCGTTAGTCACCCTTATGACAAGCATAGTCGCCTTTTACGGCAAGCATGGGTTGCTGAAGACCTATTCTACCCCGGACCCTGTCCAGATAAATTAGAGTTCTCCCATGATGAAAACAAGTGGTGATATCCCAAATACTCCTCTCACTTTGTCATGTGCCGTCTCCAAAACCACTTGGAACAACTGACAGCATAGGGACGTTACTCCTCGTCCTAATACTCCAAAACATCTTTTCCAGGTGACAGTTTATTTGCACGTCTTCTGATTCAAATACTAGTAAATATTTCGAGGGCAACCTCATACGAGGCTAGAGTTCTTAATGTAAAGATGTTCCGGACTCTCATCTAGAAGAGTACTTTTGATTGGCTGTTGATTCAAGCTGATGCGTGAGAGAACTGGGGGCCTACTTTTGTAATAAGAAAGATGGAGAATGGAATGTCTCTTCCGAAACTAAAAAATATGTGGGGAATCCGTCCAGGGTATCCTAATGGAATGGAGATATAATAGTGAGTGAGTGAGTATGGTTTTATGCCACTTTTAGCAATATTATTCCAGCAATTTCATGGCAGGGGACACCAGAAATTGACTTCACTAATTGTACCTATGTCGGGAATCGAACCCGGGTCTTCGGCGTGACGAGTGAACGCTTTAACCACTAGGCTACCCACCCCAGAGATATGATGTGTAATATAGGACAGAAGGGAGACAGTCTCGTTGAATAAATGTTATCAATCATGTGTGCCTCTATAAAGGTTATCAAATCCCTGTGCCACTCCTAAAAAGGTTATCAGTCGTGTGTCCCTCTTTGAAATTATGTTATCAATCATGTGTGTCTCTTTGAATAAAGGTTATCAATCACATGTCTCTTAAAATTAGGTTATCAATCATGTCTGTCTCTTTGAATAAAGGTTATCAATCACATGTCTCTTAAAATTAGGTTATCAATCATGTGTGTCTCTTTGAATAAAGGTTATCAATCACATGTCTCTTAAAATTAGGTTATCAATCATGTCTGTCTCTTTGAATAAAGGTTATCAATCACATGTCTCTTAAAATTAGGTTATCAATCATGTCTGTCTCTTTGAATAAAGGTTATCAATCACATGTCTCTTAAAATTAGGTTATCAATCATGTCTGTCTCTTTGAATAAAGGCTATCAATCACATGTCTCTTAAAATTAGGTTATCAATCATGTCTGTCTCTTTGAATAAAGGTTATCAATCACATGTCTCTTAAAATTAGGTTATCAATCATGTCTGTCTCTTTGAATAAAGGTTATCAATCATATCATGAGTCTCTTTGAATAAAGGTTATCAATCATGGCTGCCTCTTTGAATAAATGTTATCAATCACGAGTGTCTTTGAAAAAAGGTTATCAATCACATGCGCCGCACTGCATGCAAGGTAGAACAATGTCAGTCTCTCTGAATCAGGCAGTACTGGGATGTGAGGGCAGAAGGCAAACAGGATGTACTCAATATCATAACACTCACATCAAAAACTATTGCCAAGAAAAAAAACATGGTAAAGCCCTTGAGGTGTTTGACTGAAACACTTTCAAGTCAACAGGTTTCATTGGAAAAGGGCATCCGAGGTACACAGGGGAAATGTAGAGCATTCTACTAAAAATAGAACTGTATGTGTGCGTATAGAGAATGTTATTCCAAGAAATATTGACTGACAACCATCCAGATCCAACAGATTGATCTTACCCATCTTGTGCCTTTCACCCATATTGATTACACTAGTGGCGCTGTCAAACTTTCACTGCATACAGTGAGACTCTGTAAGACAAGAACCTGACAAGTCTGGGCAACTCCCGTCCTGGATAATTGTGGTTTGAAATGAGTTTTTTATAACATAAAGAATGGTGTTACTAAGGAACACAACTCTCACAGCAATCTTATGTCCATGGACACCTAGGCCGCTCATGTCCCGGGACCCGAAGAAACCTCAGATACCCCATTACAGATCTGGACCACCAAACAGGGCACTTCCTTTACAGCAAAGCTCATTAAGTGGCAAATAGAGCTCGCACTCCGACAGTGTTGATTCGATAATCCAGACAATTGTCATTCTATTACATTTTGCAAGGAACGGATTAACAGGGTTCCCCTGTATCAAGATATCTACACATTGCCTGACTGAATTATAGGACGACCAAATTTGATACCATAGACAAATAAGGTTATCTAGCAATGAACAAAGTCAATGAGCCCGGCCCAGTCTATTTATGTCGCTGAAACCCCTCTTAAGCAGACTTCTGACTTTTCCTTCCAGTGTCCTTGATCCCCCAAGGCTTGCTGGAGCTGAGTGTCTGGTTGTTGGCAAATCCTGCCTGTCGACCACCTGTAACCTGAGACGTCTATGACAATCTTCAGCCAAAGGATAAGGTATGGTACAGATGCTTTCTTGACCACTAGAACTGCCATATTTCAAATGTGTAGAAAAGTTGTGAAACACAATTCGTTTAAATCATTCTATTGTTCAGATAACTATTAACTACAATGTAGTTCATTGTCTCAAATGTTGGATTAATGCCGTGACAGATTAACTGTAGTAATATGAAAGAATTGTGTCGTCGTAATCTTTGAGTTGTATATTTAATGGAATTTCTAAATATAAGTTTTTTTCAACATGAGCAAGCCCTTGCCCCAAGCTGAGATCTGTAGGGGCTATAGATAACAGCGCAGTCATTTACCAGAATGTTCATCTTAACTTGCTGATATATAGTGTTTTTTCAGAATAAATTTGTTTCGTGATTTAATCATAATTCTACAAATAATTTCATCATTCAAAGTCAATTGAACACTTGCAATAAATTGAATAACAATTTTTCAGAGATATCTGTGATCAAAACGTTAATATAGAGGGCCCAGGGTGCCTATCACACCTGATTCTTTAGGACTGATAAGAGGCCTACTGCAGTGACCAGCTCTAAGACGCTGGCTGGCCACAGAAAACATCCAACCATGTTCATACGCAGGCTTGCACCAATAAATAGACAATGATTTAAAACTCCCCCGAGTGTACACGGGAAAACCTTCTTCAGTCTAGTATGAAATTTTCACATCCCTGAAAATTGCATAATGTTCTTGTTGCTAGCGTTCACGCCATGTAGATGAACATGTTGATGTTCTCCTCATCACGCCGCATGTACTTGTGCTCAATGAGCCACTCGATCTGTTCTTTTATCAGTTTCTTTGAAGGCAGAAACATGTTTTTCAGGATTTCTACGAGTTCTGTCTGTAAGGCAGCATTTGTAATTCTTTTCCTCATCTTCATTATTTTCACTATTGCCTCCTGGAATAGAAACAAATACATGTGCAAGTAGGTCGTTGTTTGTTGTTTAATGCCGCACTCAGCAATATTCAAACTATATGAGTCTGGATCAGACAATCCAGTGATTGACATCATGAGCATCGATCCACGCAATTGGGATCGATGACATGCATCAACCAAGTCAGTGAGCCTGATCACCTGATATCGTTAGTCGCCTCTTACGACAAGCATAGTCGCCTTTTACGGCAAGCATGGGTTGCTGAAGACCTATTCTACCCCGGATCTTCACGGGTTGTGCAAGTAGGTCAACGTGAGTGAGAGGGTTTACATGCAGCTTGGAACAATCTTTCAGTTATATCACAGCATGTCAGTGCAACGATGGTGGAACCCCTATTAAAAGTGATGCAAGTCTTAGATTTGTTTGTCTCTTGTATAATGCAGGACTCAGCTATATGATGGCGGTCTGTAATTAATTTTGCCTGGACCAGACAATCCAGTGATTGATATCATGAGCATCAATCCACACAACTAGGATACGATGACATGCATCAACCAAGTCAGCGAGCATGACCACCCAGTACTGTTAGTCGCCTCTTACGACCAACCTAGTCACCTCTTACAACAAGCATTGGTTGCTGAAGACTTCTTCTAACCCGGATCTTCACGGGTGCAGGTCTCAGATGTTTAAAGCCTAGAAGCATGTGTATGGTGCTGCCAAACCAAAAATTATAATCAGGAAGAACCTAGGATTCGAATCCCATCAAAGCATTTCTTTCTTGTTCGTCAAAGGGATGCAAATCTGCACAGTGATTTGTGGCACTTTAGATGACATGGTCACCTGTACCCAGAGAGAACAACAGCGATGATGCTGAGCAATACTGAGCAATACTGAGTGAGTGAGTGAGTGAGTGAGTGAGTGAGTGAGTGAGTGAGTGAGTGAGTGAGTGAGTGAGTGAGTGAGTGAGTGAGTGAGTGAGTGAGTGAGTGAGTGAGTGAGTGAGTGAGTGAGTATGGTTTTATGCTGGTGTTAGTAATATTCCATCAACATCACAGTTGGTGACACCAGAAATGGGCTTCACATATCGTACCCATGTGGGAAATCAAACCCAGGTCTTTGGGGTGACAAGCAAAGCTTTAACAACTACCTCACCACACCAAAGCAAAATGAACCAACAATGACCTACACAAATCATCTTTATGTGCAGAACAGACTATTCAAATGTCAAAAAACATCATAAAAAATATTATTATAAAACATTATTATAAAACATTATTATAAAACATTATCATAAAACATTATCTTTATCAACAAACACTCTATTACACATCATTATCTAGTCATAAGCAACAAAAAATATAGTTCTTACATTTCTAATGAAACATCAAGTACATACACAATATAGACAGCTGTATCTTTTGCTTTATACTTTCGCTATTCTTCATTCACAACTGTCCAGCAGAATATATCCCAGACACTGACCTGTACACGTAATATCCTAAGCTGCATTATGCCTTCATTATCCTCCTCCTTCGTCTTCTCTGTAGATAGCTGCAGACGGCCAACCAGGTTCATCTTGCCACGCTTTTGAACTTTACCGTTTTTGCTGCAACATGACATTTTTATTCATAACATATTTTCCTTCATGTTGGGTTACAGAAAGACCTCAACGTAAAGAGTCAGGTACACACATGCAGGACATACATACACAGCTGAACAAGCTCCAGAAGGTACAGAAGACTAGGGCCAGCGTCATCAATAGTACATCATGGGTTACAGAAAGACCTCAACGTAAAGAGTCAGGTACACACATGCAGAACATACATACACAGCTGAACAAACTCCAGAAGGTACAGAAGACTAGGGCCAGCGTTATCAATAGTACATCATGGGTTACAGAAAGACCTCAGTGTAAAGAGTCAGGTACACACATGCAGAACATACATACACAGCTGAACAAACTCCAGAAGGTACAGAAGACTAGGGCCAGCGTTATCAATAGTACATCATGGGTTACAGAAAGACCTCAGTGTAAAGAGTCAGGTACACACATGCAGAACATACATACACAGCTGAACAAACTCCAGAAGGTACAGAAGACTAGGGCCAGCGTCATCAATAGTACATCATGGGTTACAGAAAGACCTCAGTGTAAAGAGTCAGGTACACACATGCAGAACATACATACACAGCTGAACAAACTCCAGAAGGTACAGCTGTGTATGTATGTCCTGCATGTGTGTACCTGACTCTTTACACTGAGGTCTTTCTGTAACCCATGATGTACTATTGATGACGCTGGCCCTAGTCTTCTGTACCTTCTGGAGTTTGTTCAGCTGTGTATGTATGTTCTGCATGTGTGTACCTGACTCTTTACACTGAGGTCTTTCTGTAACCCATGATGTACTATTGATGACGCTGGCCCTAGTCTTCTGTACCTTCTGGAGTTTGTTCAGCTGTGTATGTATGTTCTGCATGTGTGTACCTGACTCTTGCCTCGGGAAGATGGTGTGAGATACTATCCAGGCACACCCAAGCAGCATCCCTGACATCTGCAAACCTTGATCTCCTGATAACACTAAAATGTCACCTAAATCCTATGGCTGCAGTTCTGTCAGCTACTTTGCTCGAGTTTTGCGGAACTCTTTGCCTCAATCATCTCTTACCAACACGACCTCCTTCAAATCCAAGGTACAGACCTTTCTGTTCCAAAGGCACTATCACTGCTACCCTTCTCTACTGGGTGTATATACAGTTAACACTACTGTAGAACTTTAAGCAGGTACTAAGTTTCTGGAGTTTTTATCTATTATGTCGAAACAAACCATGCTTCACAATTATGTGAAACTGTAAGTTATTCTACCATGTCATTGATGAGTGCTTGATTCTGATTGGTTAAAAAGAGGTTTCCTTTCTGCTACGGAAACCCCTTTCAAACATATTAAGCCTTTTCACAAAAAACGTGCGTATGAATGCATAAATAGCCTACATATCGATTCATAGAAAATGGCTGCCGATCGATCACCCCCATATGAACTGTAAAACATATCTATATTTCCTCTAATACACGCTGAACAACTTTGGATTACACAGACAGCAATCAACAACACAGAAATCAAATAATTAAACAATAATCGTTAGTTCTCATACAAAGATATTCTTATTTACATGTAATTAACAATTTCAAGGGGAATACCATGACATTCTGTATAACATTTTGGGGAATGTGAACTACATTGTATATCATTGATACTGTATACACTTAATGAGATGAATCAAAATCAATAAAAAAATCAAGGGTTAGATATTGTCAAAGCTGTGTCTAAATCCCAATACAGTGTGACCTAATTTTCTTGAACTCCATTAACTGGCTAGATATACCATAGCTTCTTATTACATAGCCTCCCAGCCCACTAATAAAATCCACCTATTCAACAGGCCTGACATAATCTTGTAACAACCGATACAAGTCGATCTGCCTGTCTGTCCTGACAACACGACGCCATGTTTCATATGACATCATCTGCTTGACACTGTTCACATTTGAGCTACCATATGAAACCCACTGGCAGTCATACTGTCACGGTAACGTATGTCACTGAAAATGTGTATGGCATTTTACGTAATTGAAAATTGTCATTGACAGACTGCACCAGTGATAACAAGAGGAGGACGACATGACTCACATCAGTGCAAACTCCTGATTGATCCAGAACTGCGTGTTGTCGTCAACGTCCTTGGGAGCCTTCACATCTGGACTACACAACAATATCTGTCGCTTTATCTTTGGAAACGCCACCAGGGACTGAAGCACAGAAACACAGGTCACTGACCTCATCATGGAAATAACAGCAGGCCTTAACAACTTGTGTTCTTGTTTTTGAAATGAACTTCACTCAATTATGCTAAAAAAATAATTAATGGGTAAAATAACATATTCAGTTTCTGCTTGATTTAAAATAACTTGTTCATTGTTCATTTTCCCTGCTGACCCTTTGAATACTGACTCCAAAATCTCTTAAAATAGAAGTAACAATGGCCATGTCCTATCTATGCTCAATACCAATGTAATTATGTATCTAATACTGAAGTGTAACAGTTTTGGAAAGGCAGGTATTAGCATTAATGTGTATTTCATAGTGGTTGCAGTTATCAGTATTACAACTACATCACACTATCCTGATACTAGTTCAAATCTGAACCCGACAAACCAGTGGTCAATAGCGTGAGCACCGATTCATGCCGATGTGGTACAACACCACCGACTGTCACAGTTTCTCACAAACCCCATGTATATAATCAGCATGTCACATTACTGGTTCAGAGCTTGTCATGACAGGTTTCATCAAAAAGTTCATTTCGGGAGGGAAACAACAAAATCTGGAATTAAATTTAACATGGAAAAAAACTAAACCATTTTCTAGAGGTTGGTGTTTGATGAGAAACAAGACATCGTTCATGTTGTGTCTGTATCACTTTGCCACGATACAAAGATTGGAAAAATAACCAAGTGATTTCTGTACAGAGCCAGACTGTTCTCACCCATAACGTTCTCCTGAGTTCTGCATCCGGTAGTTCTGTTGCTAACTTCAAACTCTCGTAGGATATTTTATCCCTGGGCCGCTGGTTCCAGGCAAACAAAACTCCCATTTGAAATGTTGTGACTTCTAGATCATACCTTCCTAAATCATTGCAAAATGTTATCTGAAAGAATGAAGACACAATCTGTGAGTGAATGATGGTTAAAATCGTCTTCAGCAACATGACATTTGTAGAGTAATCCTGCTTGACAAACCAATGATCAACAACGTGAGCACCAACCATGCACCGGTGCCAAACCCCCATCCAGGCATGTAGGAATATCAAGGACAACTCAGGGTCTCATAGCAGAGATTTTCAAAGACATTTGTAATCATTATAAGCATGACCATCGTCCCGAGGCAAGAGAGTTAACTGTGAGTAAACCATTTTGTGTGAAGCAAACGCAAGTGATACAAGAGGTGGAATCTGATTGGTCCATAGGAGAGGTTTAGAAGGAACATAACTGGTAATAGACACTGGTGGCTCTGCGATCGAGCCCAGTAATTCCAGCCTAGTTTGGCAAGGCTTTTAAAGTCAGTTAACTCTCTTGCCTCGGGAAGATGAAGCATGACTGACTTTACGGTTTGATAAAGATACTACTCAAAAGAAGTTTATTATTATGCCACTCAATTTGGGTAATACAATGCAATGCAATAGATGATATACATATTACTCAAAAAGACGATAAAGAACACCTGATCTTTTCATATGACTATAATAATAATAATAATAGTCCATTTATATGATGCTGTACTCCATTCATAAGCAGTCAAAGCGCTTAAACATTATTACAAGGGTCACTGGATCAGTGTGCACTCAATAATCATTCTCAGCTCCCTGGGGAGTATAAAACCATGGTATGACAGATTAATTATAGAAGAAAACATCAGTTGTTCTTTAACTTCTTTTGAGTTAGCATACATATCATCTATTTCATTGCATGTTGAGTGGCATAATAATCTGTAAACCTTCCCATCACATGCTAAATAAGTGAGTTTTTCTGTAATCAATCATAAACTGATTATCATGTGACAATGCCTGTAGCTTGGTTACCAATTAGCCTTAATTACTGGTGAAGGTATTTTGGGGGAAAAAATGCAATATAATTCACTTAATCGTACTGGTGGAATTTCGTTCAAAATACTGAAATGACTGTCAAAATAATAATGGTGGGCAGCACAGCCATCACCAATGCTCCAGCTATATGAAGATGGCTTGTAAATAATTGAGTGAGTGAGTGAGTTTGGATTTAACGTCACATCGGCAGTATTTCAGCCATATCGTGACGAGTGTAAATACATGAGTCTGGGCCAGATAATCAAGTGACTGATATGATGACATACAGTCTACAAAGTCACCGAGCTTGCCCACTTCATCAAGTAAGTCACTTCTTTCAACCAGCATGGGTTGCTGGGGGGAAATATTGACCCAGAACCCCCACAGGGCTAGTGATTGATATGATGAGTAAAGTGATGATAATGCCGACTAGTGTCAGTTCCTGGGGACATATTTGAACCTGCATCCCCATCTGTCAAGGGACTTACAATGCCATTAGACATCAGATGATGCCACTGAAGTTTGCGACCACTGTGCTTCTGTTTGTAGAATTCTTCCACCTGGGGAATATAGTCTTCCAGTTCCATAGGAAGTGATACTGCCACTCTGTCACTGGACCGCGCCCACGCCCCCGCATTTAGGATCTTTATGTTTATTGCATCTGAAACAGGAACAACATTACCATTTATTGATTCTTGATACCATCTACACGTCTTAAAACAGATCAAATACCACCTACACGTCCTAAAACAAATCAAATACCACCTACACGTCTTAAAACAAATCAAATACCACCTACACGTCCTAAAACAAATCAAATACCACCTTCACGTCTTAAAACAAATCAAATACCACCTACACGTCTTAAAACAAATCAAATACCACCTACACGTCCTAAAACAAATCAAATACCATCTTCACATCTTAAACAAATCCACATCAGCATTAACTTCCAGGCTATTCATGTTATACATAACCAAGAACTTTGATTAATTCGACAAACTGATAAGAAAGTGATTTGACCTATTCTGCTGCAGAATATACACACAGAGGGTGTCGTGCCGGGTTAGCGAAAATCCAATTTTCCCTAGTATCAGTAAAGCGAAAACGCAAGTTGGGGTATTTGTCCTACGAAAGCGAGAAATGAGTAATTGCTATAAAAACACCGGATTACCGTAGTTTAGATTAGCGCCCGTGCTGTTCAAACAGAGGAGAGGAGATTTACTAGAGAGTCGTTTCATAAAGAGATAATACAGTTGGATGTTTAAACACAGGAGAAGAGATGATCAGTTTCTTAATTGAACAAACAATTAGTTTCTTAGTTGATATGGGTTATGATACCGATGGGTTTAGAGGAGAGTCGTTTCTTAAGCATACATACAGTATGTATTTGAGGGTATATATAAAGAGTGCAACTTATTTATCTATGTGGTGTCACATTTACACGGACGGATCTTCAGATCCGATCTCCAAACACACAGGTTTCGGAGTCCATACCGCACAACCAACTAAAACCACACAATCCTTCCGACTCCCAAACAACCAATCAATATTCACGGCAGAACTAATGGGCATGGCCTCAGCCCTCCAAAATCAAGAATTCAAAAACGACATAAAATAATTATACTTACCGACTCCCTAAGTGGACTGCAAGCCCTCCAAAACAAAAATACCCAAAACCGACCTAAATTAATATATCAAATACTTAAAAGCTTCAACGACCTTACTAAGGCAGGCAAACAAATAACATTCTTGTGGAATATACGGTAATATAAAGCAGCTAAATATAAAGCAGTAATATAAAGCAGCTAAACTATCCCTCAAAATCCCAGATATAAGTTTAATTCTCCTCCCCAACCCCATCGGCATCTATTCCGAATCTCAAAATTCCCAAAGCAACCCCTAAAGCCCACTCTTGGGTTGCACACACCACTTTCACCCAGTGCGAGGTGGTCAGCACTTGTTCAGACAATCTCGTCAACAACGTCATCGGCGACGTTGAGTACACAGATCACGTTGGTGACCTGATCTACTTGGAATGAATGACTTGAACACAACGTGTATGCCAGTGCAACCGCAAATTTATTATAGAATGTATTTATGTATTTACCATTATATTTTAAGATATAAGTTTTTGTTGTTTTTGTAGAAATAATAATGTACATCTATGAAATATTAAAGTATAAGAGTTATTAAATTTGTTAAATGTAAAGTACTTTAGTGCAACTATACTATACTTCAGCATCTAATAAATTACTACTTTAATTACGGTATACGCATTTCTGTGTTTTGCTTGTAATTTGATAGTCCCGGTACAGCAATATTCCGTGTTTACTGTAGCGTGACCAGTCTTACTGTAGCTTCACTAAAGCGAAGAGATTTTAGAGTTCATTATGGCTAGGTTTCGTTCTTCTGGCCCATAACCACACAGAGAGCTTTGAGAGGACAGAGGGTGACCTCAGAGAGGACACAGAGCAAAGAGGTGACATTCAGAATGAGTGAGTGAGTTTGGATTAACGCCGCTTTTAACAGTATTCCAGTTATATTACAGCGTGACAGCTTAATGTTGGAGGAAGTCTCAGACATTTACCACTTCGGTCAAACCCACTAGCACGGGTATGGTGCTGACATACCTAGATACATAATCGGGGCGAACCGGAATTTGAATTCATAGGTTTCTGGCGTGCCCAAGGGACGCAACTCTGCACAGCGAATCGCAGCACCTTAGACGACTGGGCCACCCATGCCCCCGTGACATTGAGAGAATTCAGAGTGGAAGACTGAGAACAAACAACACAAAGCCCTAACCCAGACAGCTAAAAGTGGCCAAGTCATTTCCTCTACAGTTTCACTTCAGTTCTGTAATGGCTGTACACTTACAAGATATAATCCAGCCATTCACCCCAGTGTACAAATGTTATGTAGTTATCTAAACAAAGCTCACCCGCCAATCCTTCATTGTTGTTTCGGTGGGCGTCCTTGAACTCGTTGTTGAGGTCCTCGCTGACCTTGATGTCCTGGAACATCCTGGCCAGCTTGTTGACGTAGTCTGCCGGCATCCCGACCTCCTGTGGGTGGAATATGCATCGTGCATCAACTTAATTACATTGTTCAGGGTTAACATGGACACTAGCCTGCCAGATTCCCCCCAACCCTGGAAATTGTAACAATTGTAATTTCTGGCAATCAAAAAGTCAATAGCATCTGCAAATCTGAAAACACACATTGTTCATATTTATCTCTGAATTATGAGAAATCAAAACCTATTGTTCTGCATGACCAGAAAATGCCTAAACCACAACCATGTGTGACCTCATGGTGCCCATGTTCTGTGTGACCTCATGGTGGCCCTGTACTGTGTGACCTCATACAGCCCCTGTACTGTGTGACCTCTTGGTGCCCATATTCTGTGTGACTTCATGGTGCCCATGTTCTGTGTGACCTCATGGTGCCCCCATACTGTGTGACCTCATGGTGCCCCTGTACTGTGTGACCTCATGGTGCCCCTGTACTGTGTGACCTCATGGTGCCCCTGTACTGTGTGACCTCATGGTGCCCCTGTACTGTGTGACCTCATACAGCCCCTGTACTGTGTGACCTCATGGTGCCCCTGTACTGTGTGACCTCATGGTGCCCATGTTCTGTGTGACCTCATGGAGCCCATGTACTGTGTGACATCATGGTGCCCCTGTAATGTGTGACCTCATGGTGCCCCTGTACTGTGTGATATCATGGTGCCCCTGTATTGTGTGACATCATGGTGCCCCTGTTTTGTGTGACATCATGGTGCCCCTGTTCTGTGTGACCTCATGATGCCCCTGTATTGTGTGACCTCGTGGTGCCCCTGTACTGTGTGACATCATGGTGCCCCTGTACTGTGTGACCTCATGGTGCCCCTGTATTGTGTGACCTCATGATGCCCCTGTATTGTGTGACCTCGTGGTGCCCCTGTACTGTGTGACATCATGATGCCCCTGTACTGTGTGACCTCATGGTGCCCCTGTACTGTGTGACCTCATGGTGCCCCTGCACTGTGTGACCTCATGGTGCCCCTGCACTGTGTGACCCCATGGTGCCCCTGCACTGTGTGACCTCATGGTGCCCCCATACTGTGTGACCTAATGGTGCCCCCATACCGTGTGACCTCATGGTGCCCCTGTACTGTGTGACCTCATGGTGCCCCTGTACTGTGTGACCTCATGGTGCCCCTGCACTGTGTGACCTCATGGTGCCCCTGCACTATGTGACCTCATGGTGCCCCTGTAATGTATGACCTCATGGTGCCCCTGCACTGTGTGACCTAATGGTGCCCCTGTACTGTGTGACCTCATGGTGCCCCTGTACTGTGTGACCTCATGGTGCCCCTGTACTGTGTGACCTCATGCAGCCCCTGTACTGTGACCTCATGGTGCCCCTGTACTGTGTGACCTCATGGTGCCCCTGTACTGTGTAACCTCATGGTGCCCCCATACTGTGTGACCTCATGGTGCCCCCATACTGTGTGACCTCATGGTGCCCCCATACTGTGTGACCTCATGGTGCCCCTGCACTATGTGACCTCATGGTGCCCCCATACTGTGTGACCTCATGGTGCCCCTGTACTGTGTGACCTCATGGTGCCCCTGTACTGTGTGACCTCATGCAGCCCCTGTACTGTGACCTCATGGTGCCCCTGTACTGTGTGACCTCATGGTGCCCCTGTACTGTGTAACCTCATGGTGCCCCTGTACTGTGTGACCTCATGGTGCCCCTGCACTGTGTGACCTCATGGTGCCCCTGCACTGTGTGACCTCATGGTGCCCCCATACTGTGTGACCTCATGGTGCCCCTGTACTGTGTGACCTCATGGTGCCCCTGTACTGTGTAACCTCATGGTGCCCCTGTACTGTGTGACCTCATGGTGCCCCTGCACTGTGTGACCTCATGGTGCCCCTGCACTGTGTGACCTCATGGTGCCCCTGTACTGTGTAACCTCATGGTGCCCCTGTACTGTGTGACCTCATGGTGCCCCTGCACTGTGTGACCTCATGGTGCCCCTGCACTATGTGACCTCATGGTGCCCCTGTACTGTGTAACCTCATGGTGCCCCTGTACTGTGTGACCTCATGGTGCCCCTGCACTGTGTGACCTCATGGTGCCCCTGCACTGTGTGACCTCATGGTGCCCCCATACTGTGTGACCTCATGGTGCCCCCATACTGTGTGACCTCATGGTGCCCCTGCACTATGTGACCTCATGGTGCCCCTGTACTGTGTGACCTCATGATGTCCCTACACTGTGAGACCTAAGGGTGTCCCTGTACTGTGTGACCTCATGCAGCCCCTGGAGACTCACCCTCAGCCACTCCACCATGTTTTCCTCCTTCTCGTTGTCTGCGGACGTGTCCAGGATGAGACGTCGCGTTAGGTGAGCTTTGTGGTATCGCATAAACACGTCTTTGTTCATCACATACTTCAACACTAATAACTGAAAGAGGAAAGGTCAGGAGAGTGAAACATCAGCTTTGCATATTGAACACTCTTTCAATTTAGTTGTGACAAAAAAGTTTTCTTTGGGTTTTTGTCGTACTTGAAATTGTATATATATACGGCTAAAATAAAAAACTAATCTTGTATTAAAAAAACTACATCATTCAAGTCACATATTATCTGACGTTTCAAAACACTTGTTTTTTGTATGTAGCATAACCATAATCCAATAAACCACAATTTACAAGGAACTTAGGAATAAGTCTTGTCACAATGTCGTGAGTAAAAAGCCTTGTCAACTTACAACATCTTTTAGTTTTTTCTCGACTTCTTCGGAGGTTAGTTTTTTACTGAGGGGTGTTTTCCGCAGCAACATATCACAGTAGTTAGCCAGGAGCTCTGGACACTTGGACTCCGGCTGTGTCTTGGTGCCCACTCTGCAACACAAAGCAGGGTGTCACGCCACGCAAAACATGCTGTCACTGACTCCGAGATTATCAGTGGAGTGAGTTTCTGTATCATAAATATCTTATACTGCACAAGGCTCCCAGGACAAACTAAATGTAACTGTTGGTGAGGGGACTGATCAACTAATACACGATCATGAAATTTTTCGTAATATACGCATTCGTTTTATTTCAATACTGTAGTTATAGTTTTTGTTGCATATTAGATACGCTAGGATTTGATTTGTATGCATATTGTAGCTTATTTAATGCATATTTTACGTTTTTGTTCTGCTAAGGTCAACTAAATTCAACATACCAACTTTGCAGATTTTAATACTTTAAGGCATATTTAATAAAAACAATTTGACCGAAATTAAATTTGATAATCGGACATAGGGGTACACAAAATACGGGATCTAGACTACCAGTTGTCGGACTTTCATTTTGTGAAAGCCTCAGTGGCTGACTGGGTTAGATCGCTGACTTTGAGTCGAGTGATTAGGTGCCTCACTCTGGCAGTGTGGGTTTGAATCCCGGATGGAATTCACCCCCCCAAAAGAAAAGTGTGATCCCAAACATAACATTTGTTACACTTAAAATGTTTCTGTGAACACCAAGTCCAGTAAATAGATTGCCACTGTCTCTGCACGCTACAAATCTTGTGAATGTGTCTCGTGCTGCACAGGGTGCTGGGAGTGAAGAGGGCAGCAGTCATGTGAGAACACTTCAGTCACTTGCTGCCGATGGGTATACAGTAATCGGCTTTCTCCCTTGATGTAAGTTGTGCTTGTTGATGAGGCTCCGCTGGATACTGGTATGTTGTGCTCAGATTATCAGAATCACAAGCCAATTACGTACCACTGCATATCGGCAGTCATGAAAGAACACTTAAGTCAGTTTCTGTCCATGTAATCAGCTTGCTCCTTAATGAGTCAAAATAAGATGTCTCGATTTTGTTCCGTTATTTAGAAAACATTAGATGTAATTGCAACAATAGCAGTGAGGTTAGTCAATTGTGTGTAAGTGAGTTGAAAGTTTGGCAATTGTGGGTGTGTGGACAATATTGTTCCCTTGAACTGTTCCGAGTCTTTTGGAAACTTTATGTTTATTTTGGATACTTGGGACCCCTAAATGAATTCGAGCCAACTGAGAATTTTGACACTTCCGAGTTTAAACAATGATAAATAAAGGAGGAATTTGCATGGATGTGAAGCTGAGTTTGTGACACAATGTTTTGACTATCACACAAACCCTGCAACACACAGGATCAACTTACCCTTTGTTTTTCAATGGAATTTCTAATTTGAATACTGATGTGTCATTAACTACACTCTTATAGGCCTGAAAAGAGAGAAAAAACATCAAATATTAGAAAGAAAAAGAAAAACATGAGATATAAACAGCATAAAGGTAACTCTATAACTCTTACAAGTAGACAATGGGGGCCGGCCATCTGCTAGCCCAACTAAACGTGAGTCACCAGGGGATGGCATATCCCCGGCCTGCTGCAATTCAGACATAGAGTTTAGCAACTTATACCCCACTTTTTTGCCAATGGATATCTTCAGTTCAGTGGATAAAAAAATAATGCTGTTCTGCATTTTTGAAAATCCCAAATCATCAAAAGGCACCAGCTCGCAATAAGACTGATCTGTATAACAAGTTTCATCTGGAAATATTCAACGGTTTTAGAGTTCTGCTCCTGTCACAAGCACTACCCTCATTTTTAGTATAAGTCCGACTTGTAATCATGGAAAAAATAAAATAAAAATTCCAAATCATCAAAAAGCACCAGTTCATCACTAGACCAATCTAAATAGCAAGTATTAATAAGAATTATTCGCTCCATACGGACATGGTGGTCACTATATCCCCCTGTTTTTCAAACTGGGGGGATGAAAAGGGTTAAACCCAGAGGAGACTTTCAAGTTGTTGACTGTGTGTACCTTGTCTCTGGATGTGAGAAAGCGTGGGTCGTCGCTGAAGGCTTCTCGTACCAGGGTACTGAATCTGTTGAACAGGTCCAGCAACTGCTCAACATACTTCTCGGAATCCTGCAACATACACGTATAGCTGAAGAACAATATCAACAAACCCTGCAGCATACACATATAGCTGAAGAACAATCTCAGCAAACCCTGCAGCATACACATATAGCTGAAGAACAATATCAACAAACCCTGCAGCATACACATATAGCTGAAGAACAATCTCAGCAAACCCTGCAACATACCCGTATAGCTGAAGAACAATCTCAACAAACCCTGCAACATACACGTATAGCTGAAGAACAATCTCAACAAACCCTGCAACATGCACATAGAGAGTCAGCCAAGTATAAATCTAGTCGACTCGTATGACAAGGTTTGGTCACTGAGGACCAGTTGTGTCCAGAAATCTCAAAGAGTACAAAGAGAGAGGTGATGGACTTACGGAGGTGATTGTCTCGGCGGAGGCCATCATGTCCGCTAGTCCCTGACTGATGATATGGGACTCCAGGTCGTGCAGCATGGGTGTGATCCCGTCCGCCACGCGGTCCATGAGACTGAACATCAGTCGCAACTCTGAAACACAACATCCAGGCTTACACTCCACTATCACTTGTCCCAACCTCCAGCTGTCACAGTATAACATCAGTGCATGTCAAGTCGATGTGGTGCACTGACAACTAAAGCATGTATTCGCACGTGAACCGCATCACTTTCCACCGCTGTCCCCTGTTCAATTGATATGGATTCTTCTGAAGCCTGTGGAACACCTACTGACTTCACAGAGATGGTTCTTTAGTTTGCTTAGTTTACACTTAAAAATACACATCCTAAAATCTAGCTGTCTGATTGACAAGCCACCATTTGGAAAACTTGTCTGGTGGCCTGTACGAACTTCATGATCAGTCAGCCAGAACAGGGATATCATAAAAGGACACCTGGAAAAGATCAGAATGCTAGCCCTCCAGGTACCTTTAACATTAGATGAACTGACTCGGTTAGCAGGCTCCTGCCAAGTTGCATCTCCAATGACGTACTAAATAATTGTCAGGTCGTCACTCCACCCTAATCACAATCTGGGTAAAAGGAGTTTTATGGTTGATACAATATAGATCTAATTCTGTCAGACTTGGCTTGTAGATTGTTCTTTTAATGTGACATATTGGCTTTGTGTGTATATATATTTCTATGAGGTGAGGTGAAATTGGGTTTAACGTCGCGTCCAAGATTATTGCACTTATATAGCGATGTGCATGTATGTGTATTTGTTTGTGTGGCTGCTTGAACTAGTCCGGACTGATGCCGATTTATAGTGCTAGCTCACTGAGATACCATGCCGCAGTTTAACATGAATACCCCACTCAGACACAGTATACTGACTCCGAGCCGACCAGTCCTTGTTTTAGCCCCTAAATGCCGAGCGCCAGACAGGGTAACAACAAGTACCATCTTTTAACGTCTTTTGGTATGGCGCGGCTGGGGATCGAACCCCGGACCTTCCTCTCTCCGGGAGGACGCTCTACCACTAGACCACGGAGGCGGTCTATATTTCTATGAACATCAAACCCTATGACATGACTTTCCAACACTAGCATGGTGTGGCACAGCTGGACACTTACTCTCTGTTTCATTGTTCTTGATCATCAGTGCACACTCCTGTAGAATCGTCTCCTTGAAGTCTGTCACCAAAACCCGCACACAACACTCGGTCAGCTGGAGGAAATCATCATCATCATCATCATCATCATCATCATCATAATAATGATACAGTTCTACACAACACTCTAATACACTTGAAGCTCCATCTCCTGTGGTCAATACTGGATTTTATGTTCGGTGATCACGTGACAAAGGACACACTAAAGAACAAGCTTGCTCCTATATGACTCCTCAGGATACCATAGTAAAATCTCGGTCTACATTCTCGATTTCCAGCTTGTTACAGACGAATTTGACTTGAATCTTCCCATGTCTGCTACAGAATGGAATGTCCTATGTCATGTGTTTTAGCAAACACGGGATATCTCGCAGACAGAATTTGTGACAAACAAATGGCCAAAACTTAGTAATACTGATATGAAAAAACATCATCAGACATGATATTTTTTTTCTACCAAAATGGAATTACAAACTGAAACAAGAAATATCTTCAATAACAGATAACAGAGTACACAATGAATGTGAGCCTAAATAACAATTACATGACACACATACACAAATGTTTGAATGAAAGCAGCATGAAGTGAACATTGACAATTGTAGTCCAGGTATATCACAGTGTGTCAGCTTGATGTGGGAGGAAAGCCCGCAGTGATGCAGGTCTTACGTTTACCACCTCGGTGAAACCCACGATGATGGGTATGGTGCTGACAAACCTAGAGACATAATCGGGGCGAACCAACCATCACAGGTTTCTGGCTACCCAAGGGATGCAATTCTGGACAACTGACAATATGCAAAGATTATTTTCTGACAGTTGACCTACTAGTTGGTTTTTTGAGTTGACCCCAGCATCTCTGCTGCCCACCTCTTTACAGTGGCATAGGAAGGGGGTTCCTCCCTCTTGTATACTCCGTGGATGGCTTTCAGGGGTAGACTTAACAATAAATTTGTATGTAGCCAGGATTGTTATGGTATTTTATGTGTGACTTAGAACTTAGAACCAAAAACTGTAAAAAAAAATTAAAAAGTGCATCTACTCACAGCTGCGACGGAGTTACATCCGTATCCGGTCTCGAGGTACCTGCGCGCCCTGGCCTCCTCCTCCTTCAGCTTGGAGTCGGCGTATCTCATGTAGTTCTGAACACCGTTGTCCTCCAGGTACCGAGGGGCCTTCACCTTGTAGAACGCCTCGGTCGCCTCCAGGTACGCCTTCTCGAAGTTCTCGCGGTAAATCTTTAGTTTGTCTTCTACATCGGAGCTTAGGTTAACTTTAAGAAAAATAAAAGCAATATTTACACCACACATGCAAAGAGCATTTGAAAATGGACTTTTGTAAAGTATATCTTAGAGGTGTCCCATAGAGAATCTCACCCGAGTGTCTTTTGATATCAAATGTATCAACACGAGTTGATAAAAGGGGAAAAATTCCGAGGCTTGCCGAGGTTTTTGCCACTTTTATCAACGAGTGTTGATATATTTGATATCAAAAGACACGGGGGTGAGATTTTATTTATCATCCAACATCATTCTTCCAACTTTTTCAATTTGTAGACGATAATTAGCAGTGTTTTCAGTGTAAAAAGTACTGCTAACAGCTTCAGTAGCAGAGCCATTAGTGATGTCATTTGATTGTGACGTCATGGTAACCAGTGACGTCACATTGGTCTGCAAAGCATTGTGATGTCATTTCATTGCAGCGATATCTACAGTGTAGATATCGCTTGATCTCATCCAAGCGATATCTCCTGTGGGAGCCAGTTTTGGATGATAAAGTATGTATACACACTATGATACTTGAGTCAACATGTGATACACATATTTAAATCACACCATTTTTGCGTTAAATCATGTTCTTGTGCCCGAACGGACGAAAAGTTGTTGCTGTTGACCAATTTGTGTTTGACTTTCAAGACTGGTTCATTAAGGTTGGTTGAGATACTTTTATGCAATCTGGACAGCATTTCGTTTCATGTTTGTTTGTTTTGTCTGTCTGTTTAACGCCACACTCAGAAATATTCCAGCTATATGACGGTGGTCTGTTAATAATCAAGTCTGGAGCAGACAATCCAGTCATTGACATCATGATCATCGATCCATGCAATCGATCCAAGCGAGTCTGTCCACCTGATCCTGTTAGTCGACTCTTGCAACAAGCATAGTCGCCTTTTACTGCAAGCATGGGTTGCTGAAGACCCCTATTACATAGATACAATGCCTAAGTTTCCCACTAGCCGGGTGGTCGGGTAGCCTAGTGGTTAAAGCGTTCGCTCATCACGCCGAAGACCCGGGTTCTATTCCCGACATGGGTACAATGTGTGAAGCCAATTTCTGGTGTCCCCCGCCGTGATATTGCTGGAATATTGCTGAAAGCGGCGTAAAATCATACTCACTCACTCCCACAAGCCAAACTATATAATGATTACTTCAATGACAAAGAGCCTAGTGTCCCTACAACCACAGGAAATCCAACACCACAGTTCAAATAATCCTTGTAAACTCAATTTGTGAAGACATTAGGTATATGTTTGTATTTGAAACACTAACTGCAAACAATCATTTACATCTGAATGCTTTTCACTGTCATCATTTTAATAAAGCATAAGTTGTCTTTGACAGGCATTTAGAAGTTGGAAGAACATGAATACATGACACTATTTTATGGATAACAATACAAGTTGCAGCAGGATGAGGACGGGTACATGGGGCCTTATGCGTCTAGGATTAGGTTTTATTCTTTGCAATGACGTTTCAACAGCCCTGGAGGATGTTACAAAGTATAAAAGAAGTTGTTATCCATAAAACAGTGTCATGTATTTACAGTACAAGTTGTTAGTTCAAGTCCTTGAAACCATCTACTTACCATACGACTCCCGGACACCTATAACCAGCTGTGAGTCGAACGCCTCTCCGTTCCTCTCCGCGTGAACCAGCTTCATGGCGCTGTCCTGTAGGCGCTGCTTGATATTGGAGAAGATACTCAGATTCCAGCTGTCCAGCATCAGCTGAAACACAAGCATTATGCCATGTACTGCCTTGTGACAACCACAATAACTGCTTCATCCTCTGAGTCGCTAACAGCTGCAACTGGAACGTTAATGAACAATATAGGTACTGAATGAAGACTAACTTTGACTCTCAAGTATGACTTAACCTAAACATTACTGTGTTTTGGAGGGGCATTAATTTTCATACTTTCCCCAGAAGGACCTACCTTCCTAACCAGACTCTCCTCTCCTCCCTGTGTGGTTTCCCCAGAAGGACCTACCTTCCTAACCAGACTCTCCTCTCCTCCCTGTGTGGTTCCCCAGAAGGACCTACCTTCCTAACCAGACTCTCCTCTCCTCCCTGTGTGGTTTCCCCAGAAGGACCTACCTTCCTGACTAGACTCTCCTCTCCTCCCTGTGTGGTTTCCCCAGAAGGACCTACCTTCCTAACTAGACTCTCCTCTCCTCCCTGTGTGGTTTCCCCAGAAGGACCTACCTTCCTAACTAGACTCTCCTCTTCTCCCTGTGTGGTTTCCCCAGAAGGACCTACCTTCCTAACCGGACTCTCCTCTCCTCACTGTGTGGTTTCCCCAGAAGGACCTACCTTCCTAACTGTTCCCCAGAAGGACCTACCTTCCTAATTGTTCCCCAGAAGGACCTACCTTCCTAATTGTTCCCCAGAAGGACCTACCTTCCTAACTAGACTCACCTCTTCTCCCTGTGTGGTTTCCCCAGAAGGACCTACCATCAATACTGTTCCCCAGAAGGACCTACCTTCCTAACTGTTCCCCAGAAGGACCTACCTTCCTAACTGTTCCCCAGAAGGACCTACCTTCCTAACTAGACTCACCTCTTCTCCCTGTGTGGTTTCCCCAGAAGGACCTACCATCAATACTGTTCCCCAGAAGGACCTACCTTCCTAACTGTTCCCCAGAAGGACCTACCTTCCTAACGAGACTCTCCTCTCCTCCCTGTGTGGTTCCCCAGAAGGACCTACCTTCCTAACTAGACTCACCTCTTCTCCCTGTGTGGTTTCCCCAGAAGGACCTACCATCAATACTGTTCCCCAGAAGGACCTACCTTCCTAACGAGACTCTCCTCTCATCCCCGAGATGGTTCCCCAGAAGGACCTACCTTCCTAACTGTTCCCCAGAAGGACCTACCTTCCTAACGAGACTCTCCTCTCCTCCCTGTGTGGTTCCCCAGAAGGACCTACCTTCCTAACTAGACTCTCCTCTCCTCCCTGTGTGGTTTCCCCAGAAGGACCTACCTTCCTAACTGTTCCCCAGAAGGACCTACCTTCCTAACTAGACTCTCCTCTCCTCCCTGTGTGGTTTCCCCAGAAGGACCTACCTTCCTAACTAGACTCTCCTCTCCTCCCTGTGTGGTTTCCCCAGAAGGACCTACCTTCCTAACTAGACTCTCCTCTTCTCCCTGTGTGGTTTCCCCAGAAGGACCTACCTTCCTAACCGGACTCTCCTCTCCTCACTGTGTGGTTTCCCCAGAAGGACCTACCTTCCTAACTGTTCCCCAGAAGGACCTACCTTCCTAATTGTTCCCCAGAAGGACCTACCTTCCTAATTGTTCCCCAGAAGGACCTACCTTCCTAACTAGACTCACCTCTTCTCCCTGTGTGGTTTCCCCAGAAGGACCTACCATCAATACTGTTCCCCAGAAGGACCTACCTTCCTAACTGTTCCCCAGAAGGACCTACCTTCCTAACTGTTCCCCAGAAGGACCTACCTTCCTAACTAGACTCACCTCTTCTCCCTGTGTGGTTTCCCCAGAAGGACCTACCATCAATACTGTTCCCCAGAAGGACCTACCTTCCTAACTGTTCCCCAGAAGGACCTACCTTCCTAACGAGACTCTCCTCTCCTCCCTGTGTGGTTCCCCAGAAGGACCTACCTTCCTAACTAGACTCACCTCTTCTCCCTGTGTGGTTTCCCCAGAAGGACCTACCATCAATACTGTTCCCCAGAAGGACCTACCTTCCTAACGAGACTCTCCTCTCCTCCCTGTGTGGTTCCCCAGAAGGACCTACCTTCCTAACTAGACTCTCCTCTCCTCCCTGTGTGGCTCCCCAGAAGGACCTACCTTCCTAACGAGACTCTCCTCTCCTCCCTGTGTGGTTCCCCAGAAGGACCTACCTTCCTAACGAGACTCTCCTCTCCTCCCCGAGATTGTTCCCCAGAAGGACCTACCTTCCTAACTGTTCCCCAGAAGGACCTACCTTCCTAACGAGACTCTCCTCTCCTCCCTGTGCCTTCTTGGGCATGCTACTGTGTAGTTTCCCAAGTAGGTTAGCCTCCAGCTGGTTGAATGGCTTAGGCAGGTAGTTACACTGAGTGAAGAACTTGCCCCACTCCGCTATGTACGCTCGCAACAAGGCTGAATCTTCCTTGTGTTGTAGCACGCGCTGCAAGCAAAAAACATGACTGTAAGAGGACCTCTAGGCTACCCATTCATACATACAGCACACACTGTGGACAATCTGATGTTAATATAAGACAGCTACGCGATAAATTGCAAAGAACAATGAAGAACAAAGCGTGGTATATTTCACGATAAAACTCTGTTCTATCATGACGTCATTTCTGGAGATTCGAACATGCGCTCACAACATGATGACATTGTAAATTGGATGACGTTATATTTGAGAGGGTCTAGAGAGTTTTACCCCATAGATGTAGCTGGGCAATCTAGATAAACACAATGGCCAAACCATGGCTTCCAAAAGTGGGATACATATGACAATCGCTAAAGAGCAAAAAGGTGAAGATTATCAGCATGAAAGTATGCGGGAAAGACAAAATTTACCCCCTCCTCCTGATTAAAAAAATGGACTTGTCCGACATTGCAGCAGATGGATTCGTTCAGGGAGTCATCATTATTCAAATACAGGTAAATATTTTTAAAGTGTTTACTTTTTACTAACATTATTTAAATACGGGTAAATATTTTTAAAGCGTGTACTTTTTACTAGCACCTTAAAGAGCCTGTATGTAATGTTGATATGCCATATAAGAAACAAACGACTCAAGGTATATTTCTTAAATATATGTCAGAGGTACTTACTGTCTGTGCCTGTTTGATGAAATCCAGAATGTCATCCTGTAGAGCTTGGTAGATTTTGGGTGGTCCGTCTTTCTCATCCCACATACACACAGAATGTACCGCCCTGAACAAACAGAACAGTTTCAGGGGTTTATGTAGAAACACACTGACGCCGATATTCGGCCCAAGTCTGCAGCAAATGTCAGTAAAAAATCCCAAATTCTTAATTCTGTTTTTCTATTTACTTTATAGAAACCTCTCTTTGCTTGGCTTAGTGCTTGGAAACTGCATTTAGTACAATAAAATGCATAGTTACCCGTAATTGTTTCATTTGAATAGTAAGCATGGTAAGAGTGAGTTCTGAACACTATTCCAGTTATATCACGGTGTGTCAGCTTAATTTTGGAGGAAAGCCCAAAGGGGTGCAGGACACAGGCATTGACCACTTCAGTGAAACCCATGAGGAATGGTTCTGACAAACCTGGACAAACCTGGAGAAACCTGGACAAAAATAGACAAACCTGGACAAACCTGGACAGGCCTTGACTAACCTGGACAAAAATAGACAAACCTGGACAAAAATAGACATACCTGGACAAACCTGGACAAACCTGGACAGACCTTGACTAACCTGGACAAAAATAGACAAACCTGGACAAAAATAGACATACCTGGACAAAGCCAGACACACCTGGACAAAGCCAGACAAACCTGGACAAAAATAGACAAACCTAGACAAACCTGGACAAAAATAGACAAACCTGGACAAACCAAGAAAAAGCTGGACAAAAAATGAACAAACCCAGACAGACCTAAACTAACCTAGACAAACCTGGACAAACCTAGACAAACCTGACCAAAGCCAGACAAACCTGGATAAACCAAGACAAACCTGGACAAACCTGACCAAAGCCAGACAAACCTGGACAAAAATAGACAAACCTAGACAGAACGACCTTTCGCGAACATTGACCGATCAATGAAATGACTGACAAGAAATCGACATTTGCCAATCAGAAGGCAGCTATCTCGAGCTTTACGACACTAGTGTCGAACTGGCGACTACGCTTTGAAACATATTTTTAAAACTGACCAAAACAACATTCTGGAATGGCTTATAGATGGCATAGATTGTATGGATATAATCATAAAACCTGTAACTGTCGTTTGGAATACCCTTTATTAAATATTTCGAGGTTGCATGACTAGAAAACACATTCCAACTGTCACTTTCAGGATCTGGTAAGCGACGCTCTGATTGGTTGGATGAAAGGTCATGCTGACGTGACCCGTAATGGGAGGACCTCAGATCTTTGTTTAGTGGTAGCGAGAACTAAGACCTGATTTTAATGAGATTGGATTATGTACTGTTTGTATGAGCACTAACTCGGCATGTTCTGACTGGGATCTGTTACCAACTGGGGAAAACATTGCCATGGCTAGGATCTGTTTTAGATGTAGCACAGAAGTCTGCATATGTAAATATTTTATGTATTTTCATAAAATTTAAAGTGTGTGTAACTTTGATTACTTCTGAAGTTTTTCTAAAACGTGGTAGTTGTTTGTCTTTCCCCACTGCTGTCAGATTATATTATCATCCCAACTGTAACATCATTCTATGTTCTTGGAGACAGGGACTGTATTTCATGGCAGTACTAGAGGTTTTTGATTTACCATGATTGATCAGGCTGAATATATGGAGTTATGTAGGGAAATAGTGAGTGAGTGAGTATGGTTTTACACCGCTTTCAGCAATATTCCAGCAATATCACGGCGGGGGACTCCAGAAATGGGCTTCACACATTGTACCCATGTGGGGAATCGAACCCGTGTCTTCGGCGTGACCAGCCAATGCTTTAACCACTGGACTACCCCACCGCCCTGGTAGGGAAGCAGGAAGTATGATTGGGTGTCCAGTGTTCCTGTTGAACTATTGGTAGGTTATGGAAATTGATCACCTTCTACTGGCCAATCATGACTGATTAGGCTACAGATGTGGAGGTAGGGAGGGAATCAGGAAGAATGATGAGTTGTTCAGGGGTGGAAATTTGCCATTTCCCGACTCCCGGGGCAAGTAGAAATACGAGGTCGGGCAACAAAATCACTTACTTTATCTTTTCCGGAGGCAAGTAATATTGGAAATTACTATCACTGTCTACATGTCTAATTACTGGTAAAATGGAACAATAAATTAGCTGAGAGAAATTTCGTAATCTCGCTTTCATAACATCGCCTGTTTTTTCCCCGTAGTTATAACAAGCGATTTCATTGGATTAAAATTGGTTTCTAATGAGGCTTTCTTGCCGAAATCTGCTACAAGTTTCGTGATTGGTCAATTTTTAGCACGTGACCTCAGACAGCCAATCAAATTACAGCTGTGATACCAAGCTCGTGTTTGATAAATTTCAGAAGTTGGCGAAAGATTTTTTGTTAAATCGTGTTATTCTTTAAGCAGGAAATCACGATACATATTAAAAATATGGAACTTCGTGAATGTATCGTGCTAGGTAACGAGCTGTGACAAAGATTTTTCATGCATAAAGCCGAGATGTCAATTGACTTACATTACACACAATCGCACGAAAAGATGGAAATAATAACTTAGATGTAGAGTCTAAGTTTGATTACTTTTAGATATATTTTTGTTGATTTTATTTATTACTTTGTATAATATATTTAAAGATTTGTTTAAAACGTCTTTATTTTGCTCTTTGACATGTTTGATGGGACCCGTTGTCGAAATGTGTGTCCGAGAATTTTATTTTCACTAACATCGCGGGAAATAGTGAATAATTTTTTAATTTATCGATAAAAAATGATAAATTGAAATGGAATACGTATTTCAGAAATTGTGAAATGTGACAGATTTAATAAATGAATGATATTACAGGTAGGTCCATAAAAATATAAACTATTTTGATGTGACTACGGCTTGGCCGGAAAACAGGCCTACAGTGTCTGGGGACTCGATGCTTCTTGGCCGGAAAACCGGCCTACGGTGTTGAAAGAGATAAACACATATGGATGATTTGAAGTTTTATTTTGAAATTATTTGGGCAAGTGAAAATTAAATCAGGGCAAGTGAAAATTGTCTTTAAACTTGTCCGATGGCAAGTGAAGTTTGTTTTTAAATTTCCACCCCTGTTGTCCAGTGTTCCTGTTGAATTAGTGGTAGGTTATCGAAATTGATAGCCTTCTACTGGGCAATCATGACTGATCAGGCTACAGTTGTGGAGGTAGGGAGGGAAGCAGGAAGTATGATCAGTTGTTCAGTGTTCCTGTTGAACTAGTGGTAGGTTATCGAGATTGATAGCCTTCTACTGGGCAATCATGACTGATCAAGCTACAGTTGTGGAGGTAGGGAGGGAAGCAGGAAGTATGATCAGTTGTTCAGTGTTCCTGTTGAACTAGTGGTAGGTTATCGAAATTGATAGCCTTCTACTGGGCAATCATGACTGATCAAGCTACAGTTGTGGAGGCAGGTAGGGAATCAGGAAGTATGATCAGTTGTTCAGTGTTCCTGTTGAACTAGTGGTAGGTTATCGAAATTGATAGCCTTCTACTGGGCAATCATGACTGATCAGGCTACAGTTGTGGAGGTAGGGAGGGAAGCAGGAAGTATGATGGACTGTACAGTGTTCTGACTTACCAGAAGAGTCCGTGCCACTCGTCCCGTGTGACTGCCTCCTGCCGGAGCAGCTTGAGGACGGTCGGCCGCATACTCGGCCATTTGTCCTCAAACTTACACTGCCCTTGTTGCTGAAACAAAAACATCACTTAGTCCACATCATCAGCATGTGAGCACATGAATGAGAGAAAACAAGTGACCAAGAGTGTGAGTTGAGTTTAATCAGGGGTAGAAACTAACATATTTAGTCCACTAGTCCTTATAATGATAACATGTAGCAAAACCCTTAAAAATGGTAAATTTCTACAAGTCCTTATGCAGTGTTAGAAATTGGCACTAGTCCTATAGTCCTAGACAAACTGCCCAATGGTAAAGGTATCAGAAGGACTAGTAGAAATTTGCCCTTTTTAAGGGTTTTGCTATATGTTATCATTATAAGGACTAGTGGACGAAAACTGGTAGTTTCTAGCCCTGCCTTATGATACCTTAACTGTTGGCCAGTTTGGCAAGGACTACATGACTCGTGCCAATTTGTAATGCTGGTTTAATGCTGCTTCAAACAGTATTCCAGGGACGTGTCAGAATTGATGTGATGACAAAACTTAAAGTGACGCTGGTCTTTGATGTTCAGCACTTTGTTGAAACCCTCAAGCAAGGTGTTGACAAATCGAGAATAATGAGCAGGGTGAATCTCTGAACTGAACCCACGATCATTCAGTGCTCGAAATAAGCGCCTGCCCATCGGCCTGTGGCAGTTAGATCTCGTGTTGGGCCCCTTGTTTCAAAATTGTATGGGTCCTTATGGCCTGCAGTAAATTTACCTGTCGATGTACTTATGACAATAAGCTGCAGTTCTTTTAAAATGAGGGCCTGAAGACTTTAATCAGGGAATACATCTTCTAAAGGCTGGAGGTCCTGATTGTAGCCTGGCAATTTTTGCATTTCACAGTACTCATTCTGGCACACCTGAGGGACACAGCTCTGTGCTGAGAATTACAGCATCGTCGATGACTGCGGCCCTGGTGGCCCAACACAAAGGATGAAAAGCATGAAACTAGTGAGTGAGTAGGGTTTTACTCTGCTTTTAGCGAGATTCAAACATCCTCACTGTGGGGACACCAGAAATGGGCTTCACACATTCTACCCATGACAAGCATTTCTTGACTCAGTCGTCTTTGCTGCTACAGCTTCTATAATGCCACTTATAGTGTATCATATTTCCCTTACTGAAAAATACTAGTGGTGGGACGATACACCGATGCATTGGTGGATCGCGATATTTTACTTCCCGATACAAGTATTGATCACGCTAAGTAAAAAATATCGATTCATACCTTAAATGTTTACTTTAATTGCTGTTACACAAAAACACTAATTAGGAATGAAATTTAGAAGTGAAAAAGTAAATATTTTCATCCATTGCACCGTACTTGACACTGCCAACTGTAAATCATCAGTGTGCCAGGTACTTGAATATCCTGTCTATGAAAAAGATGGTTTATGCACCACAGATAAGAGCACATACAAGTATCCTGATACGTATCGGATCGTGAACAAGGTATCGTGATGCGTATTGGATCCCACAGCTGGTGTATCTTCCCTGCCCTGATAAACACCCTGGACCCATTCACCACCAAAGCTTTGTTTCATGCTTGATTCAAATAGGAGGAGGTTAAAATAGCCGCCCAATCAAATTACTCTCACAAGTAAGAAAAATTATGTGTTAAGTTTGAGATAGGCGTAGTTCAGGTGGTGCTGTCATTTCCAAAGTGAATCCAAGGCGGTGAATGGGTCTGGCGTATTTATCTTCATCGGAAGGAAATCTGGTTAACCGAGAAAGGACGAAGCCTAGTGCCCCTTTATTCAGAAGGACCGCAGTTACCATAGAGATGGCCAGCACTGATACTGGGTGTCATTGAAAATGGGGATACAGCAAAACCATGTTAATCTGGAACCCACCTCCCAGATAGTTACTGCTGGGAATGGTTACATGCATAAGTGACATTACGTCGAAACCCATGACAATCTGGAATTTGTTAAGTCGTACAATTTCAATGACCACTACTGTCTGGATTCACAGGGTTACACTTTCAGCAGTTGTTACACTTTACAGTCCTGGTCCCATTACTCAAAGCAATTGTAACACACCATGATAACTCCCATACTTTACAATAACATAGTCACACGACAGTCGTAGCATTCCGACTGCTTTGTGGAGTGAGTGAGTGAGTATGGTTTTACGCCGCTTTTAGCAATATTCCAGCAATATCACTGTGGGGGACACCAGAAATGGGCTTCACACATTGTACTCATGTCGGGAATCGAACCCGGGTCTTCGGTGTGACAAGCGAACACTTTAACCACTAGGCTACCGGACAGCCCCTGCTTTGTGGAACAGGCTGTGAACATATTCATCACAGAGGGCGGACTTAGCCTTTAGTCTGCACGTCAAGACTACTGAAAGTTTCATTACAAAATGTAACGTTACCAGGGGTAGAAACTAACATATTTAATCCACTAGTCCTTATAATGATAACATATAGCAAAACCCTTAAAATGGCAAATTTCTATTGGTCCTTATGATACCTTAACTATTGGGCCTTAACTATTAGGCGGGTAGAACAGGTCTTCAGCAACCCATGCTTGCCATAAAAGGCGACTATGCTTGTCGTAAGAGCCGACTAATGGAATCTGGTGGTCAGGCTTGCTGACTTGGTTGATGCATGTCATCGATCCCAATTGCATGAATTTCACTGATGGTGAGGTGAAATGGGGTTTAACGTCGCATCCAAGATGATTGCACTTAAATAGCGACGTGCATGTATGTGAGTGTGTTTGTGTGGCTGCTTGTACTAGTCCGGACTGATGCCGATTTATAGTGCTAGCACACTGAGATACCATGCCGCAGTTTAGCATGAATACCCCACTCAGACACAGTATACTGACTCCGAGCTGACCAGTCCTTGTTTTAGCCCCTTAATGCCGAGCGCCAGACAGGGTGACAACAAGTACCATCTTTTAATGTCTTTTGGTATGACGCGGACGGGGATCGAACTCCGGACCTTCCGCTCTCTGGGCGGACGCTCTACCACTAGACCTTGGAGGCAGTCGAATTTCACTGATAACTTAAAGGATCAATAATGAGATCAAGGCTTCAATATTATAGCATTTAGTGTCGAGTCAAAGTAACTCTCAATCTTATTTCAGAAAAGTAAGGTCAACATCCAATTTGGTCATAATTACTGTGTTTTCCTCCCATTCGCATGCTAATGGCACGTCGTCTAAATCCTTGATAAATCCCTACGTTTGTCTGGCAAGAGATTATGTACCCAAGTTAGCATGCACTTACCATGCAAGCAGAGGTGAAAAGATAACCAATATCAAGTTTTGATTGTTTGTTTGTTTGTTGTATACACTGAACTCGGCAACATTCCAGACGGTGGTCTGTAATAATCGAGTCTGGACCAGAGAATCCTGTGATTGACATCACTGAAGTTCTATCTGACATCAAGCAAGTCTGCAAGCCCAACCACCCGATCCCATTACAGCAATAGAAACTCACATTTTTAATCCACTAGTCCTTATAATAATAACATATAGCGAAACCCTTAAAAGGGCTAATTTCTACTAGTCTTATGCTAATTTAACTATTGGGCAGTTTGGCAAGGACTATAGGAGTAGTGCCAATTTCTAATGCTGCTGTTAGTGACCTTTTACGACAAGCATAGTTGCTGAAGACCAATTCTAACCGAGATCTTCACAGGGGGCTTATATCATATAGGAAGTACACAGATATATATATGTCACATGTACATCGTATACAACAGCAGTCTGCTATTTAGACCATTAGTTAAAAGCCTAAATCTTGTAAAAGTTTTTATGATTGAGTAAAGTTTTACACCACTCTTAGCAATATTCCAGCAATATCACGGTGGGACACTAGAAATGGGCATGGGCTTCACATCTTATACCCATGTGGGCAATCAAACCCAGGCCTTCAACATAACAAAAGCTGTAACCACTAGGCTACTCAACCACCCTTTCAGTTCAGTAAGAAGAGCTACTATCATGACTATTTGTTCACATACTGAGAGTAAAATGTACCGAAAATATTACAAGAGTTCTGCCTTGTACACTCAAAAATACACACAACAGGCACATGTCCACTGAAAGCAAACGGAACAAATTCATATCATAATTCATAATACCAGAACACAAGAAACAACTACGCTGAAATGAAACAATATCACGTTAGAATCTCAGGGAAGGATTATGAAAAACTGGATTATGAAGCACCTTATAGTCAACATGATATCAGGTCATTATAACGTACAGATTCGAAAATAGAGTATGATTTTGTTTGTTTGTTGATTAAAGCCGCACTCAGCAATATTTCAGTATATGACGGCGGTCTGTAAGTAATCAAGTTAGAATAGGTACAAATATATCTATTTAAAGATGATGAGATGGGTCTGGTGATGATACCTGCCAATAAAACATTTGCACATTCAACATGATACTAGGCTTGAAGCGTAAATTCATGTGATCACCGAAACAGTTTCATATTTCAAATTTAAAGCTGCCTTTTTATGTGACGACAATATTTGTTCCAATACATAGTGATTATACATATTATTATCCAAAGACATCGATACATGATTAATGGGAAGATGCTAAACAAACACATTTATCAATGACTAAGCCATATTTCAGACAATCATAGTTCTGATCATAATGGTCTACTTGATCAAAATATTATAATCGTGGATTATGATGCAAATAATAAAACGGGTCACACTAATTATTATGACATGTGGTTGCTGTCATAGCTTTAACAAGACAATATATTCATATCCTATATTTCACAATCAGTCAAAACATGAAATTTACTGATTCGGCATGGTCACGTTTAAAAAATACACAGCTTCAAATTTCGATAAAATAAGATCCCAAATAAAAGTATTGATGGGTAAGTATAAGTTAATTAAAGGAGTTGAATAAACAATGGTATAACAGAGTCACGACACAGTCACAATGTCATTGATCAGTAAGTTAACTCACTCCTAACATCGCCATGATTTCTTTATGTTCTCGCGAGAATATGCGATTTTACCGGTGCATTGCCATTTTCTGACCATGAAATTTAGTCCGCACCACCTGCCATTTTCATCTGACGTTCTGCCATTAGAGCTCTAGCGAAGTTAAACAAGTTAAATTAACATACGAATAGCTAAATAATGTTGTTTTTGTGAAAACATATGATTTGAAATGTGTAAAGTTCATAACAGTTACTTTCCATTATGCCAATCAGACTTTACACATAATATGAATTTATATCAGAAAAGTTATATCATAATCAAGTTGGTTGTTTTTGTTATATGCAGTGTATGAAAGTGATGCTTTCTTTTTGTTTTTTGTGCGCATTCAGCTTCTGAAGCACCAGATAATTAAAAAGAATATCACTAAACATATGAATTAAAGAAATATTTAGCTCACAGACCTAGGAAACAGTCCAATATCTTTCCCGATAGAGCCAACATGGCAGACGACTTTCTTAATTAATAATTTCAAATCTTTCTTAATAATTTCAAACAAAACGCGCGGCCAATAATTTTGATTCACACAAAATCATACAGAATTTTCCTACTGCACCGTAAAACAAAATTGCCACACTCTCTCGTTTGTTTGACAAGAATATATCGCATCAACAACATTAAACATTTCATAAAATGGTATCATTGTTGTCCGGTCTTTGTCGCGTATATACGAAACTCACTTCTTCGCATATTTTACGCCACGTTTTTTATTCCGGTTTATAAGCTCGATCAACCGATCCAAACAATACAATCAGAAACTAAAGAATATATGTTTTTTTAATTTGATCTACTGCTTAAACCATGTGTCGTGGATGGATTAGGAAAAAATAATTATAAGTTAAAACTACAATACCAAAGAGTGACTGTCAACGTAGTAACTAATCACAAATCAAACACACTGTATGTGCCGGTTCATCCCCAATAAGGACCATACCACCACCACCCCACAAAGTGCTCCGTACCAGCTCTGAGACACACACACACACACACACACACACACACACACACACACACACACACACACACACACACACACACACACACACACCATTATCTTTCCCCACTAACGATCTAATAAATTTATCGAGTTGCACCAACATTATTTCTTTTATTTCCACCCAACCAATCTAATTGGTCAGGAAAAGGTGCGTAAATCAGATATCAGTAATAATAGAATGACCGTGTAGATAAGCGTCCCTTTACAAATATTTCTGTAATTTATTTCGGCTAGTACAGTTTTTGTTTATCTGGAACGGCTTTGTAATGAGTTATTAGGAGATAAACACACTATGTTTTCAATGTAGAGCTAGGTTATCTGTAGATTTAACCGCGCTAAACTAAATTTGGAAACGAACGCGAAGCGTTAATGACTGAAAAAATACTATTCTATGAATATCAGCCTCCGCGGTGATGAGGCCGTCAAACCATCTGTAATCAGAGGGGGTTTATTGTGATTTAATAGCCTCTGATTGACCAATCAGAATGGAGTAGTTTCCTAATTCATGGTAGAATTATTGATGACATGGTAAGCAATTCAATCGACCAACACGTTGCTTCTAACTGGGTCCCCAGTTAAAGAGACCCGGGCAATTGACACTCCTAGAGAGTCACAGCACACTTTATCTCATCTCTCCGACTGATTATGTATACCAATATAGTAAAGAGTACACACACAATTAACAAGTACACTAGGTATCGAGTACCTTACTACTCAGAGAGCATGTCTCTGTTTCACACGAGGAATTAAACAACATCTTTAATACCTAACTTTGAACATCAGACAAGGACGGTTGTCCACATATTTCACGATATAGTCATTTTGTGGAAGAATACAACGGGAAATCATCACCTACCACATACGCTAATATAATGAATACTCTATGATCAGTACTGACATATTTTTGCTAAACAGTGATAGACCATTTTGAGAAAACATCCAGTAGTACTGATTGAATCCTTCAACACTTTCAGCTTACCATCACTGGCTGAGTGGTGGGTCTACGGCAAGGGAGGTAACTTGACCAGACGAATGATCATTTTCAACAGGGAACAATTAGAAAGTACACCGGCACAGGAAGAAACATGGCGACAGATACATCAAACGAAGAGGCACCTCAATCAGGCATTCCACAGACTGAATTTGTGGTAAAGTTTCATTTAAATGTCAACAAACATAAACGGCAATATTTCAAGACATAAATGTCATAACATATGTTGGTAGAGATAAATATTTTGTAACATTTTCAGGTGCATTTGTAGGTGTGTATCCAACACGTGCGTGCATGTTCGCTGTCAGTCTTCACGTTTCACGCTTCTGATTTATTTATATCGATTTACTCGGACCATCACGACCACTCTGAACATACGATAACCAACACTGCATCCAATCTGCCCCTTCTGAGCCAGCTTAACGTAAATGTTTTGCATCATCATATTTAAGTAAGGTGCCATGGAGACGGGAGATGACAGGTCACTTAACCGAAAGCAACAAAATATGTGACTATGTCTTATAAGGGCAACATAGAGTATTGCTCCTAGACCCTTTTACAGGGCTAGATACCCTAAACAAGTATGGTAACACACTTATCTTTCAGAAACAATGCAGATGCCATCGTTTTGTAGTCATAGTACTCGAGAAGTAAAGAAAGATCGCTGAACAAAACAATTTTAATTATTAACTTTTATTTGAGAGCATAGCATTACATGGCCCAGTGACCATAGAAACAATAATCTGAGAGGTATATCTCCCTATTTTCAATTAATTTTCAATTAATTAAAAAATAGTTTAAAAACAAATATCCTTTGATACTTGAAATAAGTTGTCTGATTGTTATGAGTGATATGAGATAGTCACATGGTATGAAACAAATCGTTTATTGCGGCCAATAATCTGGCAATATAATTCATTTTGATGATTCATAACCCTATTCACTTCAAACATCTTTAAGGGGCATGGGAGGACCAGTTTTCTACATGTTTTAAGGAACCACACTTCTCTGTACAGAGTTGTGTCCCTTATGTGTGCCAGAATACTATGGTATGGGTTTGAATCCCAGATTTGCCCTGATTATGATTCTGCATGTTCCAGCACCATACCCCTGTTCTTGGGTTTCATTTCTAAGACATTTGGCATAATGTATCTTTCCTCCCACATCAAGCTCACACGTCATGGTATAACTGAAATACGATTCAATACGATTCAAATTGTTGTTAAGCCCATCTGACTCATTCACCTTAAACATGTTGGAACATATCTTTGTTGGGAATTTGACTCCAGAATTATTTTGACTTTGGGTCCCGGCTGGATGAAGCCACCAGTGTTGTGCTTGCTTCTACTGTCGCCAGTGTCGGAAATAACCGCCTGCCCATGGCTGGTAACTTTTCTGTCGGGCTGCATATAATTTTCTTCCACCTGCCTGACTGTCTGGCAGATAATTTTAAGACTACCAATTCAGTTTAATTATAACTCCTTGTAGATTTTCAAGTGATTGTTTGCATCATTTCAACTGAATCAAGACGTGATTTGTCTCTTAGTTTTTGCAATTTTTCAATATTTATAATGTCTGAATGCGGGCAGGTAGCTGTGAAGATGGGCAGGCAACATTTTTGAGCCACCTGTCCGACTGTCATCGTTGGTTTTAAGATTATTTCAAACACTGACTGTGGCTATGTTTGTTGCAGGAAGATGTGGAGGCGTACATGAAGAGAGCCGACAACAATGAGTCTGCGGAAGTGGTGCTGAAACGACTGGATGAGATGCACAGTAAATACAAGTTCATGGAATATAACCTCAACACAAAGAAAACTAGGTGAGCCCATTATTAAAAGTATCTTCCTGGCAATAAGACCCAGTTCTATGAAGCTGGGTAGGTAGGTGGCAAGGTTTCGTTCAACCTTGGTTCACTCGCACGAAGTAATCTTGGCAATACTCTTTTACTTTAATGCAGTCATACAATGATTGTAGCTCTACAATTTTGTGCAAGTGCAATCTCATTAAAATCATATCTTAGTTTTCGCTACCACTACTATTACGGGTCACGTCAGAATGACCTCTCGCCAACTTTGACTGACCAATGAAATGACTGACAAGAAATCAATGTTAGCCAATCAGAAGCAGCATTCTCAAACTTTACGACACTAGTTTCAAATTGGTGACTATGCTTCGAAACATATTTTGACGTATTCTCGATTATAAATTTTAAAACTGATCAAACGAACATTCTGGAATGGCTTATAGATGGTCTAAATTGTATGGATATAATCATAAAACCTGGGACATGCTAGCTCACACACTGGGACATGCTAGCTCACACACTGGGACATGCTAGCTCGCACACTGGGACATGCTAGCTTGCACACTGGGACATGCAAGCTCACACACTGGGACATGCTACCCCACACACTGGGACATGCAAGCTCACACACTGGGACATGCTAGCTCACACACTGGGACATGCAAGCTCACACACTGGGACATGCTAGCTTACACACTGGGACATGCTAGCTCACACACTGGGACATGCTACCCCTTTACTGAGACATGCAAGCTCACACACTGGGACATGCTAGCTCACACACTGCGACATGCTCGCCTAAGGTACACATTTAATGGTTCTAGATTAAAAAGGGACATATGAGATATGAAATTAGCAAATATAATTTATTTTAGTTTGATGAGCATAATAAGAGGCCACTCCCAGCATGAAAATCATCAAAAATAAAACATCTGAATAGATTGAAGGGGGAGACTGGTTTTACAATACATATCAGAACGCTGTTGCAGTCTGTAGAGTGGAATTGTGATTTGAATCATGAATGTGTCAGTAGTTACCTTGGTCACAGGACATTCTGAAGTAGGAGGGGGAAGCTAGCGTCATGTCATTCTTCATAAATCTAACAAGTAACGTGGAGTACATGTTGTGGGGATTGGATGATGCTATGCATGGATGAAACAGTCAGGAATTATCTGAAGAGAGTCGACATACCAGGGAATGTTTCAAGTCTAATTAATGATATTTTTTTTCATTTCAGATTAAAGTCCCAGATTCCAGATATAACAACAACTCTTAGCATCGTTAAACACTTGCAATTAAAGAAGGTGAGATATTGTTGAGCATGATGACTTTGTTGTCTTGTGTGTTAGGCTCACCTTCCTTTAGACCCGTGAAGATCCAGGGTAGAATAGGTCTTCAGCAACCCATTGTTGCCGTAAAAGGCGACTATGCTTGTCGTGAGAGGTGACTGACGGTCAGGTGGTCAGACTCGCTGACTTGGTTGATGCATGTCATCGTATTCCAACTGCGTGGATAGATGCTCATGATGTCAATCACTGGGTTGTCTTGTCCAGACTTGATTATTTCCAGGTCACCATCATTAAGCTGGAATATTGCTGAGTGCGTCATTGAACAACAAAGAAACAAGAAACATCGCCCTCCTTTATGCGAATCTGTTCAGAGAGAGGATGAGATAGGATAAGGACCTATTTTGGCCCATGGAAATGTCAAATTTGGATATGTTGAAAGTTGCAGAAAACTTTCAAAGTACATTGCGTTGGTATGCCGTGTATGGTGACATGTCAATTATGTAACAATGTGACAGGGGGGCAAGGCTTTTGTCATGTTCATGACACAAATCTCCAAAAACGTTGCCTCTGCCATCACTACGGGCTAGCATCACTTGTTCTGATTGTTTTGTCCTAGGATGTAATTTGTTTTTGTTTCCTCTGCATATTTTGAAAAGCACCCCCCATTTCCCCTCAGTTTGTGGTGGTGAGCCTACTGCTCAAGCATGATAACTGCTCCGAATGCAATACAGGTTTGTCTTTGACTTCCAGGAATCCCCGAAGGCATTAGAAGCCAGCTTTCTTCTATCAGATCAAGTGTACGCCAAAGCGAAAATACCACCGACAGATAAAGTGTGTTTGTGGCTTGGGGTGAGTATTCAGCTGAGTTGTGTCTCAGGGGTTTCACAGATGTTGGATACATTCGTCATTTTAGCATCAAGGTGAATGGACTGTCTTGTTGAAATACGTCTTCACACACTGGCTTGGCCCTTCAATGTCATTCCAACACGTACAAGACCTTACTTGCTGAGAGTTCCACGGTATTGAAAATGTGATCTACTATAATTACAATACTTCCAGAATAAACCTTTTCACAAGTAATTCCATGAGCATGATGAGGGAAAGGTCTTCCAAGGGACCAGAACATTTGACACGACCATGAAATGTATGTCCCCTGTATGTAACAGTTGCTTCCTCGGGACACATATTATTCCAAAACACTTGAGTAACTTGAGTATTTATGTTAGGCTAAAAAAATAATGGTCTTGGTTCTCAGGCACCGCCCGCATCATCATAAAGTCTACCGCACATTTCGTTGTTTTTTTTATTTTTTATTTTTTTTATGAATCCTAATACTTTAAAAAACTGCGATCCAATATAGCATGCAGTTACTTCCCTTTACATGCGCAGTGCTTTACTGCGCGTCTCGTGTTATAGTCATAGTGGCAATAGGAGTTTGTATGCTTGTTTATATAGGGAGCCCTTTCCCAGGTTCATCGGGGTAGGTCTTCAGCAACCCATGCTTGTCGTAAGAGGCGACTGACGGGATCGGGTGATCAGGCTCGCAGACTTGGTTGATGCATGTCATCCATCCCAATTCTGTGGATCGATGCTCATGATGTCAATCACTGGATTGTCTGGTCCAGACTCAATTATTTACAGACCACAGTCATATAGCTGGAATATTGCTGAGTGCGTCATTAAACAACAAACAACTTCTAAGTTATGCCTATCAAACTATTCCTACTCTTCCCCGGAGACCCCAAGTTTGGTTCTTTGAGAGGGTTCAGGTGGCTGCTTAGGTTTTGTCAGAAATATCCATGCTCTGCCACCTGCTCCAATACACAATCCGAAACCCATATCTTAACATAGACTTGGATACTCTCTGTGCTGAGCTCAGTTCCGGGAACAAAACATGTTCCATTCTCCCCCCCCCCCCCCCCCAGCCCCCAGGTAAGCAATATGAAATTGCTGCTTTTTAGAATATTGATTGAGTGTTATTTGATAAATCCCTTCGGGTGGCAGTCTTGTATATTTGTTTGGTAATTTGGTTCAGGAAGCATAAAAGTTTGGCAGAGTTATCTCCCTTACTTTTACTATTTCTTTCTAACTTGTTCAAGTTCCTTTACGTTTTTGTTTCAGGCAAATGTTATGTTAGAATATAACCTTGATGATGCTGAAGCTTTGTTAGAGAAGAATTTAAATGCTGCCAAGAAATCTTTGTCACAAGTAGAAGAGGACCTGGGTTTTCTAAGAGATCAAACTACGACGTTAGAAGTCAGTATCCTTTCTCTTGAGAAGATCACAGCGTTGTCTTGTGCTGAAATAACACTATCATGTCCTAGAAATAGTTTTTATTCTATGAACACGACCCGTGAAGATCCGGGGTAGAATAGGTCTTCAGCAAACCATGCTTGCTGTAAAAGGCGACTATGCTTGTTGTAAGAGGTGACTAACAGGATCGGGTGGTCAAGCTTGATGACTTGCTTGATGCATGTCATCGATCCCAATTGTGTGGATCGATGCGCATGATATCAATCACTGGATTGTCTGGTCCAGACTCAATTATTTACAGACCGCCGTCATATTGCTGGAATATTGCTGAGTGCGGCGTTAAACAACAAACCAAACCAAACCAAAATCTATGAACAAATTGGTGATCTTCAGCTTAAACGTTGTGGGTATTTTGGCGGAATATCTACCAAGTAACCCATGCTTTTAAGAGCTGCTCCCTGTGAATATCCGGGTTAGAATTGATCTTCAGCAACCATGCTTGTCATAAATGGCAACTAACAGGATCGGGTGGTCAGACCTGCTGAGTTGATTGATGCATGTTATTGTATCCCAGTTGCTAAGATCGATGCTCATGATGTCAATCACTGGATTGTCTGTTCCAGACCGCTGTCATATAGCTGGAATATTGCTGAGAGCGGCATTAGACTTGCCCTCACTTGCTACAGTATTGCTCCAAGCAGCCTTACCGGGTAAACTAGTTTTGCTACAGTATTGCTAAAAGCAGCTTTAACAATATGTGGCTTTATTACCTACGAGGGCAAACATATCGGGGTTCATCAACAACATATGTGCCCTAGGGTCATATCACGTCACAAGACAACAGTGTATTGGTTCAGTCATCCGGACGGCACTGTTGTCGTCATTTGAATCTTATCGTGACATGAGGTAGGAATGATGTAACACTAGAAATGACGTCATAGCTGAAGATTGTTGACGTCATTCGACAAATTGTGGTTCCACTGCTGTTGCATCCCATTCATCTTCTTCGATAATAAATGGGAAATTATATTCGTATTCATGTCATGGTATGTTTACGACACGGGGCTCAGTCCCAGTGTTTGTAGACCTGTGAAGATCCGGGGTAGAATAGGTCTTCAGCAACCCATGCTTGCCGTAAAAGGCGACTATGCTTGTCATAAAAGGCGACTTGGTTGATGCATGTCATCGTATCCCAATTGCGTGGATCGATGCTCATGACATTAATCACTGGATTGTCTTGTCCAGGCTTGATTAGTTACAGACCGCCGTCATAAAGCTGGAATATTGCTGAGTGAGGCGTTTAACAACCAACCAACCAACCAACCCAGTGTTTGTGTGTGTTGTGTCCTTGACTGTGGAAGATATGGCTCGCGTGTACAACTGGGATGTGAAGCGGAGACAAGGAACCAAGACGTCCCCAGCAATCAAGTCTTAGCTGTGCTGTCCCCTCATCAGCCGATATTCATGTGGAATATTTCTGATCCATTTTGTCATCTGATGTACATGCCTGTATATTACATTGTGAATGTTTCAGTTTCTGACGGCTGTGTTCAGCGAGGACTGAGAAGCTTAATTGTACAGATTTCTTTACTGCCTGCAGATGATGCAGAACTGTGTTAGACTCTCTCCGTCTCCGTAATTGGTTACCGTAGTTACACGAGTAACTGATGTCATACAGTGACACGGCTAGAAAATCAGTGATATGAAAGTGATGTTATTATCTCCCTTTGAAAGTGTGTCTGATGGTTGGACAGAGGCTATCTCTGTCATAACATTTCAAGATGTAATTTCAAATTCCATATTTCACATTTCTGTCCATGCAGTCTACATCTGGATGTGTTGTTTTGTGTGTGCTATCAAAAGTATCTGATTTAGAAAAATAACATTATTTTGGTGAAGAGAGTTATGGCAATCTTTCACTTCGTCGATGTTCTCGATGCATATCTCAGCTTACTAAAGTCTCATATATTAGGACTGTTTCCTACAGACTGGTACATGTATGCCCTAAACTTCTCACAGAAAATAAATTCAAGCTAAAACATATATATCTTTTAAATATTTGAGTGTCCATATTCCTCATGGTTGCAGGGTTCGAATCCTGGTTCGCCCCGATTATGTTTCTAGGTTTGTGGGTTCTCCGAAGTGGTAAAGGTCTGAGACCTGCATCACTTCGGGCTTTCCTCCTACATCAAGCTTGACAATCAAAGTCACTTGCTCCCACAGGAATTAAATTCAGTATGATGGGGGGTGGAATTCCCCCATGGGTGGTGACCCATTCCTGGTTTCCAGCAGATTTCAACTGGAATATTTCTTCACAGCTTGAGGTCACCAGAAGAATGGTCTCTTATCAGAAGCTTTCTTTGAGAACTTAATTGGGTTGCCAGGCTTCCTTTCCTCAATTAGGAACCCTGGTTAAAATCAGGACAATTTTTGGAATTCATCGTCTAAACATGTCAATACCAATACCAGATGTTTGTTTGTGGACCACACAGACACAACTTAAAAAACTGATTAAGAAGAAGCACAAACTTGCAAAACCCAGTAGCATATAAGTGAGTGAGTGAGTTTGGTTTTACGACGCTTTTAGCAATATTCCAGCAATATCACGGTGGGGGACACCAGAAATGATCTGAAGCATATTAACACTAACTACCCAATGTAGCCTTTTCAGATTGATTACCTGTATGTCTTTACAGGTATTTATTTGCTGATCAAGTATGGCATCATATATTCATGACCTCCACTGCAGTGAAAAAAAGGAGTGTTGGCTTTAACTCTGACATTTATCACTGTTGTGAGTTTATGCCACATGTGTCACACCTGGGGTAGCAAATTAGTCACTTGAAACATCTTAAGCAGAATTGTTTTTAAACAAGGTATACACATTGGTTTAATACTCAATAGACTGGCTCAAAGATGTACTCTGCCCTAAATTTGGAAATGACTTGTTTCTGATTGGTCAGTAAGAGGTATCAAATGACAATAACTACCTCTGATTAAAACGGTAGGTTTGATGTCCACCTCAGCGGATATTTATAGAAATGTCATACTTACCCTGTCATTGGCGGTATTTATGTTTCACATGTTTGAAGTTTATGTGAACAATTATTGGTTACAAAATGCAGAAGTGTAACAGTAGATTTTGGGCAGGGAACAGTAGAAATCAACAGTATGTATTTCAAATTTTAGGGACAATAGACATGTTTGAGACATGCATCTCTTCGGGCTTTCCTCCCACATTAAGCTGACACGCCGTGATATAACTGGAATACTGTTAAAAGCGGCGTAAAACCCAACTCACTCACTCACTAGGGACAATAGATGGCTATTCTGTAGACTACTTACGCGATAGCTTGTGTGACATCAATAGTGATGTGTGCTGTAGAACTCAACCTTACTAGGTCCCTTCATTTTCTTTTGGGTGCCCATTTAATTTTAGCTAATGAAGTAACTACCACACACATTTATTTTCTGCCATATTTGCGAGACGGGGTAGAAGATATGTTCAACAACCCATGCTTGCCTTAAAAGGTGACTATTCTTGTCGTCGTCTAACGGGATTGGGTGGTCACGCTGGCTGACTTGGTTGATACAGGTAATCGTATCCCAATTGCGTGGATCGATGCTCATGATGTCAATCACTGAAGTATCTTGTCCGGACTCGATTATTTACAGACCGCCGTCATATAGTTGGAATATTGCTGAGTGCTTCGTAAACCAACAAGCAAGCACACAATACACGGGTATCAGGTTACTTTCAACCTCGCACAAGCCGCCATGAATATTTTAAAAGCTGCACGTTGGTCCCTGAATGTCAGAATATAGGTAATGTGGTTATTGGCTGTGCACCTTGAACTGACAATGACAAGAAACCAAACATACATTGTATGTTCTTCTATGTTGCCTATGTAGGATGGGGTGTTACCAAACATACATTGTATGTTCTTCTATGTTGCCTATGTAGGATGGGGTGTTACCAAACATACATTGTATGTTCTTCTATGTTGCCTATGTAGGATGGGGTGTTACCAAACATACATTGTATGTTCTTCTATGTTGCCTATGTAGCAGGTTACCAAACATACATTGTATGTTCTTCTATGTTGCCTATGTAGGATGGGGTGTTACCAAACATACATTGTATGTTCTTCTATGTTGCCTATGTAGCAGGTTACCAAACATACATTGTATGTTCTTCTATGTTGCCTATGTAGCAGGTTACCAAACATACATTGTATGTTCTTCTATGTTGCCTATGTAGCAGGTTACCAAACATACATTGTATGTTCTTCTATGTTGCCTATGTAGCAGGTTACCAAACATATATTACCTACTTGCATTTTTGGTTTTTGTTCTCAGCCTAAGAAACGAATGCTTTTCAATACACTTCTCATAACGATAGTGAAGATTCCAGTCAGGAAGAAGTTTTCTGAAGCCACCCTGAAAAACCCATTCACGGCAGCTGTGAGGTCATCGTTGTCGTCATAGGGCTTTCTGTAACCGGGGGTGTTCATGAATAACACGGGTCGTTATTTGTCATGAGTATTTATTACCAGAACAAACGCCCTGAAACATAAACTTACAGATAAATATACACGTAAATATATATGTATGTTAATATGCACAAACACAGATATGTAAGAGCACATCACATTATATTATAGTTATTCACATCGTCAAACTGACGACATCATAGAAATAGAAAGAACTCTGGCTTTTAACAAATACATTGAAGGATGTGTTATAATTCACAATAACTTTGTATACATTTAGCAGATATTTGTTGTCCGTATGGTCAAGGTGTAGTGGCTGGTGTGCTGGTTAAATGCTGGGTGTTAGTATTTGAAACAAGGCCAATCAGGAGCAAGCTGTATTAAACAAAGGACCGACCCAAGCTACCTACTCTACCCCACAACCAGTAGAAGTTAAAATATAAGAAAACTCCACGCAGAGATCAAGTCGTTATGCAGAGCTGTAGAATACAGCAGCCATACAGGTGTATTTAATTTAATTCAACATAATAGAATGTCAAAACACCATTTCATTACAATACATTATATGTATACAAATATATACAATACGGAAAATATACATATATACAACACTGCCACACACTTCCCTCCACTACGAAATGATGTCCTCATTTCATCCTACCAGTCACAATATCCAGGATTGCATCAGATACTCGATGTGACTGATCAGAAAAACTTGCTGATCGAGGAGGGTGTTGAGATAATTGGCTCTCGTTAGCCAGTCCGGCTGTGCAATGGCTGACAGAACATAATCTCCACTTGTCATCCACTGTGGTTGTGTCCGCTGTCGATCAGACCGCCGAGGTTGGGGGACAGGTGGTGTAGATGACCTCACACGAGAATGAGAGTTTTGATCTTCAGGATGAGTGAGTGATTCACCAGAGGGTAGTTCCTCCTGAGCATCCCCTGTGTCCTCCTCTTGATCTCCCTCAGCGACTGCAGTCATCTCATCATTCTGATTCTCCTCTACTGCTGCTGCTTCAGGTGGCCTATCAGCTGGAGAAACTGCTGACTCTGAAGATTCCGAGGATTCATGGGAGAGATATGCAATACAATCATCCTCACTTCCTGATTCACAATCAGATCCTGGTCTGTCTGCATCAGCCTCGTCGGCTGGGATGGTCACAGTCGGTGCTATAGTCTTCTGTCGTGGTCTTGGAGCTGTACTTGATGGATGTACTCTCCTTGGCCGAGGTATGGATGGCTCTTGGTTCTCAGTCTGTGGGATGGATCCAATTGGAAGTAACAAGTTCTGTGTAATGTCCGCTTTTGTCCTTCTCCACACTCCTTGGTGTTGGTCTTGGAGCTGTACTTGATGGATGTACTCTCTTTGGCCGAGGTATGGATTGCTCTTTGTTCTCAGTCTGTGGGATGGATCCAATTGGAAGTAACACGTTCCTGTGTAATGTCCGCTTCTGTCCTTCTCCACACTCATTACCAACTGTATACACTGGTATGGATGGATTCGGCTGGGCAAGCACAATGTATACATCGGTCATCTGTTGGCCAACTTGTGTCTACCATCAAAAGCCACTACCTTGACAAGTACTCGGTCGCCTAATGCTAGAACAGCAGCTCTAGCCTTCGGGTCATAGTACTTCTTCTGCTTACCGCGTGACTTCGTAGCTGCACTGGAAGCAATGACCTATCGAAATATGTATTAAGACTGTGTAACACTACAGCTGATTAGACAAATAGATGCAAGTACATTATAACAATACGTATAGAAACATTTCTAACCTATTTGGACGGTCTCAGTTAAAAATACTACACAAAGCAGATATTTGTTGTCCGCATGGTCAAGGTGTAGTGGCTGGTGTGCTGGTTAAATGCTTGGTGTTAGTATTTGAAACAAGGCCATCAGGCGCAAGCTGTATTGAACAAAGGACCGACCCAAGCTACCTACTCTACCCCACAACAGTAGTATAGTCTAAGTCCGCAGGAACCCCTTTTGGTTGATCCGGTTGATCCAGGCGGATGCGAAGGTGATTGGCTGATCGAAGTCACGTGATCGGATAGGATGACTCATGCATCAACAGCGCGTCGGGAAAGGGCGGGGAATGAAAGGTGTGTGTTTATAAGACGCCGGGTAATGTAGGTAAGGGGAAGAAAAATATACGTCTAGCTGGATCAAATTCATCTTATACGGTCTACACGTTGTACACCATGAACGTTAGACAACCTGCATAGAAAAAAATATATAGACGAAATAGATAAGACTACGCAATCAGCGAGCTAGCGGTGTCGTTTACGTTTAACGCGCAAGAACGAGCTAATGTATAGCAGAGAGACTAAGCGACCGGCCGCCCATAACAATGTCAACACTACCCCGGCCTTACAATTAATGTTAACATACCAGCCTCGCCTGAAGCTTCCCATTCATAAATTGTGTGACCAGTGTCCCGTATTTATGATACGTTAGGAAACATGTGTTGTACATTTGTTATTTAAAAGGGAGTTATTTCAGAGAGGATATGTATGGGTATTCCCCCTCATTTAAACCTTTCTTTC